TAACAACCGCCTCATGCCCATTCCCTGCCGCCATATGCAGCGCTTCCCATCCATTCCAGCCCTGAGGATATACGTCAACCTTGCCAGTATCGAGAAGCAGCTTAACAACCCCTTCATGCCCATACTTTGCCGCCATATGTAGCGCTGTCCATCTATTCCGCCTGTTAGGATATACGTGAACCTTGCCAGCATCGAGAAACAGCTTAACAACCCCTTCATGCCCATTCTTTACCGCCATCTCTAGCGCTGTCCGTCCATCCTGGTCCTGAAGATCTGCATCAACCTTGCCAGTATCGAGAAGCAGCTTAACAACCGCCTCATGCCCATTCCCTGCCGCCCTATGCAGCGCTGTCTCTCTATTCCAGCCCTGAGGATATGTGCTAACCTTGCCAGTATTGAGAAGCAGCTTAACAACCGCCTCATGCCCATTCTCTGCCGCCATATACAGCGCTGTCCGTCCATCCTTATCCTCAGGATCTGCGTCAACCTTGCCAGTATCGAGAAGCAGCTTAACAACCGCCTCATGCCCATTCTTTGCCGCCATATACAGCGCTGTCCGTCCATCCTGGTCCTGAAGATCTGCATCAACCTTGCCAGTATCGAGAAGCAGCTTAACAACCGCCTCATGCCCATTCTCTGCCGCCATATACAGCGCTGTCCGTCCATCCTGGTCCTGAAGATCTGCGTTAACCTTGCCAGTATTGAGAAGCAGCTTAACAACCGCCTCATGCCCATTCTCTGCCGCCATATACAGCGCTGTCCGTCCATCCTGGTCCTGAAGATCTGCGTCAACCTTGCCAGTATGGAGAAGCAGCTTAACAACCGCCTCATGCCCATTCTCTGCCGCCATATACAGCGCTGTCCGTCCATCCTGGTCCTGAGGATCTGCATCAACCTTGCCAGTATCGAGAAGCAGCTTAACGATCGCTTTATAGCCTTTTTGCGCCGCAAACCACCGCGCTGTCCGTAGCTCCTCCCTATGCAAGTTGACCTTGCCGGTGTTGAGAAGCAATTTTACGACCGTCTCATGCCCGTTTCCTGCCGCCAAGCATAGAAGCGTCCATTGGCCCTTGTCCTCAATAAGCTGATTCACCATTGTTTCCTTTGCATCTTCCTGTTCTGAATCCTCGGAACCTACGCAAGTCTTTTTTAGGTTGCTCATGCTCCTCAATGCCCTTTCAAGAACCGCCGTTTCTTCCCGAAGATTCTTCACTGCAACTTCATACTGTTTCACCTCTTGTAATGCCAATCTGACATTCCGTATCCTAGTCGCCACATTTCGACAACCTTCTAACTCTGTCTTTGAATGCTCTGGAATGCTTGCAAAGTAGTCGTAGTTGTTTTTATCTTGCTGCTTGTTTGCATTTATATCCCAATCCCAGATAAGTCGAAAGTTGTGTGGAAAGACTGTTATCGGTTGTAAAAGTTCTGACCACTTGATATCTCCGGTCGTAGCTTGTGAATCGCCTGCTGGGGAAACTGCAATCATTATAACCGCCCAGTGATCGTTGTATGACCTGAGGATCGTGGGTCTCGACGCTCCTTGAAGAAGGCAGACGACATCTCCTTTTTGGACGGATTTTACCGTGGTCGGGAGGGTCCAGCAAGAACCCCATGCTTCCTTCACGCAAATATAGCTGAGGACATTACTCCAAGTAATGGCCACATCTTGTCTGTCTTCCCAAGTAGCATTTCTCTTGACCGAGGACACTTCGCCAAGAATGCAGCCCTTGCCCTCAATGACGGCATTCTCCTTATCGTCCGAAAGGCCTACTACAGAGACCAATTCAGATAGGAAGAAGTGGATGAGTTTGTTGAAGAGTTGTTTCCACGAAATCTTGTAGTCGGCGAATAATCCTGCTGCGGTTGGATTATCAGAGCTCATACCAAGTAAGGCATATACTTTATCGCGACGATCTGTAGCTTCGCGGGTGTGGTACATCTCTATCAATTCACCCAGAGGGCGTATGTCAAGAGAAAAGTTGTCTGACTGACTGGTCGCGTATTTGGGCCGGAAGATTGCACCCCTTATAAGGTAGGTTACCGAAAGGATTCGAGCCTGCAGGTCTGCGGGGAGTTCATTAGACAGGTTCAATGCATTTAGGCCTGAGCAGAATGCAAATCCGTCAACCTCAGCAGAACCACACTTGATCAGGATATGGCGAGCCGCGGCAACTTCCTGAAGCACCTGCATCAATCTGTCAGTTTCCTTAGTTATAATACTTTGACATTGGTTCCCTTACCCAGATGCGTTGAAACCACGGTCGTTGAAGCAGTGGAAGGATTCCCGCTTTATTGTCTAATCGTCTGGTAGACAGCTCAGCTGCGATGCGTATTTCTTCGAGCGCTTGGTCGCTACCGGCTGCCTCCTCTCCAAGCCAAACAATTACGCGACTTGCTTTAGCGTAGATCTTCGCCATAGATTGAACTTGGTGTCCTTTTTCTTCGTTGTCTCCTTGGTTGATGCAAATGGCATCTATCCATATAGTTCGTTGAATGGAGTGATCTCGAAGATGTAACAGCGCTGCGTAAAGGTTTTTCCCGACGGCCAAGTTGCACCCGTCTATAAAGATGGAACAAGGCTTGTCCTCAGACCCCCATACGTAGGATAAGGCTTCGTACGGACGAGTGCCTTTTGAGTCCAATGCGGTGCAGAAGAGCTGACAGTGTATTGCAGCGTCCTCGTTTTTAGACGGCAATAGTTGAAGCAAGCGAATATGGCCACGTGACATGGGAACGTTATAATACAGATTCTTTACAGATGTTAGCGTTATTATGAAATGTCGTAAGGGGAAAAGAATTGAGCCTACTTCCACCTGCTTCGTGTTATCCACGCCGGCGGACGTCTCTGTACCGTCAGAACTGGTAGCTGGAGCGGCTGGGAGCCGGGGGGCGGGCATACGGGTAGCGGACATAGCGGTGGCGGCGGGGATTTGTTGCAGAGGTGCAGGGCGAGACTGCTCTTGGCCCTTATCGTCTTCCCAACCCTCCGTATTGTGCAGTCGTTGAGACATCGTAGCTTTAGGGAACGAAGGTCTTGAATGAGGCGACGTAGATGAGGCATTCGAGGATGATCGTGTTGTCCTAGAGGCAGCGAATGTTATACAGTTGACGATCAATGGATTGAGTTTGTAAAAATCCTTGATATTCCTCTATCCTGCCCCCAAGGACAAAATAAAAAGAAACTAGAGCACTATGTTTTCTTAAGGCCATGAGGCGTTGTGTTGAGTCTGTTTTTGTTTCACCATGTCAAGCGTAAGATGGCTGGCGGCTTCCTCCCAACTACATGCCAATGGCCTGAAGGACATTTCTTTTCTAGAGGCTGGGCATTCTGGACCTAGAGACTTCAGGGTGCCAATCAATAACTCGACTTGGGCGAGGGTCGTAGCTTTCTGTCACGGGGTCTACAGGGTTGGCAATAGTGTACCAGCAGCGGCCTGGTAGCTTGTACCACTTATGGGGGCGTGGCGCAGGTAGGGCTGTAAATCCGAGTGGAACCAGCAAATTGAAGTAGAGCCTAGGCTGCTAGTGCTGTCAACAACCAAGCTGTTGCGATAACCAGTATCCTTAAGCGGACAATGCATTGATGCCTTACTTTTCATTTCCTTTGGGACCTATGGGCGCATGGAACCGACGCCAAGCGGCAATCGCACCGACAGTAAGACATAAAGCAGCTGTTCATAGTGCCAAAGAAATGCTTTCGTTAAAGTCCAAAGTTCAGCTACCAGAAGAGGAGCTTGTACGGCCGCGACTGAGAATTGTGCTAGTATACCCATACCACGGATATTGCGCTTTGACAAACGTTAACGGGGCTAGCCGCAGTGTCAGGACGGTCAACTTTTCTCGTAATCCGCCCAATTATATTCATCTTTTTAGCGCCGCCTCCCCACTTACCATAATGCCTCCGTCCGAACGATATGGATATGGGAGGTGGTTGTTCAGTTTTTGGACCCTACCACGTGATTAAAAGACCCGGTTCATATCCTTCCGACTCTGATAGATAAGCTACCATATCACCTGACTAGTAGTTGGGTCGGTGACGACCAGCGAATCCCAGGTGCTGTATGTTTTTTTTTGACCTTTTTTCATCATTTTCATTTCTTTTGTTCAAGCAAGTCCTATCCATTTCGTCATATCGCCTCTTTGGACTCTCTCTGTATACATATGTCTTTCCGGCCATAGCTTGTCGCCCTTTCGCAAGGCTTTTTTTTCCTTTTCTTTCTCTGGGAATCCAGCAACTGCACCATACGATATAGTATCAAAGCCTCCAAAAACATTTTACTGTGTGACTCTCCTTGCCAACTTAAAATCAACTTGCATCCCCAGTCTCCCAAGTTCTACCAGTCGAGTTGGTTACATCGGGGCAAGACCGGATGTGGAGAAGAATCCGAACGCCGGAGTCGGGTTCCGGAGCATGATCCGGACAAGTGGAGACTTGGGATGTGCTGACCCGCCGGGCTCGATCTAAAAAACGGCCGGCACCCGGAGCCACTGAGCCTTCAGATTACCAGCAGGCGACTGGGGTTTTGATCCCTGGGACGATAGAAGGGCCCCGTTTTATTTTTTCCGAAGGTCACCACTCCATAGTTGCAAGTTTACTTCACTTCGAATAACGCAGGAAGGAGCATCATCACCATGGAGAGAGGGGAGGAACGAGCAACGGAACTTTGTTTATTCTTCACAACCACCCATCGCTCGTTTCGTTTTCCTCGCTGTTCTGCCTTCCTCCGAATCAGCGTCCTGTATTTTCCTCTTAGTTGTTTTATCATCAGTCTTTTAAATATTTGGCGTTACTTTGCACATATCCAGTAGCTTGATGCACCGAACGAAAGCGACATGTAGGTAGGTTGCACTTGAAGACATCCCTCTTATCCTCTCTATCTGGTTGAATTATGTCAGCCATAATCACCATGAATATTTGACAAGGAGTTAGTTCCATGTCTGTCATATAAAGGTTCGCACGCCCGGGTATCTACCTGTATAACCAAGAGGATGTAACAAGCATCCTGTTACTCTGCTTGACATGCTGTTATCCTTTTAATCCACTGCTTCGTCCATTTCCCCTCCTCTTTCCGAGTTTAGCCCGGAGTTTTCCCCGGTTCAAGCGGAGAAAAACCTTCATCCGTTCTTTCGATCTCATCCTTCGGTAATTTTCGAGCGTTGAGACACGGGCCGCGCTTCTTGCCCCGTCGCGTCCGATATAGCCGTCTTCACCGTCTTCACCGACCTAATCGTGCTCTGGTCTCCATCCCGAAGCGTCCCGCTGTCAGACTCCGGTAGTGCTGTCCCCTTGGCCAGCCACTGCTCCTGCGCCGTTGGTTTCCTGGCGACCATGACCCGGAGCTTGACCACAAAGCTGCCCGTCCTCGAGGTGTCCTCGGCAATTGCCCTCGTCTCCTGAGCAATCTGCTTACACATGTCCCGCACCACCTTGGGATCCCAACCCAGACCCTTGGTCAGAGAGCGCAAGCAGCATGCCTCCAGACCTGTGACGACCGTGAACAGCCAGAAGCTCCCGTAACTGCTATTTTCGCGGGAACCGACTCCCATGTCGTACACGGTTTCCTTGACGTCCACGTATCCGAGTTCCTCGAGGAGTTCCTTGCTCATGTGGTCAATCCCGCGCGGCCGCCCTGCCACTCGCGCGGCTTCATGAGTCCCTTTGGCCAACAGGTGTGCGGGTGAGTCTGGCGCGAAGTATGATAGGAAGTTCTCGGAGGTGAAGTGGTCGTCGTAGTCGATAACCTCGATCCAGCCGCCGGGTTTGAGGCAGTTGTACGCCTGCTGGTAGATATAGCGCCAGTCTGAAAAGGCGCCTTCCATGTTCCGGAAATGGACCAGATCGACTGCGTCGGCTGGGCGAATCCACTCGTCCTCGGCGTTCTCGATGTGAAACTCGACGTTGAAGGGGACCTGGTGGGTTGGCTGGATAGGCGCAATATCGGTCCCGAACACCTCGCACTGCGGATACTTTTCCGCCATTCCTATCGCCCATTCACCGATGCCCGTGCCGATGTCAAGGATGTAGCGGGGGTTTTCCAACGGTACCGTGGTCAGCTCGAGGTTGAAGAGCTTGAGGTACACTTGGTGAGCTACGTATTGGCGCGTTTGCTCGGTTTGGTCAACTGGCATGAAGTAGTCGCCACAGTAGGTCCGATCGTGCTCGGTGATGTAGTCGACATCTTCGGCGTATAATGTTCGCGCTGAGTCACTGAAAGAATGGGAGACTGTGAGTACGCCTCTACTGTCACAGATACAGACGTCATTTGGGCAAAATCATTGAACGCACATTGTGGCATCGTCATGCGCAGAGCCAGAGCCAGGCTGATAAGGACGGTCGACTTGGTAGGCAGCCGTCATATTGTGGTAGGCATCCATGGTGTATATCGATACCGTGTCTTCGTTTTCGTCGTCTACCTCGAGCTGAGCAATGGCGGGATTGTCCGTTGTCATTGGAGTGTCTCCTGACGGGCTTTGACTTCCTGCTTGCTGGCCTGTATTCACATTCCCAGCCAAAGGTCTTGGACTTTGGGCTCCATTGGGGCCAGGAGAGGCTCTCTGATTTTGTGGCATTTCTTCTTCCTTTTGTTTTGCTGTTGTTGGTCCTATCCTTCTAGCGAGTGCCTGGTAGTTCTACTGGGTGTGTTTGCTCGTCGCGGCCTTTTATCCATTAGATTCGTTGGTGAATATTGCTGAAATCGCGAACTAGCTGAAGGACCGCATGAGAGGCCGCGTAAAGGGAGAAGACGGCAGTGTTGTAGTCGTTTTCGTTCCCCCCATACAGTAGTTGCTTGATCAAACGAGGGTGTGGAAAGGAGAAACACACAAGGGTTGGGGAAACCGAAAAAGAAAAAAGAAACGAGGAACGGGAGGAGGTAGTCGGTAGGAGGTGAGGTGGGATGGAGGAGGTTCCGGGTCATTCCAGACCTTTAATCGGGGCCAAATGGGAGGCGGCCAGATGAGGAGGCCAGATGGAGAGGACGGGTAACACCAGCACGGGACGGGACTGGCTGGAGTTCTGCCGTGGACCGTCTCTCTCTGGAGCCAGGGACGGGCATAACGGGCTAGCGCACTTGTAGCTAGTGCCTCGTTGGGGTCGCCTTTAGTCTCCTTCAAGCTGCAGTGGCTCCTTGGCATGCCCGGGCGCCGGGACGGGAACCCAGGAAGGCAGGCCCGGGCCAGTGTTCTGAATGCGCACTGGTGGTGAGTGGGTGACTGCAGTGCCGTAGCGCACACCGTCCCACTGGGACTGGCTGCCTCCGTCCCTCGTCCCGTCCCTGACGACGAGAGCGGAGAAGGACCCGACGATGAGCTGGGACGAAGGCCAAGGTCCACCCCCACGGCGGCGCTGGACCGCACCGGCTCGTTGGTGCTGCAGATGCGGATGCGCGCACGTAAAACCAACTGCTGGTAGCCAGTTGGAAAAGAGACTCCTCACTCCATTCATGGGGCATGGGCAGGAAGTCTCACCGTCCGGCTTTCCCCCGAATGGCCACTCGCGGCCGGGGACCCGACTCGATTGGCGTTCCATTCGATTGTGCCGCGAAACTGCCTCGGTAGCAATCGTTTTCACTCTTTTAAAGCCGGATGATACCGTGATGGTACCTGAAGGAGATCAGTGATTATGCTGTACGTACCAATTTTACCAGGAGGCCGGATATGTCGTATCATCAAGGTGGACAACGAGCGGGGCAACCCGTCAGTCAGGCCCCCGTGTTTGGTGTTTTTCACTCGGCGGCCCATCCACGATCCGACAAGATGCATCAACAAGGTACGTAAAAAGGTGCATCGCCTGAGGCCATATCCCATGGCCATATCCATTGACCGTCTTATCCAGCTGCCGAATCGAGAGGTCCTTTCCGACACCCAGCCTCAGCCAAACCAATGCCGAAGAGACCGTGCGCGCTTTTACATCCATACCTACTTGTACACTTCATGACCCGGCGGCACTGGATGGTGGAGTCAGCCGCAACGGAATGGGTGGACGGTCAGTGACGGTGCAGTGCCGTAGACATGGACTGGTGAGAACTGAAAGGGCCGACCTCCGGGTACTCGGGCCCTTCCCTTTTCCACTGAAAAAGACCCATCGCATTTCTCGGGCGCGCTTCCCCGTCTGCAATGGAACGCAACTAAAATGCATCTCTCTTCCTTTCCTTCTCATCCTCGGCTTCTTGGCTTCGCTTCTTCTGCTCCTTCCTCCAGAGTCCTCAGTTGGCTCTGATTGAAACACGACAACACCAGCATTTTGGTACTCTTCTCCTGTATCCCACAAGACTCCGAGGTTGACAAGATCCCCATTGGATACACGTATAATTGTACGTTCGTGCTTCCGACATGTCACAGCCTACACCGTACACAGCGGACCATGTTATACACCTGCAACAATAATACAACATCCGACAGCCGCGGGAGCAGCAGGAGTGGCAGCGGCGGACGGGCATCCCCTCGAGACACATCGTCTCGTCCCAAGCCATCATTCCTGCAAATACCCTCTCCTTTAACCAACTGGTTGGGACGAAACCGAACCCGGTGCGCTGGACTCGGGGCCCCCTTGACAAGCTTCCCCACTTTGTATGGAAGCACAGCTTTGGTGCCAGCAAGTGCTTATTTTCGAGGATTGATGTGTTCGGTACTCCGTACCTGGCGTTAGCTACTAAGTCTAGGTACTAGCAACAAATCGGGCCCCGCACAGATCTTTTACTCATTTACCTAGACCTTTTGAGGTTTTCTTTGAACCTTCGGATTTATGACCCATGAAATCCGGAGATGTGCTCTGCAGGATGTCTTCAATGTCATGAACTTTGTTGGTGGTTATTGGTCTGGCCCCCGATGCCCCGGGCGCCCCGGGATGAAAGTCGGGAAATATATTTAATCTTTCTCCCGAACCAACATCCGGCGGCGAAGTATACAGGTGCAAGCAAAGTGCACCTCAGGCATCCTGTCTCAAGTTCACGATTAGACCAGTTAAGACAGTGAACATTGATGCTTACACTAAAACGGAAGTATACCAACTGCAAGCGCTTCATTGTTGATGCTTAACTTGACCATCGCAGCTCAGCATCATGAAAAAGATCATGATCACCTCCATGCTTCCTTCCTTCCTTCCTTTCACGCATCCCGCCCATCCTTCCAGACTCATCCATCAATATCTCCTCCTGCCACGCGGCGTGCATTCGTACGGTGGGAGTGTGGTGTAAAACCCGTGGGCCAGGTCGCTGACGATCGCTGACCACACAGTGCCCTATACATGACAAGGGGGTTTTTACTTCCAGGTTTCGCTCCCAACCACAGTACCGGTACATGCATACCAGACAGGAGTATCCTACCTACCTGCCCTCAACTGAAGTAGCGGTCAATTCTATCACTTTCTCTCTCTCTCTCTCTCCCTACCTTCCCAGCTCCCACACGTGTTTCTACGCCCGCAGGCCCGTAAGGAAACTAAAGAGAACGAATCCACACCTCCGGAAAATAACCCGTTGGTTGTATGGGGAGAGGTTCAGACAGATAGATACCCGACTGCAAGTGTTTTTCTGTCACTTTTTAGTCAGGGGAGGTAGTCCGAGCCAGACAGATTTGGACCCCAAACTCCAAAGTTCCAAATGGCCGGGCGGAGGGAGGCGAAAAGGACACGAAAAAAGAAACCTGTCATGTCTAAAAAAAAAAAAAATCCCCAAGTAACAGATCTGGACTTGACTGAACTGAAATGCATGTTTGCTTGTTTGTTGCTGCTCTATCGGAGAGATAGAAGATGCACAGGAATAAAAATAGAGGACTGAGAGGGCTGATGTAGATGTAGGTATGATGTGAGAGAAGTATTTTGGGTCTATACAAAAGAAGAAGTTGCGTGGTGGCAACGTTGGTAGGTAGGTAGGTAGCGAGAGATACCAACCTCCTTTATTCTGTTTTGGGAGATAGACTGAGTAAGTAGTGAGCACGAATTTTGCCGAGGTAAATGCAGCTAGCTCCTGGGAGTTGAATAGAAGTGAGTGTAGATGTATGCTAGGAACGGCTTGAGCATTTCTATTTCTCAGGGTTTGCTTTTGACCATGCCTGCGGCTACGAAACAAAGATGGCGGTCTATATGTCTATTCTGTCGGAAAATGAAGACATCTCGCTGCTATCCAATGGGGTAATTGAGGTTTCCAAAAGACCCGTCTTGTCTAAATCCTTGCCAGGAAGACGAGAAAACGAGTCAAGAAGAAGAGAAGAAAACCAACATATGAACAGCGGCTCCGTTTGTGAAATATTATCACCTCCATATTGAAGTTCCATCAACTAATTGACAATCCGCTCGTCCCTAACCCGCTAGAACACAAACCATCTAACTAAACCATAGCGAACCTCCCGGGCAAGGCCCTACCCGTCTTTTCCATCATTCCTAGCTGTTTTCTTTCCAAACTCTGCCGTATCCTGGTATCAATCCCTATTCCCTCCCTCTGGTATCCAAAGAAAAAAAAACAATTCCCCAGACGAGAGTTCCTATGACCCCAAAATCAACCCAAGACAATTGACTCCCTCTCCAACCCTCAGTTGCTACCCCTGCGCCATTCCCACTCAAACAACCTTCATACCTCGGCATCCCCCCCAAAAAGCAAAACCACAACCTTCTCATTGATCTTATCCACGGCAAGTTAGCACCGGGACCACCTTCCTAAGCAACAGTTCCCCGGGCCTTTTTGTTGAAGCTGTTTTTGGTGATATCATCTCCGACCACGGTCGAAAGCTTGCGCTTATTTCGTGATTGTGGCTCGTCGTAAGGGGTCGTGGGTCGATCATCTGTAGCCTCATCATCGAGACTCTCCTCCTCATCTAATGTGATCCCTGGACTTGCTAGCCCGGTGTTGGTAGCGGGATCTCTTAGGCGTGGAGAACCCAGGGTACAGCTCCTTGGTATCCCATTAGATCCATAATTCGTGTTGTCTCGCGACATTTCCCTCGTTTTGTGGTGATATTCTCTTTCGCGACGTTTTTGTTGATGTTGATCTTGATGTCGATGTCGATGTTGTGGGTTTGGTGACCTGGTAGAATTCGATGTTTCCTTCAGTCTCTCCAATGAAGCAGAAACCGCCGTCTCTTCTCTTATAAACCCCAAAGTGACGGGCTCGTCACACACCTCGGCCCCTTCCTCATCCAGCACCCCATCTCCGCTCCCAGCTGTAATGGGAAAAGGCGTCAACACGTTGGTGATATCACCCCACCACCTTTCCCCAAACCGTGTGTACCAGTCCACTGTGATCCTTAGCCCTTCTTCGAAGCTAGTTTTCGGCTCCCAACCCAGTTTTCGCAGCTTGGTGCCGTCAACGGCATACCGATGATCGTTGAAAGGGCGGTCGTGGGTGTATTTGACCCAGCGATGGAACTCTTCTTGTTCTGCCACAGGGGGGCACGACGAGGGCGGTGATGTGGTGTAGTTGCAAGGAGGAGATGATGAAGGAGATCGAGGGGAGATAATCTCCATTTCGACTAAGAGCTTGTGGCAAAGCGACAGGTTGCTAATCTCATCGTAAGAACCAACGTTGTAGATCTCCCCTAGCTGGCCCCTGTGCAGGATGGTATCGAAGGCGTCGGCGGCGTCACCTGCATAGAGATAGCGGCGAGTGGGCGAGCCGTCTCCGTGAAGGACAACGGGCTTTCCGCGGGCGAGTAAGCAGGTGAACTTGGGAATGATTTCTGACACAGTCATTAGTAGGGCAGGCAGGGTGGGAAAGAAGGGATGAACTCACTCTCTGGGTACTGATGAGGACCATAAACATTGTTGCTCCTCACTATAATGACTGGTAGTTTGAAGCTTTTCTTGTAAGAGTTCACCAACATCTCGGCAGCAGCTTTACTGGCCGCATAAGGGTTGGTGGGTGCCAAAATGCTCGTCTCCAGAAGATCATCTTCGTCATCCTTTACCTCACCATACACTTCATCGGTAGACACGTGAATAAAGCGCTTGATGCCCACCTTCCTTGCGCTCTCGAGAAGAACATGGGTGCCGTAAACATTGGTGTGAGTGAAACCGAATGGATTTCCAAAACTCAGATCGACATGTGATTGAGCGGCAAAGTGAAAGATGGTGTCGATATTATACCGCTTCAGACAGTCCATGACCTCGGAAGGATTCGTAATGTCGCCTTTGTAAAACGAAAAGTTCGGCTCATGTTCTAGTGCCCTGGTGTTGTTGAGCGATGCGCAGTAGTCTAACTTGTCGAAGGAGACGACGTTGTAGGCTTCTGGATACGTCAATACCAAGTGTCTGACAACCCAACACGCTCTGATACACCGAATTCTGTTAACCACACTGACATAAAAGAACCAAAAGAAGCGCAGTTTGGTGCTAGACAGGGGTCCTTAATCGAGGGTAGGGTAAGTCTTACATGAAACCAGCGCCTCCCGTAACCATGATGTTCTTTACATCAGGTAGAGGAGTGAATTTTGTGGTGCCGGTAAGCACAGGAGCATCACGCCAAGTCTCGTTGTCATCGAAAAAGCTCTCCTGTTGAGAGCTGGGCGAGATAGGCGTAACCGCTAACCAAACGAATATTGGTTAGTATGAAGGCCATCCAGGAGAAACAAGCCATGATTTCGATATTTTGGAATTGAACTCACCACCGTTGTACCGGCAAGTTGACTCTTGTGTCGCGAACGTCATTCTTTGGTTCTGGCCGACTCCAATACCCGGAAACTCGAGATTCTGATGGCAAAGTGGCTGGCTGCGGTGCACCCTTCCTCATGAGCCACCCACGAGTTCGCGCAGAGGCGTATCCGTACGCCTGACAACTAAGTGGGCTAATTTTTTTGCTGAATTGGTGAGCAATTGAAAACTGGCATAGACCTGCATCGCGTCATCGGAGACTTGTGCCTTGGGCAATGACATACATAGTGTAAGTATGCAGAGCGCATAGACGCGCGAGTGTATGCTGCAAGTTACTTGACAAAACCTCGAAGATGCGGCGCCTCTTTAAGTCTTCGAAAAGGTCGAGAGTAGTGATCACGGACTGGACGCGCCATGCGAATGATGAGGGCGGAGTTGAGAACAAACGCAAGTTGAAGAGACGAGGACCAAAAGAGTGACACGGCGTGACAGTGACACAACGAAGTTGGAACGAAGGTGGTGTTATGGAAGAAGTCAAGCTCTCGTAATTGTCGTAATGGTAATGGTCGTATTATTGATCCCTGGCGGACCTTGGCCCTCCGAACACCCAAGACTCGGTGCCACCGATTCGGTATGCGCACCAGTACCACCTCGGCTGGGGATAAGAGGGTGCTAAACCCGTGAGAAATAAATTGATGATGGGAGAAGGCAAAGTTTTTGGGGGTTGCCACTTTTGTGTTAGATTGAAGGATTGCACCTTTGTTCCCTTCTGCAGATTTCAATTGTGACTTGCTGCCAATGGAATGAAACCCCGCGTCAACCAAAGAAAACATCCCTGTACGGCCCTGAAAGTTACCTGACGCTACGGGCAAAGATCCGAGGATGTCACTGCCATTTTTCAACGACAGTCCAAGGTTCCTGCCCGGTTTGTTCTGTGTTTTGGGACGATTGCGGTGCTGCCCCTGAACTGAAACTTGGTCATCGTTCCACTTATCACCACCGCTATAAATAACGATATGCCCCCGAGTCCTCACGAGGGCATAGCCCACTGCGGGTTGGGTTATTTCGATGACTCGTCAGTTCGATAACGACCCGACGACGACCAAGTGGAAAAGCACGGGAATAACCTCTACTGTGTAGCTGATAGGCGCGGTTGAAACTCATTCCTCCCCCGCACAAGTCCACTCGCGCCTCCGATTTCCCCGTACATCTCCACGTTTTCTTAAAGTTTAGGTGTCTCCGCTCTCCTGGTGGGGATCCCGCGCTGCGTCATAACGGCCATGTCCTTAAAACCCTCGGCCTTCCTCCATCCATCTGGCCTTGTTGTCTTTGACTTCTACAAACAAAGCTTTGTATACGGAAATGACAATGGAAGACCAAACAAATCCGATAAAACAAACGTCTTCATCCATGATGAGATCGCCATTTCTTTCTGAACACTCTTCTATGAACTAGATTTTCCACTAGCCTCATGCGAGGTACATCATCCTCAACGTCCTGGCAGCAAGGGTACCACACCCACCTCCACATCGGCACATGTATCGGCCTGTATGCCTGTCATCGCGGATCGAGATGTTGACTCAGGCCCGAAGCTGCGCTGAACCGTGTTGCCTTTTTATGTACGAAATCGATTCGGTGTTACTTGAGCCGAAATATCAGCGAGCGATGGATATGATGGCTGTCTCCGTCTTGGCACACACTCTTTGGTTCATCCACGGAAGGAAACTCTTTTTGGCCGAGACAGAAAACAGACCTGGACTCGGCACCAGAATCATTGCTAATGCCGAGGGCGCTGGAATGTCTTTATGGTCTCAGTAGTCTAGACATACAAGATGTTTCGGGAAGACTCACTTGAGCCGTGTTCATCGGATCTTGTCTTACACAGAGGACCGTGGTCACGGTGATCTTCTTTTCCTCTTCCGTGAGGGTTTGACGTTTCCGTCCATGTAAATTCTTTTGACGACACCTTGTAACTGATCGGGTAATGACACAATGTGACTTGACCCCCGCGCGTTATCAGAAGAGAGAGGTACGGTCTCTGTCTGGCATCATATTGCCCGTCATCAAATCTTCAACTTCAAAGTTCCACCATCAAGAAGGCAGAAACACTTACTCAACAAGATGCCTGGAGACCAAGAAAACTCAGCCGCAACGGCATCATCATCCCCAGCGGCATCCAGCTCAACCAGAGTCAGCGAGACAAATACTCGAATCAGTCATGACAGCTTCCATCTTGAAAGGCCCAAGACACCAGGAGAGCTCGAAGATGGCGAAGATGATCATGATCAAAGCCTCTTCCTCCCCGAACATGAAAACCCAATATCTCAACCATCAGAAAACTCACCGACATCAGCCTTCTTCTGGATGGCCATCAACACCATAGCCACAGTATTGATTGTACGTCCCATTTCTTCCCTCCCCTCCCCTCCCCAGCTCTTCCAACATCCCCTTACTGACTGACGACCGAATCATCCAGGTCTTCACAAACAAATCCATCTTCTCCACCCCGTCCCTCCGACTAACCCAGCTCTCCTTCGCAACCTTCCACTTCCTCACCACCTACCTGACCCTCTTTCTCCTTTCGCGCCCTCCGCTCTCCCTCTTCGTCCCTCGCTCCATCTCCCTCCGGGACACTCTCCCCCTCAGCATCGCCATGTCCCTCAACGTGATCCTCCTCAATTTGTCATTAGCCTTCAGTTCTGTAACCTTCTACCAGATCGCCCGGATCCTGCTCACGCCGACCGTGGCGGTCATGAACTACGTTCTATACCGCTCGGTTTTGCCCGGGAGAGCCGTGTTGGCGCTGGTCCCGGCTTGTGTGGGGGTGGGGATGGTTAGTTATTATGACACCCTGCCACTGCCTTCTTCTTCTTCTTCAACCGGAACCGGAACCGGAACCGGTCTAGCAGCAGACCAAACGCAAAAGCAGACAGTCGAAACCACAACCCCCCTAGGCATCCTCTTCTCCTTTCTCGGCATCCTCGCCTCCTCCCTCTACACCATCTGGATCGCCCACTATCACCGCAAGCTCGGCGGCATCTCCAGCATGCAGCTGCTGTACAACCAAGCCCCCGTGGCAGCGTTTATGCTGCTTTACGCGATCCCCTTTGTGGATGTCTTTCCAAATTGGATGGTAGACGTGCCGGTACAAAAATGGGTGTTGATACTGCTGAGCGGACTGTGGGCGAGCTTGATCAACATCAGCCAGTTCTTCATCGTGGCAAGGACGGGCCCCGTGTCGAGCACGGTGGTGGGACATGTCAAGACTTGCACGATTGTGGCGCTGGGGTGGGTGGTCGGTGGACGGGCGGTTACGGATCGAGCGGTTTTGGGGGTGGTGGTTGCGTTGGGGGGATTGTTGGGTAAGTTTCGATTGCCTTTTGCTGCTGATGAGGGGACTGACTGACTGACTTTGTCTTTGCTGTGTTAGATATTCGGTGGTGATGCTTAAGGGAAAAGCTAAAGAGGCTGCTCAGAAATCGTAGGTAAAATAGGGGAAATGGGAGATGTTGTTATGACAAAAGACACGGTTAAGGAGTTCATTCAGGCGCCCACGTTTCCAACAGTAGGTATCAAGTGTCTGGTCGTTCCCGCGTATGATGTGAAAGGAATTCCACGAAGCGAGTCGCACGCATTCTGCCCCAAGACCGCAGTCCATCACGGCCTTCGATGCATCATCAAGTATTCGACATGATTGGGACCTGAAAATTGATGATTATGCCTTCCTGCCAAACCCTTTTGTGAACCCATAACGCCACACACAAACTCGTATTAGACAAATACTCTCCAGTGCCAACAAAGACGCTGGCATACCGAAAGAAGGGTATCACGAATACTGCCATCATGATCAGCTCCTTTAGAGGTTAAAGCGTGTGCGGACCTTCTCCATCTTGGCCTTCCACTCCCACTTCAAAGCATCCTCTCCTTCGCTGCCAGCCCGGCCGATGCCCTTGTCCACTCTGCGAAGCTTGAGCGTAAATCCTATCATAACAAGTCAGCCACTTTTCGGTCCATCCATAAAGACCCTGATTTTCTGCGATGAAAGACTTACTGGGCCCAATCTCCTGCAAACCGGCACGGATACCCTGCATACCCTCCATCTCTTTGCCCTCCGCAGTAACCACGTTTTTCTCGGTCGCGCGCGCCTCGCGGAAGACGTAGCGGTGGCGCCGGAAGAAGATGTAATCACGCTGGTTGTGCAGTGTTACGACCTGGCGACCTTGAAGCTCGGGCTTGGGAGGGAACATGGTGTGCATCGACTTGGCGGCGAGGATACCGAGAGGGGTCTTGAAGCCGTTGAGGAGAAGCTCAGGCTGTAGTTTTACGACGATTAGTCTCATTGCCCCGTGCTTGACGAGCTCAGGGATCATGATGGACGGCTTACATAGTGGTTTGTAGGGTTACCGTGGCCGAGGAGAGCCTTTCCGGGTAGGTAATTCCGGATGGTGTATGTCAATGAAGGGCCGGGGGGAACATCTTCGCCGTTGAGATGGATGACGGTGAGCGAGCTGGGCTTCTTGAGATCTTCGCCGACAATCATAAGGATCGTGTATCCGCGGTCTATAACAGTTCAGGCCTGTTAGCAGTCTTCTCTTGGGCAACAGAGCTCCAGCTTGGGTGCGCTACTCACTCTTAGCGAACTTTGCGATCTCGCGAACACTGTACTTGTGTCCATAAGCGTGCGCACTGCGTCTGATGTACGTGCTGTTAGGGAAGATGGCAGCAATGTCCTCCGCCTCCTTGTGAATGGTGCCGTTCAGATGGGTGGTAACCAGCACCTTGGGGTCGACTGGGGGTTCCTCGTTGAAGAGATTGGGGAATTGTCGTGTGAGCGAGTCGGGAGTCATGTCTAGATTTGTCGACGTGGTCGAGGGAGCGATGCTGGGTTTCCTCTGCGCGCGCTCCTGTCTGAGCCTCTCCATGCGCTCCTCGGCATCTTCGTCGTCGTCTTCGCCCTCCTCGTCGGAGTCCAACATAGAATCGGCATCATCGTCCTTCTCGTCATCCTCCTCCGCGACACCATCGGCTGCCCTGGCGGCCTCAGCCTCCTCCTTCTCCAAACGCCTCCTCTTAAGCTCGGCAACATCCACAGCGACGCCCAGGCTGTCGTCGTCAACATCGTCCCACACACGTTTCCTCTCAATGGTCAAGGGTTGGTTGGTTGCGAGGCGCTCTTCTCTGAGTTTGGGGTCCTTGGCCTCCTCCTTCCTGCGCCGGTGACGCTCCTCATGGCGTTCCTTTCCCTGCTCCTTCTTTTGCTTGACGTATAATTGCTTTCTGACAATCTTGTTGGAGGTCTTGAGCGACAGCGAGCCGCCGGAGCGGTTTTTGCCCTTGTTACCGGACGGCATATCGGCTACGATGTGGTGATACGGCGATGGGATCGGTGGTTGTCGCGGTGATTGGATTGTAGGATCGATCCTCCAGGTCGCAGTTCAAACTTCGACGTGATGCTGGGCAGTTGTTGATAACGATTGAATTGAATGCAGTGGGCCCCGATAAACTTTCTCTAAACTTTTTTCTGGGCCCAGAGCCGCCAAGGACGCCAAGGCGTGTAGCCACAAGGGTACCCCAACAGCTAACGCACGGCCCCAGCCGGGGACAGGTACGTACCGCTACCCCTCAGTACTTCCTGACTGTCACCTGCACAGGATCACTCCATCCCGTCCCTTGCTGTCGGTGCAGGCAAGTTGGGACGGAAGTGACTCTTTTGGGATGAAGAAGGGCGGTACCATGAACTCTTGAAAGTCAATCGAGTGTCTACTAATTCTATGGTCAATAGCCGATGAAAGAGTCCCGTCACAAGAAGCTTATCAGCGGAATGCCCTTTCTGTAAGGGAGTTACAGCAGCATGTGCAGTTCCACTTCCTGATGGCTGGTGGATTCCATGTGAGTCGAGCCTTCTGTCGCGTACCGCGCCGCCACTGACGGCGGCTCGAGGGCGGGAATCTGGACCGCTGTCCCTTGGCTTTTCTGGGTTGGTGCCGGCCCCTCCATGGCGCCCCCCCCAGAAAAAATCATCCCGCGATTGTTAAAACGTGTTTGAAAAAGGCCTCGACGAAACCACAGTGGGCGACCGTGACTCACTTGGTTCCCTTGAGCACTGTAACAAGATCAATTCATGCGGCCTCTTGCCCGTCTCGCCTCCCTCCGTTCTTCTGTTTCTGGTCAAGCCTTTAAATCGACGTTATCCACCCGAGCTGTCACCAGTCGAACTACTTGGACCCCGGCGACCGTCTCGCGAATCTCTTCGACTTCGCTCCGATCCTTCTCCCTCTCTACCCCGCACCATCGCTTCCAAGTCCACGTCAAAAAACAAAACACCAAGATGACCTCGACGGCCACCACCCTTAAGGGCCAACCCCTCGACAAGGGCGTTCTTGAGTCCATGCTGCGCCGCCGCATGTTCTTTGCGCCCTCCTTCGATATCTACGGCGGTGTTGCTGGCCTCTACGACTATGGCCCGCCCGGCTGTGCCCTCCAGGCCAACATCATCGACATCTGGCGCAAGCACTTCGTCCTCGAGGAGGACATGCTCGAGGTCGACTGCACCGCCCTGACCCCCCACGATGTTCTCAAGACCTCGGGCCACGTCGACAAGTTCGCAGACTGGATGTGCAAAGACCCCAAGAACGGCGACATCCTGCGCGCCGACCACTTCGTCGAGGACGTTCTCGAGGCCCGCCTCAAGGGCGATAAGGAGGCTCGCGGCCAGAAGGTGGAGGACAAGGAGGAGGACCCCAAGCGCAAGAAGAAGAAGGCCAAGGGTACTGAGGCTGTCAAGCTCGAGGACGCCGTCGTCAAGGAGTACGAGGAGATCCTCGCCCAGATCGACAACTACAACGGCGAGCAGCTCGGCGAGCTCATCAAGAAGTACGACCTGAGGAACCCCGCCACCGGCGTCCAGCCTGAGCCTCCCGTGGCCTTCAACCTCATGTTCCAGACTGCCATTGGCCCCAGCGGCAACCTTGCCGGCTACCTGCGCCCCGAGACCGCTCAGGGCCAGTTCCTCAACTTCGCCAAGCTCCTCGAGTACAACGCCGGCAACATGCCCTTCGCTTCTGCCTCCATTGGCAAGTCCTACCGTAATGAGATTGCCCCTCGCGGCGGTCTTCTCCGTGTCCGCGAGTTCCTGATGGCCGAGATCGAGCACTTCGTTGACCCCGCCAGCAACAAGAAGCACGACAGGTTCCACGAGGTTGCAGACATCGAGCTTGCCCTTCTCGACCGCAACGTCCAGCTCTCTGGCCAGACCACTGTCACCAAGATGACCATTGGCGAGGCTGTCAAGCAGAAGATCGTTGACAACGAGACCCTCGGTTACTTCCTTGCTCGCATTCACCTCTTCCTCAAGAAGATCGGTATCGATCAGTCCAAGATCCGCTTCCGTCAGCACATGGGCAACGAGATGGCTCACTATGCTTGCGACTGCTGGGATGCTGAGCTTCTTACCTCGTCCGGCTGGGTTGAGTGCGTTGGCTGCGCTGACCGTAGTGCCTACGATTTGACTGTGCACGCCAAGAAGACTGGTGCGCCCCTCGTTGTGCGTGAGTCTCTCGAGACTCCCGAGATCGTTGAGAAGTGGGAGCCCGAAATCAACAGCAAGAAGTTTGGTCCTACCTTCAGGAAGGATGCCAAGACCGTTGAGGCTGCTATCCTTGCTCTTCCTCAGGAGGAGCTTGCTAAGCTCACCGAGGAGCTCAAGGCCAACGGCAAGATCGTCGTTGACGTTCCCGGTGTTGGTGATGGCAAAGTTGAGGTTAGCAAGGACCTGCTTGCCATTGAGTGGAAGAAGCACACCATCAACATCCGCGAGTACACCCCTAACGTTATCGAGCCCTCGTTCGGTATCGGCCGTATCCTCTACTCTCTCCTCGAGCACAACTACTGGATTCGCGAGGGTGATGAGTCCCGCGGTGTAAGTGACATATTCAAGATTTACTTGGTAATATTGGCTAACCAGACCCTTCTAGGTCATCTCCTTCCCCCCTGCCGTCGCTCCTGTCAAGGTCCTTATCGTTCCTATCTCCAGCAAGGCCGAGTTCGCTCCTCACGTCCGCAGGCTTTCCCAGAAGCTCCGCTCTGTCGGTATCTCCAGCCGTGTGGATGACTCGTCTGCCTCCATCGGCCGTCGTTACGCCAGAAACGATGAGCTCGGTACCCCCTTCGGCCTTACCATCGATTTCCAGACTCTCCAGGATGGTACCTTCACCCTCCGTGAGCGCGACAGCACACGGCAGGTCCGTGCTGAGGAGGCGAAGATTATTGATGCCATCAAGGCGCTCGTTGAGGGCTCCAAGACATGGCAGGATATCGAGTCCGAGCTCCCTATCTTCGAGGGCCAGGAACTTGAGATCCGCCCCGCTGAGAACTAAGATGTATAAAAAGGAAGTAAAAGGCGGCAAGCAAGGAGTAAAGGGGTAAACGGATTTTGCTAATTTAGCATGCCATGTTTGGAGAAATTTTGGTTCGCTTTGCGGTAGACAAAACGTTTGATGCGAGCGAAAAATGAATGAATGAAAGCAAAAAACGTATGGTAATGCTGGGTTTCCATTGTGAATTTTCACCACAGAACCACGTCTGCGCTGTTGGCTCATACGCCCGTTGGTTTGAGGACGAGAATCCTCAGACCAACACCAACTGTTACGCGCACCCAAAGGGATGAGACTCTTCACAATGTAGTAATCTCATCCTGACATGTGATGCGAAGGTGGTCTCTCCGGATGTATCCACAGATCCTGGTGGCTTGTTCTCGAGCGCTTGAGGGACTAAACTTGAAACAAGTAACGCACTCGTCATTTCGTTTCTTGTTTCTCCTTTCTGTTCCTCTCCTATCATCCTCTTTTCTACACACCAACGAAATGGACACGAGAACAAAAACAAGAATGTTCGAAACATCGAACATTGTAGCGGAAATCCTCCGGAAGTCCCTTGTCAGCATGCTACCGTAGGCCTCGCGTTTCTGTCTCAGGATAGACAGGGGTGCAATTCACGAGCCCCTCAGCGCCAAACCGCCCAAAGATGTTTTGGATGGTCTCGAGGTCGGGCTTTGTCTTTGCCACTGTCGTGCATCAGATGCGCGGCTAGATCTGTATGTAGTGTACATGTGCCGTATCGTACAAAAGAGCCCCGTGCGTCAGGTATGTACATTACAGCAAGAGTCTGTCCAGACGGGAACGATGATGACGATCCTTTTATTTCTTCTTCTAGAAAGGGACCAGAAGAAGAAAAAAAAAACAGCCCCAAGCCAGGGGTTCTACTATGTACCCAAGATTTGAAGCAAGGGGTCCCTACGCGAACTCAAGTCCGGTACGAGGGGACGATCACATGGTTCACCTGGTTCCCGTCCTTTTTCCTTTCTGTGTTTCAACGGAACACTCGCTCGTCCCTCGAGATGCACGTATCCGCAGCGGGAAACGAGACGGCAGACCCTTAAATTCTTTTCAGTTGTCTTGGACGAACTGTTCTGCTGAATGTGTTGTTCCATATGTTATTTGACGTACGATGACCCTCGGTTACTGCGTAACGCTGAGACTGTTCTGTCGGTTGATCGTAGCGGCATAACGATATCGAACTAGTGGCAGAGATTCTCTAGGGTCTTAAGATTGGGTTTTACCGTCCAGTCGTGATCTGTCCATATCGGAACCGAACACCGCTTTAACGGGACCGGATGAAAGGTTGGTGCGTGATGAATGAAGCCTCGTGGTAATGACGGCATAGCTTGACAAAGAAGGTAGCGCCCGATGTTTTTGAGATCACACAAAGGGTGGTGTTCAAAAGTTCTGGGTATCTGTACGCCTGCGCTTGGAGAGCCTCACGACGGCGGACGACATGTGGGACGGGGAATGACTGCAGAGATATCTGGGATGGGCTCCCCAGTCTCTGTTATTTACAATTTGATAGGTCCCAGACTGGCGCAGAGCATCTCAATTTCCATCACGATGACCTCGAAGCTTCCCCGGTGGCCGATGATTCCACTGCTCTCACCATTCCGCTGGTGTGTACTATGCAGTAAAGTCGATAGAAAAGAAAGTCAAAAAGCTCCGTTAAGACGGTACCTGCGCGCTAGGCGCAGAATGTGTTGCACAAATAAGTATCTCGGTATCCACCCGAGCTAAGGCAGTAAGATGAATACCCGCTTTGATCGAGTCCGCGATGGACCTGACTGGTCGGCGCCCTGTCCCCCCTTTCCCGCTGCAGTCTTCGTTACTCTGCCACTCCCAGTCTCCCACACGTTGGCGCACTGCATCTGCCCCGTTCCCCACCATTCTCACGCTACCTAACCGTCCAAGGCTTCAAAACGTTCAATGGTCGCTCGAACAGGTGCCGGACCGCAGCTGTAACTGACGGGCCAGTTTGATGGACCCTCACAATGTTTTGGGTTCGACCATTCAACTTGCTGTGGTGAGAGATGTTCAGCGCAAAGAGGAGACAGTAGGGCATCATCGCTTGTTGTTGTTGTTGTGTTGGGCGTCTGGACCATAGTTGTGGATGGTATACGTAAGGTAGTTAGTTGTTGTAAGGAGAATACAAAAGGGAACTGGAAACAACCAAAGACACCACAACCCGGACGCACCAAAAGCTCGACCAGGATCCCAGGACCCCTTAGGCATGGATGTTTTTGCCCCATACAGGCAATAATACCAATACCCCTTACTACTGCGACCTCACGCAGCGCCGACCTGGAGTCCTTGCCAACCCCTTTCGACTCTGCTCGTCTTTCTTTCAACTCCGAGCGTTGTCTGTCCTCTTGCCTTTGACACCGTTGATCTCCGGCGTCAAGGATAACGCAGATTCGCGAACAAGACAGGCAATCGTCTGGCCTGACCGCCATCGCATCGTTCCGCTTGTCTTGTCGCCTTGAGTCTTTCACTACAGCAACCAGCACCACTACGACTGTCCGCCCGCTACCAGGCGTGCCTTGAACCTCCACTGCCTTTCTCTCGACAGCGACGGCCTGCGAACCGATCGCTCCGTGGCCTCCAAAGAAACAAGTCTTCGAACCAGAACCAGAAACACATGCCGCCTTAGTCGCCTGTTGATCTTATCGAACGCGCCTGAACCGACCCTCTCCTCGGTCGCTTCTTCTCCCCTGTCGCGATCGACCCGCTTAGTCGTTTTCTAATTCAACCGACCTGTGCCAACTGACCATACGACCACTGTCGCTACTGGTCCATTCTTTTCGCAGATTGTCTTGCGGTCGGAGCCGGCTTTATCTTTGGGCCTTCTGGTGCGTTGGCGACCCTGCCACCATTCACGCGCAACCCCACCTTTTGAACCGTCTATTGACCCGGCGACAATAGGAAGCACAGCTGTCAAACTCCAGTTCCCGCAACTTAGGGGATCGTCGCGACTACGCGCAGTCTATTTCTGGCTCAAGGACAGCTAGACCTATCTCTATCGAAGGAGTAATTGCAATCCGACACAATGGCGCAAAATGGGTATGCCCGCCCTCTCCTATGCTTCTCCCACTCCGCCCATCGTCGCAAATCTCTCCTCCTCTCCCACATGACATCTCGCTCCCGCTACTCAGACAATTTCCCCAGTGGAGCTTGGCTTCATTACCTTGGCCTATCTTCATTCCTTCCCCTGTTGGAAATCATATAGGGTCTGTAGACATTATGCTAACCTCGACCTAAACCGCAGCAACATATACTCGAGGGAGCCGTTCATGAACCCAGGCCCAGCGCCGCGACCTCCCACGGACCAGCCCCGCCTCGGCCTCACCCCCAACATCAATACACCCGGGAACATGTCCAATCTTCCTGGGAACATGTCCAACCTGAGCCTTCGGTCGCCTGCCCCAGGGGTAACTAGCACATACAGCGGTTCGACCATCGCCCTCCCCATCCAACGACAGATGTCAAACAACGACGGCACCGGCGGCCTTGCCGTCATCAAGCAGGGCTGGGCCAGTGTCAAGGAGAGCAAGAACTTCATCAACCCTTGGAAGAACAAGTACCTGATACTGCGAAAGGAGTCACTGGATTTCCACAAGGCCGAGAGCAGTAAAGTTGCCTATACCCTCTACCTCAAGGACGTTATCAACGTCGGCCGTGTGGAGGCCGCAGGAACCATTTTCGAAATCAAGAGGCAGTCTAGCGGTGCCTCCACGAGTCCCGGCGAGGAGGAAAATGGCATTAGGACCCTTCAAATCCGCGTGAAGGCCGACGACGACCTTTACGAATGGATTGACTTTATTTACGCGCGCTGCCCCGGCATGGGCGGTGTCAGCAACCCTACCAACTTTTCGCATGCCGTTCACGTTGGATTCGACCCCCAGACCGGCGAGTTCGTCGGCCTGCCTCCTGAGTGGTCTAAGCTGCTCAACTCTTCCGCCATTACCCAAGAAGACTACGAAAGGAACCCGCAGGCCGTCTTCGAAGTCCTCGATTTCTATTCCGACTTCAACAAGAATGGCGGCCAAGCGCCCACCCCCAACTTTCCCGCTCCGCCATCGAACAGCGTGCAGAGCAAGCAGCTCGGATACCCGAGCGGTGGAAACTCTGTCGCGCCGCCGCGCCCTACGCAGCCGTTGCAACAGCGTAACCCAAGCTCCAACTACCCATCCTCGCCACCGCAGCAAGGTGGCGCCAGTTCTCGCCCATCGCCCCCCGAGCAGCGCCAGCAGATGTCGCCGAACTACAACTCTGAGCGCGCGAGAGAGGAGCAAAGGCGCGAACTGGAGCGCCAGCAGAGAGAGATGGAGGAGCGGGATCGCCGGGACCAGGAGGCTTACAATGCGTCACTCCCCAAGTCCAAGACTCCCATGGCTCAGCAGGAGATCGGAGGTGGTGGCTATAGTAGTGCGGATCGCTTTAACCCTACACGGGCCGCTCCACCAGCGCCCAAGGGCTTGCAGCAAGCGCCGAGTCTCAAAGCTCAGAGACCTGCGCCTCCTCCACCAAGTTCCAGTTCGAGCCGCCCGCCCATCGCACAGCAGTCCAGTTCCAGTTCACAGCGTGATCTTGCCCAGGCGCAGGCGCAGAGACGGGCTGAGCAGCAGGCTCAGGCACAACGGTCCCAGAATGGTCAGGCCCCCCCACGACCACCTCACCCATCGGCCAACCAGCCATCCAAGATTCCTACGACCGTCAAGCCGCTTAACGTGGGTCCGAAGCAACCTCAGGATGGTGTCAAGGCCGCCGAAGCTGCTCTTACGTCTAAGCCCGCTGCCTCCGAGCGTTCCAAGGATGTTCGCATGTCGACCATGTCGGAGAAGGAGGTTATGCAGAAGCTCAGGGAGGTTGTCTCTCAGGAAGACCCCGAAGCCAAGTATTCCAAGCAAAAAAAGATCGGGCAGGGTGCCTCTGGCTCCGTGTACGTCGCCAAGGTCAGGGAGAGACCCGGCCAGGATCCCAACGTTGCCAGGAGACGCGGTCAGGTTGCTATCAAGCAGATGGATCTTGCGCACCAGCCGCGCAAGGAGCTGATCGTGAACGAAATTATGGTCATGAAGGACAGCAGTCACCCCAACATTGTCAACTTTGTCGAAGCTTTCCTGAAGAATAAGGACTCGGAACTCTGGGTCGTCATGGAGTACATGGAGGGTGGTGCCTTGACTGATGTCATTGAGAATAACCCCGTTATCACGGAGGAGCAGATTTCTACCATCTGCTTGGAGGTGAGTTGCTGTGTAGCCCTAACCTTGAGCGTGATACGATCATTTACTGACTGGAATTTCTACAGACATGCCGCGGTCTGCAACATCTCCACGAAAGGAACATTATCCATCGTGACATTAAGAGTGACAACGTCCTCTTGGATGCCCGTGGCAATGTCAAGATTAGTAAGTTATCCTACAATACATCCGTTATTGCGCACCACTAACAATTATAATCAGCCGATTTCGGTTTCTGCGCCAAGTTGACCGAAGCCAAGTCCAAGCGCGCCACCATGGTCGGCACGCCCTACTGGATGGCTCCCGAGGTCGTCAAGCAGAAGGAGTACGGCCCCAAGGTCGATATCTGGTCGCTCGGTATCATGGCCATTGAGCTGATCGAGTCGGAGCCTCCTTACCTGAACGAAGAGCCGCTCAAGGCCCTCTACCTCATCGCCACCAACGGCACTCCTAGGCTGAAGAAACCCGAGAAGCTCAGTAAGGAGCTGAAAGCTTTCTTGTCGGTGTGTCTCTGCGTGGATGTCAAGAGCCGTGCGTCGGCGGATGAGCTTATTGAGCACGATTTCCTGAAGCATGGATGCCCCTTGAGCAGCTTGTCGGAGCTGCTTGCCTTCAAGAGGTCGGCGAAATAAAGGGGTTGTTGATGGATGAGATGAAAGAGGTAGTGATGATGGGTGAAGGTGGTGGGTCGGTGGGTGGTTAGGGGATCTTTTTAGCTAGAAGCAAGCAACCTTTGCATGAAAGAAACCTGAAAGCGACGTTTTAATACTGATGGATACCTAGGCAGGGTGGTAGGGTGAAGAGGATGGGTGGACGGATGGGTTCAATGTCGTTTGGGTCCGGAACTTTTGTCAACGAAAGAAAGAAAGAAAGCAAGCGGTGATAAACAACATGATGCACGGGTTTTGGATCTTCTCTCCGATGAGGTTTCTTAAGTGTTGTTATGTGCGTACGATACCCTCATGGCAAGCAAGCATGTGTCGTCCTTGTGGATGCGTGGCCGGGAGGGAAGTGGGCAAAGAGCTGAGGAGTTAGAAATGAAAACTGATATAGAATACGTGGTTTAAGGATTTGTTTCTCATCTTCACCTACACTACATAATCTCCTTTACACCCACTACCATCAACCACTTTCCCGTACTAGGAACCATAGTACCTTCCACATCCTCTCGATTTATACAGGCGTGATAGGTGGCCCGTGCGCGCTTGGACCTTATTTGGAGAGAACCTCAAAACGCGGGGGTTGTCCTGGCAACAAAACAAACGGTCATCAACGAATCATGAGGGAGCATAGGTTGCCATTCACGAGGTAAAGAACCTTGACGGCCTAGTTTATGGAAAGTTATCGTCAACACGATCGCATGTACTTTTCGCGTTCTTTGTTCGTCAATTGCAACAATCCCGAGCAGTAGGATGCAAAGATGTCGAGAGTTGCAAACAAAACAAAGGTCCGCAAGTATGGAAAGCCAACCACGAAGAGCAGAGCAGAACTGCTTTTCGCGGAATTACCTAAGACTCCTGTGAAACAGCCATGCCGACGGCCCGCATCACAGATACTGGGGCCTGAACCATTCCAAATATCGGAGCCCGTGATCACGGAGTCCGTTCCGGCCTACCATGAGCAAAAAGCGAAACCATCCCCGGAAGCGGAGCCGGAATCAGTCCCAAAGCCAGAACCCATGTCTGATGAGGATGATGTTCATGATGTTACCGAACACTTCGACTCAATATTGCTTGATGAAGAGGACGATCACCAAGATGCTCCCTACGCATCTACGCCACGACCTTCAATAGGAAGTTATACGAGTTACAATACTTCCGTACCACCACCACCACAACAACGACAACAACAACAACCACCACCACCGTCCAGGACTTCACTCTCATCACAACCCCCACGCCTATCTCCATTCAGGAAACTTGCATCCCCATCAGTACAAAGTCCAGCAACACTTCAACCACCAACAACCAACTCCCCATTTGGCCGCTCACCATTCCCTCTCAAATCCCCACGAGTTCGACAACTCATCCAAGAAGAATCCAACCAACCACAATACCAGCAGCAAGACGAACAAAAACAAGAATACTCCTTCTACGACACCTCCTCCTTCCACACCCTTTCCTGGTCCGACATCTGCGGACCCCCCTCGGCCCTAAACTCCATCACAAAAATAGCCGAAGCCTCGTACGCCGAAGTCTACCGCATCACCAACGCCCGCGGCATCTCCATCATCAAAGTGATCCGTCTGCAATCACCCATCAGACCACAGACCAAAGCCCAGATCAAGTCCGGGTTGGTAGACGAGGAAGCCCACGCCGAATCGGACTTGCAAGGCGAACTCAAGATATCGGAATGGCTGGCGGACATCCCGGGGTTCGTTATCTACAAGGAGAGGTTTATAGTGGAAGGAAAGGGGACCAAGGAATTGCTGGAGACGCATCAGGTGTTTCAGCGGAAGATGAAGAGGAAGGACCCCGGAAGGGCGCAGTTTTATCCATCTCCGAGTAGGTATTTGGAGAGCACGAGGTTTTTGGTGGTGGAGTTGGGGGATGCGGGGACGGCGTTGGAGGATTTCATGGCGCAGCCGGAGCAAAAGATGACGTGGACGGGAGAGATGTTGTGGGATGTCTTTTTGAGTACGGCGGTGGCAATGGCGAGGGCGGAGGGGGAGGTGAGGTTTGAGCATAGGGATTTGCATGAGGGGAATTTGTGTGTGAGGAGGGTGAGGGGTGCGAGGCAGAAGGAGAAGAAACCGTCTGACGAAGAGGAGGGGAGGGGAGATGGGGGAGGAGCCAAGTTTGGTTGGTCAGGGTTGGAGGTTACAATTCTGGATTATGGCCTTTCGAGGGCTACGGATCCGGAAACGATCGGGCCTGATCTAGAGTTATGTCCGGCATCGCCTATCGGACGGAGGACTACGACCGACAGAGAAGTCAAAGAGGAAGCAGTCGTCTTCTACGACCTGGAAAGGGATCCGTCAATGTTCACTTCGACACACGCGCCTCAGTGCGATATCTACCGACGTATGCGCGCCTATCTGCTCAGCAACACGCCGGAAGGCAAACCGGTCTCTTGGGCGGGGTATTACCCGTACACCAATGTTCTGTGGCTGTCTTACATTTATAGTTACCTCTGTCAACACTTTAAGGGAGATAAGCGCGAGTTGGAAGCGTGGAGGGAGGAAACGGAAGAGATGTGGAAGTACTTGGACCCGAAACAGGCGGATGCTGTGAGGCAGGAGGGGAGCATTGGTTTCGGTGTGGCGGGGGATGTGGTGGGGTTTGCGGTGGAAAAGGGCTGGATTACAGAGGCACAGGTGATGGATGTTGGGGACAGGAGTACGGTTTTGTTTGAAGAGTCGAGGCTTGAAGTCCCGCCTATGGAGGGGATAAAGAGTGGAGGCGAAAAAGCAATCACTGAGAGTGTTGAGAATCAACAGGCCGGTGAGAGAATCGAGTCATGGGATGAGGATGAAGAGGACGATCAGATTCGCCGTCATTCTAAGAGGAGGCGGACGAGGAGGAGATACGTCGACGAGGATGAGTAGCATATGATTGACGAACGAGCATAGCCCAGCGTTTGGTAATGTCATTATCTTCTTTCACTGTTTATATTCACGCTGGAAGATGCCTCGGGTTCTTGATCGTCTTTACTTTCTTTCCTTTCCCTGGGTCCCAAGACCACCACCCTGACAAACCTGATCAGCGCCCCACACTCTTCATTCTGCCTCTTTCAGTCCTCTTCCTCCTCATCCTCGTCATCATCCTCATCGTCATCCTCATCGTCATCCTCGTCAAGCTCGTCCTCATCCCATTCCGAAGGGCACGGCTCATCCTCGGAGTCTTCAATACCGGACCTTCCTCTCTTGCCATCAGCAGCCTGATGGTAGCCTCTTCTACACCCGATTCCCTCAACGGGATCAGCTGACCTGTCACAGCAAGAATACTTAAACCCTCCGATAAGGCGGTAGTTCTTGCGATTCTTCGGCGTATCCTTCGGCCCTTGAAGATTGTAGCTCCAGTGATCCCATACTGAGGAGGAGGGGTTGACCACCATATGTTCTACGCATTGATTAAACATTTGTGAAGGAAGCAAAAGCATTGCGGGGTTTACTTACCCGAATGAAAGAGGCAGCTCTTTCTGTTGTTGTCTTCGTCAAAAGCGTCGCCGCAGCGCCTGCAGATGTAAACGGGAGACGGCGCCTTTCGCTTGACACCAGCAGTGCTGGGCGTGCTTGAGTTGAAGTACTCAATTGACAATAAGCGATCACTGATTTTGTCTCGAGTATCGTCCGACTCGGCGCTGAGTGCGAGTAAAACGGCACGAAGGCTGGCTTCATCCGCTGAAGTAATCGCCTTCAGGAGTCTTTCATCCTTGGATTTCCTGTCCATGGCTCCTGAAAAGGTATGAAGAAGGCTCTCCTATGGTGAAAGAGAAGGTAAGGGCCGAGTCCAAAGTGTTTTAGAATCCGCACGGAGGAGCAGGCAGTAATGTCCTGGACAGCTGGTGTACGGGAAAAGAAAACGAGGAGACAGCCAGGAAGAAATCTTACAAAAAGTCTGAGTTCACACCCCACTTTTGCCTACAAATGCTGTCAAAACACTGCCACTTAACCTACCACGAAAATAGCGCCACAACACGATTTAAGATGATTCTTTAAATGGAGGTTGGAATTAAAATCTCTTATTTTTTTTTCCCATTTTTATTCTTTTATAGAAAGCAATTCTGCGCTGTTGAAGGCAGTCCGAAGAGGTAGGAAACTGTGCTACTGACACACTCTAGCTCAGCATTTCCGGAATAACGATTCCCGATTGGATAAAGCGGTATGGAATTGACTAAAGCACTGTCGTATGCATCCAAAAGGAAATAATTCGATTAACGAAGTGGTCGTTGTTTTGTCACCATTTGTTGTTGGCGGTCTTTTTTTTTTTCGAACCCAGACTTTTCACAACCCACTGTATTCAGTTATGTGCTCAGTAGTAGACTGAGCCCCTTCTTTGGGAGTGTGATTACAGGCAGGTGCGGGCGACGAAAATTTGACATCTGTTGATGAAGCAGAAGGAGGTGAGATGGTGTTTTGGTCGTTCCTTCCCCAACCGCCAGTCGGAATAACCTGGGCCCATCAGTCTTCTACCACACAAATCCTCATCTCTCCTGCCTCACATCTACTCAACGCTATCTAAGGGGAGATGGACGAGAAGAAAACATTATCCTATATTTCCTTGCTTATTCCCGCGTTCGTTAGTTCTCCGTATGGTGTCGCCCTGTTTGTTTGCCCTTGCTCTCACTGCTTTCGCTCTACTCATCCTCCTCTTTTTCTTCGTCATCCTCTTCGTCATCCTCCCCGTAGTCCTCCTCATCCGCAGAGTCATCAACATCGAATCTTCCTCTTGCCGTCAATAGCCTGGTGGTAACCCAATTTGCACCCCTCCGACTCGTCGGCTCGCTTTTCGCAGCAATAATAAATGAATCCCCCAAGGAGGTCAGGATTACGACGATTCTCTGCCGTATCCATCTCACCATGGGCTCTCTCATCCCAGTCATACCATGTGGACGCATTGTCGTCGATCTCCATCTCCTCTGTAAACCGGTTAGTTATTTGCCTTAGAGAGAGGCGGGAGTCGCGGGCATACCTGGGTGGTAACGACATTCCTTCCTATTGTCGTCTTCCTCAAAAGCCTGGCCACACCGAATGCAGATGTGAACGGGAGACGTCGCTTTCCGTTTGGAGCCAGAGCTGTCTGCCTTGGCCGCGTTGAGCTTGGTCACTTGATACAAGTGTTTGCCAACCAGTTTTTCAACCTCACGCTCAGCGCAAAGGCCGCGTAGAACGGTACGGAGAGTCGACTCGTCCGCCGAGGCAATAGCCTCTGAGCTTCTCGCCCCTCGGAATTGCCTCCATGGCTGCTTGGAAATTTTCGTGAAGACGATTCTGCAGTCAACAAGTATTTAGAAGAGCCGAACGTCAGAAGCGTTACAGGATTGCAGGAGGGGTATGCAGGTCAATGACGAAGAAGTGAGGTGCAAGGAAGAAAAGAGGAAGAAGTTCGAAAGGCCTGGAAGAAAAATTCTTTTATGCTCAGAGAGACCCGGCCCCACTAGGATCTAGAACAAAAGCGGTAGTCGGGGTGATTGTGAGTTTGATCCTGTCGGCTCGCGAGTTGCAGCCCAAAAGGAGGTGGTTGATTCGGAAGATGGTGGTTGGCTGCCAACTTAACTTCCAAGCCACCAAACGCATCCGTTACCATCACATTCACCTTCACCACCATCATCGCCATCCACCCCCATACATCCCCTTTCTAACATCTAATAACAAGCCTCAACCCCAGTCCTGCTCCTCGTCAACATCAAGATCCCCACAATCACCCCATAAAGCCGCAAGACCTCACTAAAGATCAAGATCAACACCATGCCCGTATACAGCCTCGGCTGCTACGTGTTCGCCCTCACCCCAGCGTCTCCTACAATCCCGATCGCAAAACCGGCTGCTAACCCTGTCAGTCCGACGGCGAGGCCGGCGCCCAGCTGCAGGAACGAGATGTAGAGCGGCAGGGGGTCGACCAGGGCGTTGGAGATCAAAATGGAGGTTACGAGGCTGTAGATGGAGAGGATTTGGGCCATGATTGTTGGGAGGCCTTTTGGGTTTTTTTTTGTTAGTTACCTAGACTGTGATATTTTAGAGAAGAGAGGGCATGCTGTAAAGAGAAAGATGGAAAAGGGATTATACATGTTCTGTGGGACTTGTTCAGGTTTCAGGATGCCCGTGGAAAAGATGGCTCCGGAAGATTTGGCTGTGCCGTAGGAGGCGCCGATGACGGCGAAGATGATGGCTATGGCGCAGCCGAGTGCGCCGAAGAAGGGCTAAACATGTTTGCATGGCGATTTGGGTGAGACTTTAAAATTATGTGTGAGGATGAAGTGGTTAGGGCTGGAATTGACGAACGGAGTAAACAGGACTATCATGGAAAGAAGCGTTTGTCAGTCGTAGTTGTAAAAAATCTGGTGGAAGAAAAGTAAAATATGGGATCATACCATATGTCCCGGTCAATATAGACTTTCTCCATTGTTGGAGCTCTTGTTGTCGTTCGTTGTCACGGTTCTGGTCAGTCTACCGGTCCTGTTCCGTTCTCCTGTGAGGCAGCTGTTGAAGTAAAACTCTTAAACATTTACGACTCGGAAGAACAACCATAGGAGAATGAGACTTATTTGAACACATGAAGTAAGCTCTTGGCCCTTTCTACACTACCTAATGCCATTCTCGCAAAGAGCATACGAGTCCAAGGCGCAGTAAGATGTTTAAATATCAGTGGTGAGCTTCCGATTGGCGAGGCCGGATCACTTGATGATGACTCAATCCCAAGCTCGGATTACAGACCGAAAAGCAACCACGTTAGAGCCAACAACCTGAAAACTCTCCAAGAAGTTTCAGTTGCGCCGGTCTATCGATTCCATGTACACTCTATCCAATATCCTTACCTAGGCAAACGCCAAGGTGTTGGATGACCTCAGCAAGATCGATGTAACCCATCTATGGTTCGCACGGACTGTATAGATGGTGAAGATTTGTATTGGCAAACGCGAGCGGACGTACTCTCAAGTGTTGGGTGGTTTTGAAGTTCTTCTGGTACCTTTTACCAGTCAGCTTGACCGAACCAATGCTCGAGACCTGAGCACTCCAGCCCGTTGTTTCTCCCATCACGTATAGGACACGCCTCGTACGAACCAGCCAGTCTATTTTCCCTCTTCCCTTCTTGAGCCTTCGTGATTTATATTATCCATATAACCCGTCCTTATTCTACCTCCTCCTCTGATTCAACCAACTGCCCAACCACCTCCACCGTTCCGCCACACCCTCAACCCACTCCACATCCCCAACCAACCCACTCACCCTCCCCTCCGGATCATCCCACCGGTTCCCCTCAAACTCGACAAAGAAGAGATACTGAAACGGCGCAATCAGGCTCGGCAAGCTATTGATGCTCGTCAAGTTCAACCCCCTCCGCTTGAAGCACCCAAGTACATCCGCCAGCGCTCCGGGCGTGTGATGCGGCACCGTGAACGAGACCATAGACTTATACAAGCCCTTGTAAGCGCCTCCCTTTTCAGTATCATCATCCCTGCCGCCGTTGCTTCCGGAAACCGACGACGAAGGACGAGGCGACATCGACACGGGCGATCCACCCGAGGCCGAAGACACAGGCAGAGACTCGGCCCGGTCCGTGGTCCACGGCAATCCCTCGGGCAGCGAAACCTCCTGCTCGACGCCGTCGTCGCTGCGGCTGCTGCAGGGCCGTCTCCGCAGGACAAAGAAGCGGGTCGTGTTGTCCTCGCGGTCTTCGATGCAGCGCGCCAAGACGTCCAGGCCGGCCATCTCGCCGGCTACTTCGCTCGCTACCGCGGCGCTCGAGCCGGAGGCGTCGGCGGCGGCGAGCTCGGCGGCTTTGCTGGTGGAGGAGACTTCGATGGTCTCGACGCCCTTGAGGTAGGTGGCGAAGAACTTGGCGGTTTGGCCGAAGGCTTGGGGGTGGGAGTAGACGCGCTTGACGTGGGAGAGGGAGGTTAGGGGGGTTGCCTTCGCGGTTTCGTCAACATTATAGGGTGGTGAGGGTGATGATGATGATGATGGCTTTCTCCGGCCTAGGAGAAAGTGGTGGACGTCGAGGTAGGCTTCGCCGCAGATGGTGATGTTGGGGTAGGTAGAGGCGCGGTCGGCGAGGCAGTCGAGGGTGAAGCTGACGGTGCCATGGGTTGAGTTCTCGAAGGGGGCCACGCCGAAGTCGACATTGGAGGCTTGGACTTCGTCGAAGACGTCTGAGGCAGGTGTTAGTGAAACTTCTTTTGTTTATTAGAAAATGTGAGTTTAACAAACCTCTGATCGTCGTTGTAGGGATGAGTTCCCATTCATCTTCATCGGGAAAAGCAGATTTTGTCGCCTATACGTTGCCACAACCCCAAGTCAATATCAGTCTTGGGAAGGATAAGTCCAGTAGCCATATCAAAGCCTTTGAGTGTTCCCTCAAGTTGGATAGTCTTAGTATCCGTTTTTCTCGAGCTCCCTTTCAAGTTGTCCCAAGCCCACTCAACCGTCCCTTCTGAGCCCATCTCACGCGGATCACATACCTGATGAGAGTATGAAGCGAAAGGCCCCAAGAAGGCAACTTTCCTCCTGTGACTCCTTTCGCGAGTCCCTTCCGATGTCGGCGCAGTGGCCGTTGTTGAACTCATGTTTGCAGGCCGCTCACAACCGTACTGCCTACCCTCCTAATATGCTTTTGACAACACACGTACCCAGACCACCGCTCAACGAGGTTCTAGGTTGTCGCCGCTGGATGTTGTAAGTTCCTAAGTTTGGAAGAGTAAGTTCCTTGATTTGTGTATGAGTTGAGAGTAAAGGTGCCAGTGACCAATCATTCATAAAGCGCAGCGGAGCACTTGGAGACCCATGTGCGTGGTACCCGACGCAGTAGACAGATTTTGGAGAATGAAGTAATTCTGAAGTCCCGGCGTACTATTTATTGTATCCTTGCCCCGAGCAACAAGCCGCTCTATTTCATGACCTTCCAACTCAGGCCCACCGGCCGTCCTGAGTTGTCTTGATGCCTGGTTTCGGCCGGCCACACGGGGTTTTGCCCCTCAAAGGTCCGACCGCCGGGCCCCGCTCCGGCGCCGATCACCGGCTTCAGATTGCCCATACCTCATCAAAGTCGCGTTTCCGTGACAGCCCCACAATGAATGAGTGATGACATTGTGATCCCCGAGGACTGCATGGTCCCTGCTTTTGAAGCCTAGATTCTACGCTGAATAGTACAGCAGGAGGGTTCATCTGACTTATTGATCTTCAGGGCACGGGCACCATTTGAGAGTGCTAAGAATGTAATGGTCACCCTTGAGACGGGTTGTCAAGAACAATCCAGACCAAGAGCCATCAAGATCTAACAACAAAAACAGAATGAACGTGGGATTCGGTCCTCGGCTACCGCGTACTAAGCCATATTTAAACCATATCTCATAACGACCCGTTTGATTTTTCCACCCGAAATTCCATAACCCAATTTTTAATGAACCGAAAGCATAAAAGAGTGTCCATAAAGACAGACGCTGTCAGTCCCCGGAATAAAAGCAAATCCATTCCTCCTGGTTCCGCGCTAGACATTCAATCCTTGCCATCTTCCAACTTGAGGTATTGCTTTGCGTCTAGCTAAGAGATTTTTGATGAATCATTCGTTGGTCTTGGTCAGACCTACGAAGAATCAACCCTGGATCCCATTTGTGGAACTTCCGCTTCGGTCATAGGCAATTTGGTTCTGTTGCGGCGGTTAGCGAGTGGTCAGAGGTCGACCAAACAAGAAAACGCCATACCTTAGATTCCATTAAATCAAACTCAAGAAGCCGTCATCATAGAGCGAAGCGGGCTCGGGCGGGACACCTGGTGGTCACCCGGCTGACGAGGGCTTGCGCCGGAGCGAGCTGCGGACACTTTGTCCGAGCTGGTTGGCTTGAGGAGCGGCGCTGAATCAGCTTTAGGTGTCGTCGTCGGCTCGGACGGGATAGCTTGAGTTCCGGGTCCCTCGTTGTCGGCGAGGGATTCAACTTGTCAATCGTCGTAGTACTCATCGTCGTCGCTGACGTCAGCTAGCTGCTCGAAGTTGACCTTGTAACGGAGGATACCGCCGATACCACCGAAGCCCTTGACGAACTGGTTGCCCTCGGTAGAACGATCAGAGACGAATTCGAGCGTGGCACCGAAATCCTTGTAGTGCTCCGCAATCCACTCAAGGAAAGACTCCTGGGAGACCACCTCCATCTCCTGGCCTGTCTCCTTGTCCATGAACTTGTCGCGGCTGGCCTGCTCTTGTGCCTTGGTAGTATGCAAGATAACTTCGGATCCGTTGCTATCCTTGAGAACCCAACGGTTGACCTCGAGGTTCTCGAAGACGATAAGGGTCTCGACGGCACCGAGCTCCAAAGCCTTGAGGGTATCCTCAATACCGTAGCAGATGCGACCGGTATCCTGGCTGATCTCCTCGAAGTACTTGCCAATGAGCTTCTTCTCCTGGATGAACTTGACGTTTCCGAGGGTCTCGGAGGACAGCTCGATGGCCTGGTTGAAACCGTTTTCACCACCGTACGAGACATCGACAACCTTGACGACCTTGGTCTGGAGACGGGGATCGAACAAGTCGGAGGCGTTCAGGTCGTTCTTGAAATCGGCGGAACCAGCCAGAACGAGACCGGCAACGTTGGGCCTGTCGTTGGTGATGAAGCACTGAACAGCCAATTCGGCGACCTTGCGGACGTAATTGTGACGCTTTTCCTCACGGAGACGGGCGAAACGCAGGGCGGACTGACCACCACGACCGTGCTTCTTGGGAAGATCGACGGAGAACTTGTGGACAATGTCGCGAGTGTTTCCACTCAGAGTACCGAACAGGGCACCGTTGCCATCCATGATGATGAAACCGAACTTCTGGTCGGAGTCGAGAAGCTCGGCGAGAGCCTCGGTGTGGAACTTGTTGTCGCAAAGGTAGAGGGAGGTGTTGATGGGCTTGAAGGGCTCGAAATCGATGTTGACCTTTCTTTCCTTGCCTTCGGAGGTCAAGATTTCACCGCAGTACACGACGAGACCATTAGGCGGCACCTTGTTGTACAGCTTGAGCCTTTGCTGGGTCGAGGTAATGGCCGAAAGGACGGACTGACGGTTGACACGCGACTTAATGTTGGAGGCAGTACCCTATAATAACAGGTCAGACACAACTGTCTGGCACGAGGAGGTGTCGAGGTTGAAAAGAAGCATGGTGACGCACATATTCTTCAGCCAACATCTTTGCGGCTCTGGAGATCTGATCCTTGGGGGCTGAAGACGACGAATAGTCAGCATCACTCTGGACATTGGGCCATGGTGCAGCAGAGTAAGGACTACTGCCAAGGATCTCGCCATGCGATCAAGGGAGGGTAGACGGCGGTGACAATGCCATGGTAGGGTAGAGACAAACGTACGGATGATGAGCGAGATCATGGAGGTACCGTTGCCACGGGCGGCCTCAAGACGCTTGATAAGCTTCTTGACCTTCCATATCTCGATCTATGGGAGGACAATGACATCTCGTCAGCATGCGAACATCACGTCGGGAGCTCTGTTTTTTTTTTGCGCGCGCAGTCGGGAGAGCGATGATGAACCACTCACGTTCTTCTCGGCCTCGTTGGCGTTGGGATCCATCTTGGCAGTTTGGGGGTGGTGAAGAAGAAGAGGAGGTGGACTGGATCGAGCTGCTGCTGGCGCCCTGAAGTTAAGTTGGTGCAGCGAGCGAGGTTTGCGTCCTTTGGGTTGGATCTGCTTTCAACGGCGGCGAGCAGGGCAGGACGGCAAAGTGGGCAGGTTGGGGTTGTTCTTTTTCTTTTTGCCCACTAATTCAGCTACATATGGGTCCCGAGGTCCAGAGGGGTTTCCGCTGCCCTGTCTGGTGTCTGTCAGCCCGTGGGAATGTCCTTCCCTTCTCTTTTTATCCCTAACAAGTGGGGCAAAAGGCGAGTCATCATTGGCCGCATTGACGAGGCCTTGGCAACCCTTCACACGGCCCTTCTCGCCTGACCTTCGTCCTCCAGGCAGTCTCCAGCTTGCTTCTCACCAACACCGCATCAACTTGGCACGACTCCAGGCTGTGGCGTTTGACCCGTCCAGCACACCGGGCCCCACCTTTCCTTCCCGTTTCAGACTGAACTTACAAGAAATTGCCTTGTATCAGCCTACGATTGTCTCGAGGATTGTCATCGCAAAGGGAACAAAGATGGCAATCTCGAGGCAATTTCAATACGTAGAAGCGGTCTGGCCGTGTTAGTCAACCACCCAGGCACTCGATAGGATGTGTCATGCCGTTCAAAGACCTTTTGATGTATGGGCCTTGATGTTACTGCCTTCATACTGTCGGGTGCCTTCAAGGTCGTGACCGATATTTTCTGGAGAAGGACTGTCATGGCTGTCTGCTCCTTGCCTGCCCGTTCGGCCCTACGTAGCGGCTACGTACCGCTCCAGTGGACTGCGCCAACCCCGGAAGGTACCTGAAGCTATGATGCATTGCATTATCGATTGACCTCCATGTTCGCTATCTCCCGTTCGCGCGCAACCTCAAATTGAAGTCCTCAACTCGTTCCGTAAACAAACGACCCCGAGACCGAAGACAGTAAACACATTGGGCGCAACACTTGCAACCATGGATTCCGACATTCCCATCCAGATCGCCGAGACTATCCAAACAGCGCACATCAAGCGCGAGCCCTCCCCTTCGCACGACATCAACCCCTCTACCGCCGCCTCCAAGCGCGAGCCCGCGTCCCTCCAGACCCAGACCAGTCACAGTCAACATCATAACTCACTAATACCCGACGACGGGATCGACGAGGACGATGACGAGGATGAATACGCACAGTCGGAAACAGAAACGGACGAGGAGAGCGACTACAACGTGGTCAAGTCCCGGCCCCGGCGCAACATCCACCAACTACCCCCGATCCCGGACCTGCGGTACGAGCAGAGCTACCTGCACAGTATACGTAATGCAGATACGTGGTGGAAGGTGGTGTTGATTACGGCGAGGGATCAGGCATGTTGATTACCTACACTACCGACACTACCTTTCTACCTTCCATTCCTTGCTGGCTACTTGGAACTTCCATCCCCAACCAAAGAAAGAAACCCCCATCAACTAACACACAACCCCCCCAACACAGGTCATGATGCCCCTAGTCCAAGGTCTCCTCTACAACATCCTAGTCTGCGGCTGGCAGTCCTGGAACCGAAACGCCCAGATCCACGGCTCCTCGATCGGAGCCCGGGTACGGCGCTGGTGGTACGGGGTCAACAGCTGGGAGATTCCCCCTGCTCCCGGTCCCTCTCCTTCTGTTAAGCGATAAGCCATGACACATGATTCTGGACCCATTCTTATACTTTTTTTTCTTCTCGTTCGTCGGAAACCATATAGGTCGCAAAATGTACGCATCTTTCAGACTCGCCGGTCCAGCAGCTGGAATCTTAAAGGCAACTTCGGCGGAGGCGGTGGCTACGGAGGAAAGGAGGGGAGGAAGATGGTGGAGGCGTTCAACCAGAACTTTCAGAGGGAGTGTGGTTTCGCTTGAGTGGACGGCAAGACGGATGGATGTGGGAAAGGGGATGAAGGATGGATGGTCTTTACCTTGCTGCATTGCATGGTGTTGCGGATGGCATCGAGAGGAATATTATAACTTGAGCGTTCATGACAAGTTGGGAAGATTGGTGTTGTCAACCAGCCAACACATATCCGACTGGTTATATGCCCGTTGGGTAAGAGACTGTCACATGCTGTGCACACTCGTTACTCAAGTGAACTCAAGGATTAAGATGCTATCATAACACACATATTTGCCGGTCTAATCGCCTCGCCCCCGTTCCGTGGTAGACGCTTCATTCTTACTCCTTCCCCTCTGAAGCTCCTCTTCGAGCTTCCGCTTAAGATGTCAGTTCCGTTCGCTTCAAGGTAACGAAAAACTGAGGACTATCACCCATAACTCAGCCTCCTGATCCCTTGTCTTTTTTTCTCTAGTCGCAAATCATACCGCGATCTTAGTCGACATAAAATAGTTTCGTGCATCGCAATACCCCCTAACCATGTTTTGTACACCCCGAACTCCCTACTTCACCCGTGACTGACTGAATCCCAACAAAACCTAACAATAGAAAGGAAAAGAAAACTGAGCCGTGGCTACCCATACTAACAGAGAATGCTCTGACACTCGTCAACGGCCCACCTAGAGGCCAACAAGCTTCTGAGGTTGAGGCTTCTCAGGGCTCCTGATAGGCAAACCCTGCTGTCCTCCGGGCGGTCCCAGTCCCGGGGGCGGCGACAAGAGGCGTTTGATACCATCACCACCCTTCTCAACAAGGGGCTCGGCCGTTGCTTTCTTTAGCGGAATCGCAATGATCTCGTCCTTGACTTCTGACTCATCCGCGTCCGCCATAGGGACGTCGTTCTCCTTGCCATCACCGACCGACTGACCACGAGACTGCGCGGGAGTCGACTCCTCGCTCACCACAATATTCCGGTGTGCCGTCCAAGGGTGTTTGTGAGTAATCGTTGGCGAGAGGGGTGGCCCATCAACTTTGGTGACTTTGGCATTCTCATCAAAGCCAACGCGAATGGGGAACTTGAACACGAGGCTGTTGTCGTGATCATCGTCATCCTTGGCGTCGCCACCATCATCGAGATCGTCCTCGTCCGCCATGTCTGCATCTTCCTCATACTCCTCTTCGTCTTCTTCGTCCTCCTCCTCGTCGTCGGCGGCCGGGACATGCTCGTCTTCCTCGTCGTCGCCAAAGTCCGGTTCTTCACTGGCCTCGTCCTCTTCATCGGAATCGTAGTCATCGTCTTTGCTGCGCTTCTTCTTTCCGGTGGTGGCGGCGGCAGAGCTCCATCCGTTCATGCTGTGATGTACGGCGGCTGATCGTCTCGGGCGGCCTGTGGGTCCAACTGTGAGCTCTACTTGGTCTCCTTTCTTCGCGTCAGCGACGCCTCCCGTCATCTCGACATCCTCGTCGCCTTGGGCACTCGCAGGATTGCTGGCCGTCGTCTCGAACCGGGTGGGTGCTCTTACTTGCCGCCCGCTGGCGGTGGTGATGGGGCCGGCGAGCTCGGCGGGGGTGTGGTTCCTGGTGTTCCTGGTGGACCGCCGGGTCGCGGTCGAGTCCGTGTAGAAGTCGTCCTCATCGTCCGAGAACGTGTACTTCATGCGCTTGCCGCGAGTGCGGCCCTCGTACAGCGAAAGACCGGGCTCCGGCCGCTTGAACTGCTCCTTGCGCATGATCCGGTACTCTCTCCGCCTGCGCTTCTCCTCGGTGGCTTCGAATCGCGGAATGCTGTTGGCGATCCTCTTGGCCAGGGCTCGGGCCTTGGGTCCTCCGTCGTTCTTTTCCAGCTTCTCGGCGAGTAGCTTGAGCTCTTCAATGTTACCGGCAACACTCCACCATGTTCGCGTGTGTCCTGCGGGATTGCTCTCCCTGTATACTCGAAAATGCGTGTCGTCGTTTCCTTCGATCAGGTAGTATCTCCGCTTATCGCCGTCGGTTCCCCAAGGTTGAACGCTGAGGCCGACATTCAAATCGTCTTCGTGGCGGGTCCTGTAGTTTTTGTTGATCATGGTCTTGACGACCTCGGAGGACGCAAGGGACCAATGGATCAGTGTGCGCAGGAGAGCAAGCTGGAGGTCAGTCACGGATTAGCCTTTCTTTTCCTTGTACATTTCTGGAGACTTTGAGTGCGGTGAGGAATGGCGTACCCGTTGTACTGGGGTCATGGAGGCAAAGGTGGCACCTCCAGCAAGAGGGTTCTGACCCTCCCACTCCTTTGCCCATTGATTCTTGTGCGTCTGAATAGCTTCTTCGAGGGCGCGCCCATAATGACCGGCTCTGTATTGGGTTCGTGGATTAGCAAGAGTGGACGAAATGTGTTGGGGGCTGCTGTAGGCGGGGCAATACGCACTTGACATCCTGCTTGCGGTTAAGCAGAAGGCCAAGCACCGCGCAGAGAAAGTTTTCGACGCGCTCGCCTGGGATAGTCTCGACCACGTCACGCTCCAACTCTTGGGGTCCGAAATTGGCCAAACTTTTCGGAAACGCTTCGGTGAAACGGGCACGAAACATAACAATGAACTAGATTAACCCATGTTAGCAACCGATGGCGTCACATGCAATGGCACGCGCGACGGTTCGTGCTATGTCGCCCTTTGAACGCGACAAAACGCGCAATCACGTACAGCAATATCAGGATTGTCGGCTAGAACATATTCATGAGGAGGGGACGGCTCTCTCTTGCGTCGCGGCGGCGTTGTCTCCCTGGGTGGATTCAAGGCCGGGTTTTTGTCGACTTTGTGGAAGAATTTCAGGATGCCTTGATGGCGTTCCACTTGGACGTCGGCTTCATCATCGGTCGGAGGCGCCGATAGCGATGAGATGGACGAAAGATCGGAGGAGTCGTCGTCGGCCATGGTGTGCGGTGGTGGTCGATGGCACTTCGTTTGCTCGTTGCGAGTTGCAGTGCTGAGGTTGAAGAACGAACAAGGGTGCTTGCAAGAGAGAAAGTGGGTGCAGCAGTGAGGAGCGATTATGTTATAAGAGATCGGCCGCAATAAATTACGTACCGGGCCGCCAGCAAGAGTCCCAGGGCTCCCAGCCTAAGCTCACAGGAAGAGAACTGCACAAGGCGCCTGCTTGATAGGCACATTCACCAACGAATCCAAGGCGAAAAGCCGTCTTTCTTCTATCTAGCGCCGGAGCCAGGTTTGTCAGGTCCAACAGGCCGCTTGTTATCATGACAAAAGTCCATCCAACCGCACCATCCACCGCCTCCCCTTGGGAGTTCTGCCCGTCTTCCATCCCATCCGTAACCCAGACCCATAGCCCAACGGTTCCGTCGATGATTCCTAGGTAGCACTCCCGTGTATCGGAGAAAGCCCGCATGACTCGCTTAAGGCAAGCCCTCGTCAAATGTTTAAGTACCCAAAAAGGGGCCGAGGTGCATGGCTGGTGATGCCATATGCTAACTGCCACTATTCATAATGGTTGTAAAGGCGGCGGTTAGGGAAGATGGGTGTTTCGCCGGGGTGTTGGTGTTAATGGGGAATTTGTTTTCGGGCCTCATGTTTCCCCCAACAAATATTTTTGAGGGCGAGGCCAAAGGGTCGGCGTGTGATCCCAACGGGGACTGAGATCCCCTCGCCGTCGATGTTTCCCATCTTGTGTGTGGCATGTCTTAAGTATCAAGACGCGAATGGAGGGTTTGTAAAGAGATGCAGGGAGCGAATGAAGGGAGAAAGCCAAGGCGCCGCTTTTTCCTGGCCTAGACACGGCATATAGACGCGATCTAGCAGGGACGCTCTGATGCGATAGCTGTGCCTCCATCTCCATCCCCAAAACAAGTGGTGCAACAACAACTCGGAGCCTTGAAGCTATTCGCATTCCAGCCCTCGTTGTCCACAACCAACACAAGAAAACGTATCGCGTGTGCGGAGGCCACATTTCATGCGCCTGTAAGGAGTTTCGAGACCTACCAGCAAAATGCAATGTCCCCAACAGTGACAATGTCTTGGGATTATGAACGAGCACAAGCATCCGCCCAACCTCGACTCGCACTTGCGAAATCCTTTGGCGGTGAGCGAGAAAGAGGTGAGGTTGGCGAAAGTTCAACGACGCTGCTCCTGGGTCGAGAGGGCCTGCATCCACTGCATCGGTCGCTTGAACGATTTGAGTTCACAAAACCCAAGGTCTCGCAGCGAAACGGCCCACATAGCAGAACACGGGCCTGGATAACTCCAAAATCGCAGCACAAAAGCCGCGATCACCATGAGTAGTTCATCCGACGGCTGATAGTACAACGCAACTCATGGAATCAGTTGATCGCACCTATCCAAATGTTAGAACACTTTCAGAATGCAAATGGAAAGGTAAATAAGAATGAGTCTATCGTACTTAACTAGGAGCACGCATTTCTTTGTTTGGTCGCTCCTGCGTTGGAAGCCATCGTGGCTGGCATCACTCACTGCAGCGTGTCAATCCGACGAGAGTTGTGAAGTTGGGCGGATGACGATAGGAAGTGGGCGGCGTTCCTGCTTTTGGCATGACCCTAGACCCCAACGGCCGCGTACCGTGTGATTTTGCTTTAGTGCAAAACTCTGCACTGTCCGTCGCATTGCGCCTGCGAGATGCAATGCGATTTGCGCCGTAGATACCAAACCGCAGTTTGAGTACCTATTGAGATATAACGGAAAGGCTAGGGGTTCAGACAAGTTCTACGAGTAAGTTGTTACGAAGAGACATGCGACACTATGTGTAATACTTTCAGTTATTTTGATGAAAGTAAGGCCGATTAGCACAAGGCTCGCCGTGAAAGGAGCGTCCAGTCACGGTCGTTTGCAGCGTCTAGTTGCGACTCCACGTGACGCAATTAGGCAATTAGACGGGGCGCAAGCCACAGGTCCCTTGCTGTCAGCCACACCAACTCCCCGCGTTAGGGCAGCTTGGGGAGCCGCACAGGCCTAGTGTGTGGCTTGTTTTCGCGCAAGTCCACACAAGAATTTGGAAAAATATCGTCTTGCACTGACTTCGGGAGCTTTTTACGAAGCGCAACTCAACCTTCAACTTACCGAAACCCGGCCTTTACTTTCAGTCATTTGAGGTAGGAGGGACAAAATGGGTCGCGTCGTAAGTAAATCCCGATATCTTCATTATCCAGCTGTTCTCTCGAAACGATCGCGACGAAATTTCCAATCTCGAAAACCGACGACGACAATGGGGGGAAAACCGACGATTGCACAAATTCGGCGCCCAGGACGGCAAGGGGGCGATTTGGAGATTTGGAAGCGATCGAATCGAGAGGATATCTGGCAATCAACGACACATGACCACAGATGGCGGAGAAAGGACTCGGAGAACGAAGCGGCAGTGATGGCGATGCTGACCATGCATCTTCTACCCTCAGATTCGCAACCAACGTAAGGGCCGCGGTTCCATCTTCACCGCCAACACCCGGTTGAACAAGGCCCCGGCTAAGTTCAGATCTCTCGACTATGCCGAGCGCCACGGCTACATCCGTGGTGTTGTGAAGGAGATCATCCACGACCCCGGTCGTGGTGCTCCTCTCGCCCGCGTTGTCTTCAACTCCCCCTACAAGTTCAAGAAGCAGCGCGAGACCTTCATCGCCAACGAGGGCATGTACACCGGCCAGTTCATCTACGCCGGCAAGAACGCTGCTCTCACCGTTGGCAACATCCTCCCCCTCGGCTCCGTCCCTGAGGGTACCGTTGTCTCCAACGTCGAGGAGAAGGTTGGTGACCGTGGTGCTATCGGCCGTACCTCCGGTAACTACGTCACCGTTGTCGGCCACAACCCCGAGGAGGGCAAGACCCGCATCAAGCTCCCCTCCGGTGCCAAGAAGGTTGTCTCCAGCAGCGCTCGTGGCATGATCGGTATCGTCGCCGGTGGTGGCCGTACCGACAAGCCCCTTCTTAGTACGTTTCTCCCGGTACCCGTGGTTCTCCAAAAAGAGCGGATGTGCTGACCAATTCTACAGAGGCTTCTCGTGCCAAGCACAAGTTCGCTGTCAAGCGCAACAGCTGGCCCAAGACTCGTGGTGTTGCCATGAACCCCGTCGACCATCCTCACGGTGGTGTAAGTTTGACAGGTGTCCGAAACTTTGATCGCGAGCTGACATGGTGCTACAGGGTAACCACCAACATATTGGTAAGGCTTCTACCATCTCCAGGTACGCTGCCCAGGGTCAGAAGGCGGGTCTCATTGCCGCCAGGAGAACTGGTCTCCTCCGCGGTACCCAGAAGACCAAGGAGTAAAGCGATTTCTTGTTTGTCATCTGGGCTGGGGTTTCTGGGATTGCATTGGTCTTTGCTGCTTTGTAGTTACGGTACTGCGAAGGCGGCTGGGAGACTTCATCTTTCTGCAAGCATCTTGGGACGTACCGGAATAAAAATGATTCCCACACAAAGCAGCAAGACGGGTGCCAGATGCGAGCCGTGGTCCCTCGTATGGTGGGCGAGCATGACCCGAAGAGTTCAGGTCGCGTCAATCACATGAAGGAAACTCGGAAGGGCATGATAACTATCATCCTAGGCAAATTGATGAGCGGACATGATCGTTTTTCTTCGGTCAAGAGGAAGCAACTACGGCTACTGGTCTACACCTTGTGACAAGACTATGTATGATGGGTAATGCGAAAAGGAGAGAAGACCATGCGGCATCTGATGCTCTTGATGCTAGCAGGGAGAAAACATGATACCCAAATTGCTCTACGCGGTTGTGTACGTACTGGCACCTGACGTCAAATGATGGAGACAAGGGACCGTTTGCTTGGGTGCTCCTTTGACATTAGCAGCTAGTAAATGTACTTCCATGTGCATTGCGCAACAGCAATACTTGCCCAGTTCTAACGCGGTGCCTTGTCGTGCAATCTCCTCCTCGTGGTATCACCAACTGAGACCCGAAATGTTCAAAACGCTATCGATAACTCGGCCGAAACGTATTATCACCGGCAATGTTGAGTCTCTCATCGGTGTCTCATTTGCTGTTGGAGCTCGCCGTTGTGGTCGGCCCAGTCCTGATGGGGCAGCTCGGAGTTTCTACTCCACCGCCCCAGTGAATCCAATCCCTACGGCGAATTCCACCTCGAACCCCTTGCGCGGTTGCTACCCCTCCGTGGTGGGTTGCTTCTCGTTGTCAGCTTCGAATATTATCCCAGTCCACCACTGTTTCCACACAACAACACCAAGTCGCTTCAGCATTCGTAGCAACTCGTTCAGCAAGATGGCCGCCACCAAGGACTACAGACTTCTCTGCCTCGAGAACCCTCTTCTCGGTGAGTCCTCCTACTTACCCTATGAACCATTCCTGATTTCTTTGCGCCTGAATTGGCAGCGCCTCAATTGGCAGCGCCTGTCAAATTTCTGGGCAATTCGGGCGCTTTTCCATATTCTCGGTTCGCCTCGCAGCAGCATGGCGCAACTTTTTCCTTCCTCTCGCTCAAAAGCTGCGCGATACTGGTAACATGCAGCTAACTGCCGGCTTCCAGACATCCAGGCCTTTGGCGATGAGGCTCTCCTCGAGAAGTACGGCCTTAAGGCCAACGACGCCATCCTCGCCGAGGAGAAGCACCTGGGCCTCTACGAGGACCTCCTCCAGAACTACGATGCTAAGCTGATCGCCGGTGGTGCTGCCCAGAACACCGCCCGCGGTGCTCAGTACCTCCTCCCTCCCAACAGCGTCGTCTTCCTCGGTGGTGCTGGTGACGACAAGTACGCCGCCATCCTCCACGATGCTGTCAAGCAGGCTGGTCTCCGCGTCGAGTACCGTGTCGACCCCAAGATCAACACCGGCCGTTGTGGTGTTATAATCACTGGCCACAACCGCTCCATGTGCACTGATCTCGCTGCCGCCAACCACTACGACCTTGAGCACTTGAAGAAGCCCGAGGTCTGGTCCCTCGTCGAGAACGCTGAGGTCTACTATGTCGGTGGCTACCACTTCACCGTCTGCCCTCCCGCCATCATGGAGCTCGCCAAGCAGGCTGCCAGCGGCAACAAGCCCTTCATCCTCTCCCTCTCTGCCCCCTTCATCCCCCAGTTCTTCAAGGAGCCCCTTGATGCCTCTGCTCCCTACTGGGACTACGTGATCGGCAACGAGGGCGAGGCCGCCGCCTACGCCGAGTCCCACGGCCTCAACACTACCGATGTTAAGGAGATCGCCAAGGCTCTCGCCAACCTCCCCAAGGAGAACACCCAGCGCAAGCGCGTTGCCATCATCACCCAGGGCACCGAGCCTACCATCGTTGCCGTCCAGGGCGAGGATGAGGTCAAGGAGTTCCCCGTCCACTCCATCGACCCCGCCAAGATCAACGACACCAACGGTGCCGGTGATGCCTTTGCTGGTGGCTTCGCCGCCGGTGTCGTTGAGGGCAAATCTCTCGAGGAGTCCATTCACATGGGCCAGTGGCTCGCTAAGCTCAGCATCCAGGAGCTTGGTCCTTCGTAAGTTTCCACGACTCTCTTCTCTTGCAATGCTTCTCTTTTCGAGCTCTTTGACTTACATATTACGCAATAGCTACCCCTTCCCCAAGCAGGCTTACCCCGGCCACAATTAAATCTGGGAGACCAGTTTTAGTCACCAGGGCGTGAAGTGAAGTGAAGAAGTAGAAGAGTTGTTAGTAGTAGAGCATTCTTGTTGTTTAGTCGCAATGGGAGAAGGGGCGTTGGTTATAAGGTATCCAGGAGGCATTTAACATTAGGCTTGGGATACTTTACTACACATGGTTTGAAATTGGCATAGGGTCCAAAATTCATCTAGGTCACAAAATGGGTTTCAACAACGGCACAATATACCACGGGGTTTTTACGGCATCAACGTATATCATTATCTATACTTCGGCTAGAATCATTGATCGCAGCAGGAGCGTGAAGAAAGCTGGGATGACTGTTGATGAGCTGGGTTCTAATAGCAGAACTGGTGGGCTGGTTTTCGGGATATCGGAGCTCTCCCCTGTTCCTTACCATAACTGTGAATACCCTTCCTGCTTCCTCTGTCTGAATGGATTCTACCAAACATCTCCGATATTTTGGGTGTTCGGTATTTTGTTCATATTCGGCCCGATGAGTTTCTCTGCAGTTTTCATCTGCTCTCTCGCCTCATATGAATGATACTTCCGTGTTTTCTTGTATACCAACGCGATTCTTCCCAAAGCCTCTCCTGTTCGAAAGATTGGTGCATACTGAGTGAGGTCCATGGTTACAGCCAGCTTCTCTTTTGCCTATACAAGAAGGAGCGACAGAGAGCAAGTGGAAAAGACTGAGCGAGCTGTTAAACTGCTCGGTCGTCCCTGCCTCCCGATCGATATCTGCATTCACAGAGAGAGATTTGTCATCCCAACCTGAACCAACTCAACTTGGCTTCGCCCCAACAGGAGTAGGAGGGAGGGAAGTCTCAGCTTCTCTCGACTACCATCATATCTTTGGCCCGCCGTCATGTGGGCAACTGCCAGCCTACCTATGCAAATATCAACCTCCCAATCGATCCTTTCGGACAACGTCAGAAAGACTACTTCAGTTACTACTTCTATCTCGCCTACCCAGCCATGCCAGCAGCCTGTCAGCTCGGCGGATGGTTGAAGTTCTTTTTTTTTGCTTCGTGGATAAGGACGGATTATCTCTTACTTGGTCTTAAGCTCTTCACTTATCCTTTCCTTTCTCTTCTTCCCTTTCCCGTGCTTCTTTTTGGCTTCCATCTCGAGTTTTTGTAGACACCTTGTATGCTTACTAGTTTCTCAACTCGGCCAATTTGAATCCCGGTTTGGGGTTGACTATAGTATCAAGGTACATACAGGCTTCATGATCGATTGGCTCGAGCTGTTTGTTAAAGTTCCGGGTTGAACTTCTCTGGGTACCGATCAAACTCAACATCGCGAAGGCACCTACTTATCTGCGAGAACGGAAGATCAGTCGGGAGCCACAACATCTCAGGTACATATGTATCGACCAGACAGGCGTATGATAACTAGGTAGCAATAAGACATCTCGCAGATATAATGTATTGTGATCTAGCTTTGAATTTTTTCTTAAAAGTGATGGTTTGTTTAAAAGTCAGGGGTTGAAGCTCGCGTATGTCAATTTGGTAAAACTCAAATTCAGCTTTTGGTTGTGTTGTTTCTTGCAATCTTTTTTTCTTCTTCTTCCTCATCTTCATCTCGCTCTGGGTAGGCTTCAACATGTGCTGCTTCCCATATCCTCCTTTTCCTTCAAGAACAGAAACCCAATCGCTTCTTGGTTGTTTCGCTCCTCCACCGTGTTCTTCACCTGTTTCCTCCTTCCAAAAATCCCCTTTCATACTTGGGTTAATGATGATACGCTGGATCCCATCGCTCAAAAGAGACGAGACGAAAACAGCAAAAACCTGCACACTTGCCTCCAGTAAGTAACTGGACCAAGGGACGGTTTGGGTCGAAAAGACCAAACGCGCAAATAGTGAAATGAGTCCAAGACGCATGCGCGGTACGCACTAGCAAAGGAAGCACAAGGCTGTGCGAAGCAGAATAACTCAGTGGGTGAGTAAGCACCTTTCTGACTGAGTTTTGCAGATTCCTTTTCCAGCGCGTTCCGTCTTGTGTTCCCTGTGCCTCATCGTCCTTCCCCGACTCCTAAAGGAGGGACAGCGCAGACGTGCAGACAATCAACAGCCGAGGTATTAACGACAGCCAGAATGACTGAAGCCTCCATCATGGTATGGCAAGAAATCATCGCAAATGTCCTTATCCCGTCTCGCCATCTGTTACCCCCAACACAAGATCGGGTTCTGCGAATCATCGCTTGGCAAGTCATCGTGAACGTGTTGCCGCAAACCGTTGTCGTGTCGACGTTCGCTACCAGCAATGCTGTGGTTTCCGGACCAGACTAAGCAGACGAGTTTTTTAACGCAGATTTGTAGGCGAGAGGCACGGCCGACCATTCAACTGTTGTTGCCATCACTGAAGAGTGCCAGTATGGTAATAACCAGTGTTTGTGTTTTGACGTGTGATCAGCGTCGACATTCAGCGCTTCGGGAAGCCAGGTGGGGGCTGGGGCCTTCCGCCAGCTCCGAAGCCCGGAGGTGCAGCAGCGAAGGCAGCTGACGTGCGCCCGTAGTCATTAGCCCAAGCATTCATTAGAGCTTGCCTGTTGTACTCCTCAACCTGAGAAGTAGCATATGCGCCTGCGTTTGACTGGTTGAAGGCATTTTGCTGTGCGGTCCTAGTAGCCATGCCACTCTGTCCGAAGCCGTTGACCGCATCAAACTGTCCTCCATTCCCATATGCGCCACTGGGGCTCGAGTTACTATGAAGAGGGCCAAAGCCCGGGGGAATCCTACCAACCAAACCGGCTGACTTGGGAGCCGATGACATGCTGGGGTTGCGATTGGGAATAGCGTCCCAGTGGGACTTTGCTGGCAAGCCCCAAGGGCTATTCACCGGAGGTAGGCTAGAAGTCGCGCCCGAGAAGGTCATAGAGGAGAAGGGGGAGTTGGGCATGTCGCCCCACAACCCAGGGGGGTTGCCGACCGTAGGATTCCAACTGGAACCAGCCTGGCCGACACTGGACCGTTGCCTCGAATGCGAAGCTGATGTCTGTCCCAGCTCCGGCCATGCGCCGCGGGGAGAAGCAGCCTGATGCTTTGCGGAAGTGGACGGGATAAGGCTGGCCAGCTGGTTGGCCAGTTGCTGCTCAACAGTGCTGGGACCAGTGGTGATCGAGGATCCTGACGGCATTGCGGTGTTGCTCATGCTCTTGGAATGCAGATACGGCGATCCGTGTCCTCCCCAAGAACCGGGGGTACCACGGCCCACGGAAGATCTCGGGACATCGTTATCGGCAGCGCCAGGAGTGTAAAAATAGTTCCAGGGCAATTGCTGGAATCCTCTGGCAGTAGCCGACCCCGGAGCCGACCCCGAAGCGGAACCTTGCCCTGAACCAGAGCCTGGGCTGGGAGATCCGAAGGCATTGCGAAGCTCGTTAGCGGTGGCAGAACCAATTCCGTATGAAGTCTCGTCTGGTCCGTGGCTGCTGGGCTTCCGACTATGGCCCATTGTATCCGGGGGAGCAAGGAAATCGCTCAAGAGCTGGTACATTTGGGCGTCGATGGAGTACTCAGAGTTTGAAGCGGCTTGCGGTGCCTTCGGTGCCCGAGAAGCCGAAGCCTGGCTCACAGGAGGCTGGATCTCCTTGGGATCTCTATAGAAATCACGATCTTCAGCGAACTCGTCCAAACTGTCCAGAGCAACCTCCTCAATAGGTGCCGTGACAGGAGCAGTAACTGGGGCAGCGACGGGGGCCGTAACAGTGTCCGCAACCGGAACGTTCGCAGGAAGCTGCTCAACGATGGGAGACGGGATATGCTCAGTAATCGGAAGTCCGGTCTCGGAGGCAGGTCGCTGTTCGACTTCGGGTTGCGCAACGGGCTGCTGTTTTCCGCCCTCTGCATACGCGAACTTGGTGACCTCACGCGAGTCCTCCATAAGCTTGCAGACCATGAGAGGAAAAGCCGAACGTTCAGCAAGATCGATTGCGCAGAAGAGGACATCGAAGATGCGAGTGAAAGCAATGTCGTCTTCCGTAAAGCTGGCATCTTTGACGTCCTCGGCCCTGGGCTTCGGCTTGCAAGTGGTAGGATCGTAAGACAGTTGACAGCCGTCATGAAGGTCGGGCCCGTTCAAGCACTTGATACCAATGGTTTCCTCGTCCTCCGGGAACTGGTATGGCACGATAGACTTAAGGTTGGTATCGCTCAGCCAGAGCTCGAACAGATCGGTGAGCGCGCGGGCGAGAGCCTTGCACATGTTTCCGTAAAGAGGCTCCAAGTAGGCCTGGAAATCCACGATGTCCTTGCTGTAGGAGCAGAGCCAGGTCATATACACGCGCAAAAGGGGCAGAGTGCGTTGGAAGGTGGCCGTATATCTGCTGGCCGTATCCGCTTTCTTCGCGGAGGCAGCACCAGGGGCGGCCGGACGCCGAAGGATATCTTGAACCTCCTCGTGGAGGATGCGGGAAATCGTATGGATGACCCGAACGTTCTGCAACAGGATAAATTGGCAGGAAAGAGATTTCTCGGCGGTCCAGCCCGCTATACAGTCATGTCAGCATCCGGCCATGTAAGAGATCCTGATATTCAGCTTACCTTCAACGTTTTTCTTTCCGACAACGTAAGCCGTGATGTTGATCAGCACCATCTTAAGGAGAACCTTGGTAACATCGGCTTGGTTGCTCTTCGTCAAAGCCAAGGCCAAACGTGTGTCAACCTCGGCTTCGAGTTCCTTACGCTCGTTGAACTCCTCGCCCTTCGAGTAGAAGGCATGGAGCTTAACAAACCAAGAGATCATAGCATCGTCACTGCCCTTGGCCGCGGCAGCAGCTTTGCGCTTGCGGAGGGTTTTGAACTCAGTTTCGAGGTTGGCCGGGGCATTCGGGTGTGGCTTGTCACAAGCGATGGCGCGGTAGAAGTGGTAGACAACTTCGAGGTGGTTCTCGAGGGTGGCATAAATGTGGCCACTCTGGTGATGGGCAAATCCAGACTCTGGCATGAGGTCGTTGGCCATGGAGTAGTAAGCCAGGGCGGTATCGAAGCGACGGTCCTTGGAGCGGATAAGGGTGCGATATCTGGCCAAGTCACCCATATAGACGAGGGTTCTGTGGCAGGACGCGGTGACAAGCCCTTCAAGATTCGCAGCGGTGGCGTCGACCCTGTCTTCTTCCGGTACAGACATGTCCTCCAGATCGGCCATGCGGGCAATACGCTTTAGTTCCTTCATGTTGTAGCGAGCGCACACGCGCTGGAGATAGCCCTTGTAGAAATATTGGGTCGTCTTGAGGAAGGCCAAGTAGAGCTTCTCTATGCTGCGCTTGTGAACCGCTTGACCAGATCCCTGGATTTTGCCGATGGCGTTTCGGTAGGTATTGGTGACCATGCTGTGGGTGCTCCAGAGGGTCTGCTCGACGTCCAGTTCGCTCGCCGCGCGAATATCGGTCCAGATAATGCTAACGCAATGGAGACGGTAGCTAGCAGCGTATTAGTCAAACGTGAAGTCTTTGTTGGTCAAGGACAGCTCCCACTTTTCCATTAGCTTCTCAATCTTTTGGAAGCGAGCCTCCTCGTTCGAACCCGGTCCGCCATGCTGGATGCTTTGGGTTTCCTTGTGGATCGCAGCTCGAAGCTTCTGGGCCGCCCTACGACATCAACTCGGTTAGCAAAGGGTCCTTTTGGGGGTAGGCATTCTACCAGGTGCGAAGATTACTCACTTCCATGCCTCCTCGGCCGGTGGGATTGCGCCTGTTGTCGCCATGATGCCGGGTTGGGCGCAGTCGACGAGTAGTCGATGTCACCCGCCGCGAATAAAGTGGTTGTGCGGAGAAGAAAAGGCGAGGCGACGACGAAATAGCCTTTATGTATGATGGTGAGAGGTGGGTGCCCAAGCAGAGGTATGTATGTATGCGTAGAGTTCGGCGTGTCGTAGTCGGAGGGACACCGGACCAAGTATTATGTGCAGATTCCGGACAATTGAGCGTCAAGCTCTAAGCCTGGACAAACCGAGATGGGGGCGGTTGTACTGCAAGTGCTCCATCACTCGTTCAGAGCTTCTCTTCGGCGGATGTGCGCAGGAGGGCGCTGCGTCTTGCGGGCTGCAGGTCGACGACGGTCCGGCGATGTTGAGCACATTGGAAGGCGGGACAAAAAATTGTACGACTAGAACGGCGAGGCGAGACCCGTATCGCAGCAATCGGAGACGAGTACGCGGGGGGCGTAGTGGTGGTTGTTGAGAGGAATCCTATGCCGATCCGGTGACGCGCGCAAGGCGGAACCCCCAAAACAAAGATCGGGTCTCTGCAAGAAAAAAAAAGTTGGGTCGGATAGAGATGCAAAAGATGAAGGGATTCACGCGCGCAATCTCTCTGCCGCCAAAAGAGTCGGGTCCTTTGACGTTGGACTGCTGCGAGTGGAAGGCCGATGTACAAAGCCCCTCCTGGAGAAGCACCAGCTCGTTCTAGCGGTCCAATCAATGGAGATCGCCCGGATGATACACGTTGGGGGCCGAGTCGTTAGCTGGGTTGGTGAAGGTTTCCAGCACCAACGGCGCCCTAGCACGCTAACAATATCCCAAAGTGCGGTTGGCCCGTGCACGGGCATAAGACATGAAAGCTTCCACTCCAGTGACTTTCTCATCATCTGTCGACATCGGATTCCACTCCAACGGCATTTGAGCTTGCGCCAACTTACAAACAGTCATATGCGAACGGGTTACATACATATCACTAGTGTTAAAGAGGGCTAAACAGGACAAAATACCGCATTTCTCATCTTCAAGGAGTACAGTATAATTGGTTAGAAACATCACAGCATCGAATCATTCCACGACAAGGTTACCGGTCTGATTCACCGCAACCAACCTCACTATCAAATCCCCAACAAAGGGTAAGGGTAGCAAGAGGTATACCTAGCCCATGACCAACAGAGCTCGGGTACGTCCATCAACACAGTCAAAGAACACCAAAAGACACAAACATGAAGCGGTCACGGGAACCAGAGGAAGACCCTCTGTCCCAACAACAAACAGCGACAACGACAAGCTGTCCTTATCCAGACCAACAGCACTTGGGTGATACCACTGGGACAACAACGAGCCGATCTACCAGCGCCGATGTCTCCGGGTCACCACCCGCTGCGAAAATCGCTGAGCTAGATCCCACCGAAAGCCTCAGCCAAGCCGGTCTCCAGATGAAATGTTCGCTGCCGCCACACAAGGACACACTGGTGTTTTCAACATACTCCGAGTACGAATCCCATTATAACAGCACCCACACCAACCGGTGTCTCGAGTGCCGTAAGAACTTCCCCTCGGCTCATCTGCTTGGGCTGCACATCGAGGAGAACCATGACTCCTTTATGGCGGTTAAAAGAGACAGAGGTGAACACACGGTACGTTCTGACTTTCAACCTTTTCCCCTTCTTTTTCTTCCCCGGTCCCGTCATGCCTTTTTGTCTCACCGGTTTGTCGGATCAGGGCTGAGCAGTGCCGAATCGAGTTTGAAAAGCTGGCCACTAACCAATATTCCAGTACTCCTGCTTCGTGGAAGGTTGTGAAAGGAAATGCATGACGCCCCAAAAGCGACGGATGCATCTCATTGATAAGCACATATATCCCAAGAATTTCTTCTTCGCAGTGACCCTGCACGGTATCGACGGGCGGCAATCGATGCTGTTGGATGAGCGACGGCAGAACCAGAAACCGGGCAACAGGCCACCGACAGCGGCAACAAAGGCTGGCTCTTCCAAACCTAAGCCCACCTCCAAGTCAAAGCCTCCCTCAGAAACGAAGGAGGAGCAGATGGAAGTGGATCAGCCCGAGCCTACTCCAACATCGACGAAACCCGATGCTGAGATGATTGACCAACCGCATGAGGAGGCCGTTAAGGAGGAGGCCATTAAGGAGCCGGCTGACGTGGATATGGGTGACTTGGTAGGCAAGATGTCTGCACTGCAGTTCGTGCCCTCCAGCGTAAGATTTGGTCGTGGAGGACGGAAGACTGGATTCGCCAGAGGGTGATAACAGAGGAAGTGCAAAAACGAGGAGCCGCTATGCTTGAGCAAGCGAATCCCATCAGTCTTGAGCAGTTGAAGCATAATATTGCACATCCAAAACGGAAACATACTGGTTTAATCCTCACATTCCATGACATCATGCCAGAAGTTGTTCATGGGTTTGTTAAATCTGCTCCCTAAACAGTAAGCATCAAGCATAGCTTTGCAAAGGAGAAAGTATCTTATCTTACCCTCTCCCCCGTTAACACCTCCATCCCACTTCTCGATGCGTGCTCAAAAAAAGAGATATTGTTGGTATCATTATAGCGGCGCCGAACGGCCGCTCGCCGGCTCCCGCTTCCCATCGTTTCTCCATCACATCTCGGCCTTGAAAAAAGTTGTTTGTCCCTCCCTTCTCTCCTCCTTTTCACAATAACGTCAACCTCCGCATCCTCCTCTTTAATCACCAGTAGCACATCCTCTGCACCCACAGCTCACGCACTGGACATCCTGGCCCTCCTTCAGCTCGGCCTTGGGCACGCGGCAGATGCACGTCGAGTTGAAGTTGGTCTCCTTGGTCTGGATGCAGCGCAAACAACAAAGCTTCTCGTAGCCGTTCTTCTTCCACTTGGCGATCAGCATCGCGTCCGCGTACCCGTTCTTGAGCAGCCACTCGTACAGCTGCTTGCTGATGGCTTCTTTTTCGTAGTAGAGCTCGTAGATGTACCGGCTCCGCTGGTGCGAGATCTGGAAGATGGGCCATTTGGCCTGGTGCTTGGGGATGTTGTCCGTCGGCGTGTTCTGCGCGTCCTTCATCTTGTTGGCGAAGATGAGCAGGTCCTCCTCGATGTCGGCGAACCCTTCCGGGGGCGGCTTGCGCTTCGAGGCGGGGCGGATGGCGGGCATTTTGAGGTCGTCGTGGGTTCGAGGTTTCGAGGTTTCGCAAGTAGTGTTATGAGAATACGTGGTTCAAGTTGCGCTGAGAGTCTGATCTGTGTTTGCTTGGTGGAAGGGTATCGGAATGTGTGGTGAAATCGCAATTGTTTCTGTGATCCGCGCGAGGAATGGACTGCCTCAGAGTTGCCTGCCAGCCCAGAAATCAGATGTCTTGGGACTGTGGCGTCAACGTCATGGCCTCTCGTAATTGTGGCTAGTGCTCTTTGCGCCCGCAGTCTGAGTGTAAGAGCAACTGTGGCTTAGCTTGATGCTACCCCGAACCGACTGCTGAAGCTACAAGCCGTCATGCGAACGACGACCGACCTTGGCGAACGGTGACAACCTCCAGAGGTCTGCGACGAATTGGCCCAAAATGCCCATCACACCTACCAAGTACGCCATCACCACCAGGCAGTGTAAGTGCCCCTAGCTGTACGAGCTTAACGATCAAGTCTAACCACCATTGTAGCGGTTAACTGGGACGACGCCAAGCGAAGGGTGTTCGCACTTTATCGGCGATGGCTCCGGTCGGTACGTTACGTTACGAGCGAACGCATAGGGAAACGAGCGATTCCAGCTTTCGACAGACCCGTCCGATATCGACCGATATAATGGGAGGAGTGCGACCAACCCCGACCGAGGTTTCGCTAACGAGGCTATCGCATACAACAGACACCCGAGATGCAGTCCATGTACTCGCTACCCCTCCCCATTTCGGTCATTCGCACCCGCATCAGGCAGGAATTCGAGCGCAACCGCTTCGTTAACAAGTTGCCCGTGGTGGATGTTCTGCTCACAAAGGGCCATGCCGACTATCAAGTAAGGCTCCACTTCATCGTCACTATCCACATGGACATGAATCAGGGGATCCCTAGGAACGGGCACAGCAGTGGGGTCATGCCCAAAATCTGGAGAACCCCCAAAGAGAAGGGGAATGGGTTCCAGACAAGGGGTCCGGAGGGAATATCAAAGCGTTGGCGCATATTCACGCCGCGGCGATTCGGAGTGAGAGGGATTGTTCTGGTACCTTGACGCTGACTCTCCATGCGCCTATCAGGAAACCATGAACTTCTGGCGCCAGACGACTCACATGATGTCGTACTTCAACGAGGAGAGCTTCCGTGGAGCCAAGAGACTTCCCTCCAGCTTTATCGATGGCTTCCTGCAGGTAAGCCTACATGCAGCCCTTTTGTCTCTTGGTGATGACATGTTTCGTTGTGCGGGTAGCTCACAGTACTCTTCTCTCATTTTAGGGTCGCAACTAAGAAGAGTAATAATGAAGGGTATCAGTGTCAGCCTTTCCTCTAGAGCCTATGTATATAACGCAAGCCAGAGCAACATCCATGGACGCAGCCGCTTGTCCTTTTATCTTTCCCCCCCTTTTGATATCCACTCACAGCAAGTCCTTCTCTGTCTGTCTCTTTTTGTTTCCCCCCTGTGGATTACTACTCCCAAGCCAAGCCCAAAAACGCCATTACCCATGCTGGTGGAAGTTCACGATAAATGAAAAGGTAGAAAAAGGAAGTTATGCGGACGCAGCGGCCTTCTTCTCAGTGAAGTCCTTGCGAGCCTCAAGGAACTTATCCGATACGACGTCGCAAAGATCCTGAATGTCGCGCAGGCCTTTGCGGAGCGCGTCGACGGCATTTGTGCCCTCTGCATGTCGCTGTCAGTTCATATTTCCATGGGTTTCACTCAGTGGTAGAACGAGGCAAGGTCACGCACCGTAGGTCTGGATTCTGACGTTCATCTTGGCCTCGGAGGGATGGGGAATGGCGTAGGCGCAGAACTCGACATCAGGGCTATCAACATAGTGTTAGCACACACTCATAGCTCAGCTCATTAAGATGAGGCATGTGAAGCTCCAAGACTCACTTCTTCATGATGACGTATCTGAGAGCATTGCCAAGGGTATGGTTCTCCTCAAGGAACTCGAAAGAAGCGGCAGTGGGCGTAGAGCCAGGAAGCTGTGCCAAATGTTAGTTTTAAGTCGATATGAATTCGTTATGGAGGGTTTCACGTACAAGTCTGACTTTGGTACCCTCCTCCTCCCCCTCATACTCCTCCTCTCCCTCCTCTCCCTCCTCGCCAGCATCGGCCATAGAGACATCATCCTGAGCCTCCGGCTGGTGAGAAGTCGGGGTCTCCTTCATGGTAACCTCCTCGCCATCGTCGCCGAACTTGGTGACCTTGCCCATTTTGACTGTAGTGGTTTTTGGTGATCTGAAGTACCGATAACTGAAAGATGATTTGGGTCGTTGGGTAAACTCGTTGTTATTCGAGTGATTTACTCCGTCCAAAAACACAAGGATGGGTTGAATTCAATTGTCGTCGGCGCGCGAGTGGTGAACAACAACCTGACTGAGCCTCTATCTCTCTGTTATCGGAGAAATTTTTAGCGTGAAAAGACGAGTTCATCCGTCGCCAAGACTTTGGTAAGGTTTGCCAGATGGAGGCGGCTGAAAGTTAGGCGAACCTGCGGCAAAGTTGCCCCGCCTGCCGACGGCTATTGGCCTGTCGGGTTGAGTCCCGGACTCGAGGATGCTCCACTGAGCTGAGCTGAGCTTTGGCCTCGGCAACTCCACGCTGGAGACTTGACTCGGGGTCAACATCCACTTCCCATCTTCGACTTCACTTCAGCATCTTATCAACTGACCTCCCCGAGTTTCTCATTAAGATATCAGATGCTCACTTGTTGCAACACCACTTCTTGACCAACCTTCAAGTGCTTGCGGATACCTTCAGGCAAATCGTGAAATTGCATTCTCTGCACTGCGTCCTCCCCCGTATGACACCCTTCTCTATATACCTACACGAGAACGTCCGCTAAAAAGTGCGGTTAGGGTGGTAGTGCTTTTCGCGGGCGATCCCCATATAGAACCCCGCACGCACTAACATCTCGCTACTGCACGAACCGTTTTTCCCGCAAACTCACCGCAAAAGAAATTGTTAGGCCTGACATTTATTGTGTAATTGCTGTTAAGGATTGCTTTCAACCTTAAAAAATCTCGCGCCGTTGGGAAGGGTCGAAGCCAAGTTTCCTGGCCTCCCCGAATACTACCTATCCAAAAGCATTAACTCCCTTTTTCCATTTTACCCAATTATACCTTCATTTACACCATTTGCACCTCGATTTCAAAGCAAAGGGTTTTCACTACTTTTCAATTTTAGCTACCTCTACGGTGCAACCCAATGTCCAACATTACACAAGCCACAACCCAGGGTCCAGCCTTTCATCGCCCAGGGAAGGGAAGGCAGCTTTGCTGCCTCCCCGAACACTAGTGAGTATCTAGGTCGAGGATTATTTCTCAACGCCGGAAACTGAGCTTATCCATGGAGACTACCGAAGACCTCGGTATACCTGTTCAATGACACCTAGCGGTAGCTACATACTACTAGAAACTCAGGGCAGACAAAGACTCTTCAGCATGACATCCCGAACCGCTTCCGGATCCCAGAACCAGACTCTGGACAAAAACGGGCTACGCAAGAGACCGTTTCCCGTCAACCACTATCAGGAGGTAAGACCCGGATAACGACAGGTTGTTCAAACTGAAAGAGAGCTTCGGATATACTATGGCGCGGGTGGGTGAAAAGGGGAAGTATTGGAAGCAAGAAAACGGAGGTCAAAACATATGCAGAGAGGGATGCTCGTAGTGGGCTGGAAGAGAGAGTAGAATACACCTGCCCATGAAAGTAACAGGGTACGGATCTATGCTCAATGCTTTATGTCCAGTCGTCAGTCAAGTATCTGCTTTATCGTCCAAACTTCCGAGTGGTTTTACAACACTACCGGAGCCAGTACCAGGCTCACGATCTCCCCAGGAATGTTCCAATTTCAGGAACTTGATGTTATTCCCACGGTAATCAGTCCATCGCCGCTAAATCACCAAGTGTGATTTTGAAACAGTCGCCCGGCAGTGTTGCCTGTATTTCTACCGGCCATAGTTTACGGGTTCTAGGTGAAGGACCTGATCCGTGATGTCAAGTTGCCATGCTTCAAATTCGGCCAGTACGGTACGGTAAAGTACAAGTCCGGATCGCCTTTCATCCCATCCCATTCCTCCGCCCTCCGCCTTACCCCTCTACGCACCATATAAGGTCCGGCACCAGGCCCTAATTCCAGCGCGGACCAATTGGCCAAATGGCCGAGCGGTTCCGTTCATGAAAACATTGCCGGTGTGCGCGGTACCCGTGCTCCGTGGTACAGTTTTCGTAGGTCGCAGCTGGAGCATGGTGGTTCGTTCCCCCAAGCCTCCTGGGCGACTGAGCTTTTTGCCTTTTTTGTGGTCTACGAAATTGATTGAAGATAACTTTTACGTGTTCCTCGGATTTTTGTCTTTTATTTTACTTGTTTTTGGACCGAGTTTGTATCTTGCTTGGTGCCCGAACGCGGCGGTTCCGATCGCAGGTCGGCACTGCAGCTACGACCGGTTGAGACACAGGCACGACTGGTGATTTAGAATCCCACTCGGTGATTTACCGGCGATGGACTGACACTGACCACCGTGAGAACAAGGTCAAGTTCCTGAAACTGGAACGTTCCTGGGGAGACCGTGAGCCTGGTACTGTCTCTGGCCCGAGGTCGAATGTCGCCATCGATGAGAAGCCAATATCAAGCATGGGAATCGATACGATCAGGCATCATATCAACGGAAACACCGAGTTGCTATATGCGTTGGATCATGAGTACTTAGGTAGTAACTGAATTTGTAGCCCACATGTCAACATAAGGATTTCGACACAATGTATCTCAGTAGCGTTCAAGATCAGCCTACAGTACACTTTCAATATGCTCTACCCAGCAGACGTCTACTGAATCCTGATCTTCTGTGCCTTTGGTGTAAAAAGACAAAGTGTCTCCTTTAGTTACATACCTACCAATAGTACCTACTATATGTTAACCATCATCACCATCTTGCCAGGCCATCGAAGCAAAGTCTCCCACGCAAAAAAAAAGCCTACCAAATATCAATCATATCATCCCCAGCCCAGTCCCGCTTACCGCAGGCCTTTGACAGTCCAGCAGCTAATTGAAAACCCCCCATTCCCTATGAACATGTCATAGTCCACGCTTCTCTCTAGGTAACCAGCCTCAGCCAAGACCAGGATCAGCAGGGGCATGTAAGGAACCGTCCATTCCTTGGGGAAATAGTCAATACAATTCAATACTGGTTTGTTTGTTAGTTTGGTTCTTCGAGCATTGGTTGAACAGGGGAGTTTTGGAGCTCTTATTGGCCTTCGAAGAGAGGAACTGTCCTCCGTTTGAAGCATCATGGGACAATGACAAGGGTTTAAGACGCCACAGAAGCCTCTTATGTCTCTCTCCGACTCCTTTAAGACTGGACGATATCGGTCTACGGTGGTCAACCGATAGAAAGCCGAACGCTTTCCTATAAAGCGTTGGCTTTTTTGTACCAAACTAACAATCAAACCAGGGCTGGATTGTAGTCAATACACAGTAGGTAATTCCGCGGCTCGCCGAGCCGCAGACACGAAGTGGTCACGAGCTAGGTAGGGTAGTGGGAGGTAGTTCTGTCCGATTTAAGATAATGCGGCATGCCGGGAGTGGATGGAGGATTGAGGACAGTGTGGGTAGGGGGTTTACGGTATCTTGTTTGCCAAGTACCTTAGGTTTGTGACTGGTTTAATGGTGTAGCTTGCGGCCTTCAGAGGCTGCTGGTATCTTTAAGTTGAGTTTATAGTCTCTGAATATGAGTGAAATTGCTTTTCTTTCCCTCAACTTTCGCACCATCTCTGTTTTGATGACTAGATGACGATGCATGGTCTTGGAAAATTGGATTAGTCTTGAGTTATACTATCGAGAGCCATATAGTCTCCAAAAGCGTCGAAGTCACCAGCTATTTTCCGAATTATTTCATCCATTCGCAAAAAGTGCAATCTATCCTGCTGTCTTCGAACATGCCAACATCTATCCGCCCGAGCCAAAGGCTTAGCAAGTTGATGGTTTAGTAATCAAGTTTAATGAGGCTCAAGCATGTAATGCTACCAGCTTCCGCACACCTTCTTACAGTTCTGCACGGATTCACGTTACCGTTCCGTGCCGTCTCTGCTTCGAGTGTGGTGTTGGAAAGGGAAAAAGTCTTGTCGGGGATGCTCGTCGGAAATATCGGCATGCAACGCTTATTAGACGATGCCTGGTGATATCACAGAGCATCAAACATTGAAGCCAACACGAAGTAGCAATTAGTCTAACCCCTGAGAACGGGAAGTTTTTAAACAGCCGAATGGGGGTTCCTATATGGATAGTGGGCAATAGTGAACGATAAGTCTCCGAGAAAGAGAAAACCAAAATGAGCCGGGGATATTCGAGTGATATATGGACCTAGCCATGACAGCGGCATATGTATCTCTAATCCAAAGAAGAAGGGAATTTTTCTGACTGCCTGACACCGACTGAACGGATGCCGTGCCAGTGGGTTGCATCTTGTGCAGATTCCTTTCTCATCCTCACCACGCGAACCAGTTGATCCAGGCTGGCCAATGTGTTCCAGTGAGAAAAGTTATAAATGGCAACGATTTCCATCAAGGAGAGCTCGGCGAGGTCTGTAGATCCCTGGATCAATTCATTTGTTATAGATTGGCTGGTGTGACCTCGGCCGAGGATAACGGTAATTGTATGAGTCTGCTGTCCAGTCGTTCAACAGACTGCCCAGACCAAGCTCAGGGCTTTGTGACATGGTGGTCGACGGCTTGCTGCACGACATTCATTATCTGATGCACAAACTGTTGCCGGCGTTAATTGTTCCGGGGCCTCGGGGTCGCTAAAGGAGAGATTCCATTGGGCCGATGTTTGTGGCCGTTTCGTACCGTAGTAGTAGCAAAAGGATATCCAAACTCTGTTGGATCATAGGAGTAGTGTCTATACTGCTCTCGTCGTTCCATGCCCTTCTCCTCTGCCCTGAAGCTGATGGAGGCTGTCTCAGATGGAGGAATCAGATGTTATAGCAACTCAATGGGAATAGTCTCACGCCCGACCATGGACCAGAGAAGGCGAAAGAATTTAGAGAACAGACGAGGATGACTCTCTGGCCGTCTCGACCATGGGCCAAGTATGTATCACGGTAAGAAAAGCCCGGACCAAACAAGACGTTGGACGGGTGAGAATGTGACCCCTCCGCATGGAAGTGCCCGAGATCCACCGAACCGAGCGATCCAGACGTTCGAGATGAAAATTCTCTTGCTGTCGCAGATTGCGAGTTTCATGGGCAAGGTGCCCACTTACACATGTACGTCGTTGAGTTACATGTACGTGTCAACGCATTTGTCTCGGCGTGCTTCAAGATATTAGAGTATATCTTTCTAATCATGGCCTCTCGAGGTAAGTTCACTCGAGTCTGCAGCCGTGGGGGCGATACTTGGCCGGCAAGTGGTCCGTGATGAGTCGAGGAGGAGCAGATCAAACACTTGATCCCAACTCCCACTTTCAGACGACAATGAGAGAAATGTCTTCGTGTTCGTCTTGTGGGTTGGGTGATGTTCGGTTCGTTCGATGACACTGTAGGCACAGGATTTTGGCCTAGGCGAGCTCGGACCGGATGTTTAGGTGATGATGACATGATGTGCCCCTCCTTGGCCTCCCCTTCTCTAGCGTTGACGAGTTTCAGGTGAATCGGGGTTGGCTGGTCGGCCAGGCTGCGTTGTGAGAGAAGCAGGCGATGGTGGGGGAGAAATCCAGAACACTGGTCGAGCCCGCCAGAAGTTCAAAGCTCTTTGCAAATGGGAGGGACGACGGCAACCGGCAAGGGGCATCAGGAAACAAGCTGCTGACCAATCAGAGACGAGGACAGCCCAAATCTTGACCCCTGCAGCCCCCTTTCCCCATTACGCTAGATTTCATAACGAAAAATTCTAGCCCAGACGAGTACCGGGGACTCATTGACATTGAGTATCGACAGCCATTCGACTGATGAATTCGACATGTTTCTGGGGAAGTTGGGGACTGCCAGTGTCATACGCGTGGATCGACACCAGATTATGCGCATATGAAGTTGTAAGGCCGAAGAGCAATCCTCGTGGAAGACATGCACCTTCCAAAGACCCGATGTCCAAAAGGCACAGCTCCTCGTGGCCATCTCAGCAGCCAATGTGTGTTTTAAACAAAAAAACAGCTGCACAGCTGGTGTGCACTTCAGCAGGTACTTGTAAACTGATTGGCCGCCTATTTGACATGCTGTATGAGCCGGCAAGAACCTGCCAGACCTCCCGCCATCGCCTCTGCTGTATGTACAATGCCAAAATATTCCAGGCACCCGGAAGATCTCTGGCCCATGATCCGCGACGTTAGGTGAACATCAAACACTGGACCACTCGATCATCCTCATGGGGGACAAAGATGTGGCCCAACATGGTAGGTACCGGGGCTGGATCCATGTAGCCACAAACCTCATACACGACTTGCATCATTGTCGCTGGGTCGTCCCCTTTCATAATCGGCGGGGACCCCTACCTACAGCCCAAACAAAGTGAGGGGAGGGACTAACTTTTCTATCGACTTGTTGCTCGTTACGTCTGGGCATCGTGTCGGGTCCCATAAGAAGAATATAATTTCCTCTTGTCCCTCCTCGCGCGTAGTCGACTTCCCTACCTATCCTCTATCACTCCACGTTTTCCCGTTCAGTTGTGTCCCTTTGCAGTGGCGCATCCGGCATCCCCGACGACCGAGCTCCCACAGGCGACAGACGACAGCAAGCAGCACCTTGTCGCGACCGCGCATATTTGGCGTTTACTAAGAGCAATCTAAGCAATCTAATCGACCGGACTAGTTTCCACATTAGGGTACCTGACAGCGTTTGTTTTCTTCCTCGATAGATGGCCGAATAGGGGTAATCGAAAGGCGAAAAAAAGGAAGAAAAAGTTGTTAATTATCTTCTTTTTCGCAGAGTCGTATCTTCCATCTTGGAGGGGGAATTCCAACCAATACGAGCCACTGGTTGCAAGCCTGTAGGCAGCGACTTCAGCGACAGTTTCCTGTTACGACGGACGAGTCTGCCGAAAAGAGGAAGGTGCATCGCGACGGGCACCACGGAGGACACCCGCGAACCCAGACACCCCAACAAACCCAACACTTCAGCACATTTCCGCCGGCACGCATTTGACACTGGCGGCGCACCCACTTCGAGCCACTTCCACTTCTGCCACCAGCACCTACCCACTGGTAACCACTGGCAACCACCACCACAAACTGTCCCAAGAGACAAACCATTCAGACACCAGAACCCGAATCCGTTTCGAGACATCCGCAGCGAGTCAAGCGGCTGGATCGGTCTTGTTCAAGATTCGCACTGTCGTCTCAGCCAGTCTGGAAGCGCCCGGCACTCGGAATCAGGTCGTTGCAGCGTGCAGTGTCCAGTGAGTGACCACAGCATTCAGCAGCAAGATCGAAATATTGAAAGACGCAAGGTTCTGAGGACTTCAGTTGCAAAGCAGTGACATAGCTTCAGCTCGTCACCCCGGCAAATTATAACCTGAGGAATCCTCGCTCCCTCGGCCGTCAATTGCCGTCTTCCGCTTTCCACTCCAGTCTCCAGTCTCCATCCATCAAGTCCATCTCCTTGCGGTCTCGACCTCGGCTTTTCTACATTTTCTGGATCGCCTCACACACACTAGGGGCAGGAACAACACAGCAGAGAGGGGCCCTGGAGAAAAGGAGTGCCCAAGTGCGTCGAGACGTCAGCCAGCGTCGCGATTGATAGGCCGGCAGCGACTAGTCCGACTATACCTTGTCCCAGGGGGGCTGCTCACCTGCGACCAACCTGGTTTGGGACTTTCCGCTAGGGAGACACACACGTTGCTGCGATCCATCCGACGTCGATTTCCAATCCCACCTCAACCCAATAGCAATAATTCCCCATAATCCCGTCCACAAGGCACAGCTGTTCGCCTCTTTGCAATCAATTTCCTGCCGACCCAACACCCCCCGGATTTGCAGAGCATTCCCAGGGATATTCAACCACTCATCCCAAAGCCAACCACTCGCTCCGTGTCGCTCCAATCTTTTTTCTCTTGCACGCTCTCCTAATTTACACAACCACAAAGTGTCCAAGTCGACCATGAGCACCGCCATTGCCATGGCCGCGTCTCCGGCTCCTCACGACAGGCCAAACTACGGCTCCGACGTCTCCCAATCCACCGCTGCGCCCGCTTCCACATCGTCGCCCAGCGCGCAACGAACGGCCGCTGTACCACCACCGCTGCCCCCATCCTCTTCGAACCCGAATGCGCCAGCTCCCCGGTCAGGTAGTGGCAGCCCCCGAGCTGTGGGTGCGACACCCGCTGCACACAAGTCCTCTCCACCCAGCGCGTAAGTAATCTCCTTTTTTTGATTGTCGTCTTCTTCTCTCCTCTTTCCATCTTTCGTTTCGACTTTCGTTTTTCGCTATTGCTATCGGGCAGTCACTAATCAGTTCGCCGTCTTCGATACTACAGTTCTCGCAGCGCTGGTGGCTCGGCACCCAGGATCATCGTCAAGAAGGAACCAGGCTCGCCCGACGTACAACAACAACAACAACAACAACAACAACAACAACAAATACAACAACCACCACCCACTGCCAGGCACCGACCCAGCAGACTGGATCTTTCCAAGAACACAAACACCAACAACGGCGTTCCCGGTTCTGCGCGACCGCTCACTGCCCGTGACACTAGCGGACTCGGAATCAAGGAAGTCGGTATCGCTTGTCTATCGCCCGGTTTCGTCACACACGACCCGCTCATGAAGGAGCAAGTACATCGCAGTATGAGTGTGAAGGAGCAGCAGAAGCGGATCATCGAATCCAGGTTACAACAACAGTCGGCCGGCTTCAAGGCCCCTGAGATTCCGGATAGGGCGGATAGGGAGAAGGATGGAGGTCACTTCGCCGCAAAGACACCAGGCCTAGCACGGAAGCGTGGCCCGCCGCCAGGATTGAGCATCGTCGCTCCCTCCCACGAGCAGTTCGCCAACGAAAGGGTTATCCAGTCTGCGCCCCTTGGCCAGTCGTTCCCAGGCAGACAGAACCCTCACCCATTGACCCGTCACCTCATCAACCATGGTTCGAATCTCGCCAGCACATCGCACATCCACCATGTGCCTGCCAAGCAAACGAACAACAGACTGCCGCCAATTGCCGATGTATTTGGTCAGGGCTTGTCTGGCCATCCCGATTCAAGCGGACACGCTCTCTTTGCCAGCCAGAGTCACAGCCACGGACCGCTAGCATCACCTCACCACCCACCGCCGCCTCCTCCGCCGCAACCTCAACCTCCTACATCTGCCAGGCAAAGGGAGTACAAGTCCGCCGAAGAAGCACAACAAGACCTGGCGGCCGGCCGAACAGAACTACTGCCCAAGTATGTACACTATAACAGCAGCAGCAGCAGTAGTCAACACCAACCCCCGACACCGCCATCTCCCCCCAACGGCCCAGCGCATCACCACGCACCACCACCGCCAACATATCTGCCTTCTACGCACGCATCATCCTCTCAAAGAGGCTCGCACTCTCATATTAGTAATCATATGACTGACGCCAGCCGAAGCGCCAGCAACAATACTCCCGGCAATAATTACAGCAGCAGCAACATGCACAGCAGCACACTTCCCTCGTCGTCTGCTCCTAAGAGGAGGACGCGAGCCGAGTACGAGGAAGGTGGGAGCCCCCCGCTCGGTAATGGGAGGGCGCCACAGAGGAGGTCAGGACCGTTTGGCGAAGGAAGAGATAGCCCCGAGACACAAAGGGCGAAGAAGGAGGAGTTCATCAGGCTTTGCGAAAGAGCTTGGGATCTTTTCCACTCATGATGAATACTACTGCTATTATCGATAACATGCCCGCATTATCACAATACCAAATACATAGCTGCACTAATAAGGTTCAAGCTTTGGCTTCTTCTTTTTTTCCTTTTTTTTTTTTTCACATTTCCCCTTCCATCACATCTACCCGATAGGGTATCATTATTTACGATCACCACCACTACCGCCGCCAAACCTTTTTCTTTTCACAATCATCTCTCTTTTTCTCATATGTCTTCAAATGGGTGGGTGGCATTGGTATGGCGACCAGGGCCGGGACGGGGGCGCGCGTGTGATGGATGGACTGGCTGGCTTTCAAGGCGGCAGGGGCTGATATCTCAAGGTTAAGGTGTTGATTTTGTGTTTGATTTATGTAAGGGACGGATGTACTGGACTGGACCGGACTGGACTGCGTTTGGTGGGTTGATTACTCTAATCTCTTGGGCGGACGATATGGCGCCCAAAAGCCCGAAGTTTACACATGTAGCTTATACTCAGAGCTATATTCATCATGTTTTGTTATTTGTGTGTGTGTCCCTGTTCAAAATAAGGCGCGAGAGAGGGGGAGTTCCATTATGAGGCCAAATAAATCTACTAGTCACACCTAATAACTCAATGTCCGTCCGCAATGTAGGTGTTTTTTGCTCGAATAGGACAACCACCTAGAATACAACTGGCATCCTCTTTGGATTACAGTAATATATCAAATCATCCATAGCAACCCGTCGTGAAGTCTCTTCTCACTTTAGCATCTTCGTTATTGTTGTCTTCTCTGTGAGTTCAACCAAGCCAACCATCTGTTACTCCATTTATGCTTATGCTAAAGCTACCTCTTCTCTACTGATGTTGCCGCTATTTTCTTCTACTAACCGCTTCTTTGCTTCCTTGGTTCCAGGTAGTTCCTGGTTTAAATCTTCAAAGGTTCGGTTCCCCCTTTTCCCCTTTCCGCTCCCTTCCTCCTCTTCACCTATAGTCATCCCGCTTTGTTCGCTTCGTCCGTCAAACCATCCATTTCATCCCATCTCAGTAGCCTAGGTTCAGGTTGTTTGTCCCCTCACTATATCCATCTTGAAATTCCCCTGACCCATACTCATCAACCACCAGCCGCACAGTTCGACCGATCGTCTGACCCAGGAGTAGAGTCTCTTCACCAGCCACCCATCGTCGCCGCCTTCTTGACCCTTCTTGACCCTCCCACCCTCTTGCAGGAAGCATGATGGCGACGACGAGAGCAACGAGCAACGAGCAACGAGGACCGCAAAGCTGGAGAAGCGTCGATGAAGTGGCTGGTGGGAATTGAAGGGAAGGCGAGTCGGAGTCAGAGAGTCAAGCCGGCGTTGTATTGGTGTCAATCTCGAGGATGATATCGTGGTCTAAGCTTAGAGATGGATGCTAGTCGGGCGCCCGCGCGGTGACGACTTTTCAGCTTCGACTTGCAGTCTTGAGCGGCGCGTGGCGTTCTTTTTGATTTGTCGACAAGAAGGGTTGCTGTTGATCACTTGCGTTTTTGTGCTCTCTGCGTTCCCTGGGATGTTCCTTGGAGTTGAAGATCGTCGGCTGATACCTCGACTACCGCCGGAGTAAAGTGATTTCGTCGTTTTGAACCCGCTCGCTGCATGGGCGAACTACCACTGTCCGTGTTCATCATCCGCGCCTTGCTTTCTTGTCCCTAACATTACTCAAATGTGCTCGGTTCGTCAAGTGCACCTCGAACCCGTCCAGCGTCAAGCCTGGGCCTACGACATACAACTTGCCGTCACAGTCGAGACATCGAATTCTTGGAAGCCACATGTACTGGGCGTTGGGCGGGATTTCTCGAGCCTTTTTCGGCACGATCTTGACCACACCACCATCGTACACCACCGCGTTATAGCGCATTATGCAGTCAAAAGAGTCATTTGGGTACTTCTGGTGCAGGGCTTCGAGGCATTTATTGAGCCATTCTGGTATTGGGGGCTATACAAAAATGCATAGAGAAAAACAAAGATCAATGTCAGTGTTGTCTGCGTACCACGAACGATCCTTGACCAGGTGTAAACTGGGAGGATATTACCGATGGAGGAAGCGGCTCTCCGTTGGCTGGAGGTGGAGGAGCCGGTACAGCACCAATAGTGGCATCGTCACCAGCAGCAGCTCCAGCTCCAGCGGTCGGCGGTGTCGCAACCTTGATAGTTAGGTTGTGTTGCGAACCGGCAGCTGGAGTGGTGGGCGGTGGACCCATCGAGCCAGGTAGTGCTATGCTTAGGGCTCTTTGGTTACCGGGCGTCCCAGAGCCAGACGGAATCGGCGTTGGCGGTTTCGTCCTGCTGTCTCGGCCTTGTATGATTCTCCGCAGCCTGGCAGGGTTAACCCGAAGGATAACAATGTGTTGCTGTTGCAAAGGCTCCTCAGTCTCTTCCCGTGTCGCTTCCCTGCCAAACCTACGCGACATCCGAGTCTCGTGATGGTGTACGATGGTCTCAGGGGTTTCCGACCGTCCGATGTTTGCCATGCGCTGGGCAGCGGCCGTAGCGGCCCCACGCATTCCACGCGTTCGGGCGGTTCCTCCTTGGGGCACCGACATGGCGGGTGAGTCTGGGGCGGAGTCCATACTATCTTCTGAATCGGAAAGATCTCCGTCCCGGATGATGCGCCTGCCCCTTCCTGGGCCACCAGTAGTTGCGACTGGTCCCGTCGACCTCTTGAAGAGCCGGCTGTCTTCAATATCCAGGACTCCGCCGGGAATAACCGAAGATACAATAGCTGTCCGAATCGTCCTTTGCCTTTCCTTGAGGTCGGGCAGCTGGGGCCCACCACGTCTGTTGACGGATCGTTTTTGTCTGCGTTGCTCGCGCGAGAACATGGTCTCGGTCCGTTCTAGTTCTGCCTCGGTGTTCTCGTACAGGTAAGGGGCGTAGTCTTTTTGCTGTTGGTTGGGTCGCAGCGTGTAGGGAATCGGTGTTGGGAGGAAGGCGGCCGTGAGGTCTGGGTCCTCGATAGGGCGCCCGTCGAAGGGGTGTCCTACACTATAGAGACTGCGGGTAAAGAGCTGCGTCTGCTCACGGATACAGTGAGCGATGGCCGTTGTGAATTCTCCCGAAAGAGATAGCTCGTCGGCCATTCTCGCAGCAAACTCCTCTGGCGAGTTCATCGGATTGTTGATATCCCACTCGAATTGGTCCACCAGTGTATGCTCTTTAATGGTAATATTCAGCTTGATCAAAATCCTCATGTCATCATTCTTGTATGCTGAGTAGGGCAATTCGGGATCCAAGGCGTCCTCCTCTGAATGGACAAAGGGATAAAAGTCCTGGAGTTGCTCCACCATCTGTGTAACCACTTGTTCATGAACGTGCTTGTCCATGGGCGGCTTCAACCCCATATCCTCGACCAACTGTGAGGCAAACACTTCGACGGGGATGAGTCGCTCGTGGAGGTTAAAGGTGAACGTGTCACGTAGTTTTACCTTGTCCCAATCAACGTCTATCCTGATGGGCACCAGCTCCTCGTGTTGTTCGGCTTGTTTCTTGAGATCTTTGCGACTGAACTTGAGCGGCGGTGTCGTCCGCTTGCCCGGCCGAGGCTTCTGCGAAGGGTATATAATTTTGACGGGCCCGCCTGTTTCTGTAACCCCGTTTCCGTAACCATTGTAACCCTGGCCGTAGAGCTGAGCTGGAGGTACTCTGTTCCGACTATCGCGACTGGTCATAGCTTTGTACTGGTCGACCCGTGCCAGCCTGTTGCTCATGTCCTGGTTCAGGGCCTTCTGCGAATCCTTCAGAGCGGCGGCGTGAATCAGGTCGCGCGTGACAAAACGGTCAACCAAGACCCTATTCAGACTATCCTTGTCGCGTTGGATGACGGGCGGCGTCGCGCCATCTTGAGGGCTACCGGCCTTGGAGGCTGCCGAGGGGGCCTGAGAAGCCGAGGCGGCAGGCGTTCCGGAAGCATTGAGCGAAGACGAGGCGTCGGCAGAAGAAGCGCCAGCCTCAGCGCCGGCACTGCCAGAGGCCATAGCCGAGGCAGAAGACAGCGAGGCGGCCATGGAGAGTCGCAGTCGCTATGCGTCGCCGTACCGGTCGGTCGCGTGTTCGAATAGAGGACGGATGAACGATATGGATGGTGGTTGTCAATGCTGGGTAGCTAGCTACTGGTAGCTCTAGTCGTGATGATGTTGGTGTAAATCCGAGGAACTGAGGAACTGGACAGGTCGCGTTGTCTCGAGGTAACCTCTACCGAAATCCCGTCGTGCGCTGGAGCCAGTAGAAGGGACAGCTGGTTGGCGATGTTCCGTCTTGTTTTTCGCGTTTCGTGGTCGTCGTGATGCGATGCAGCCTGAGCTATGCCAATTCTCGTCTATCGTCTGTTGCTTCTCCGTGGTGTTTTGTTTGTCCGTTCTGTCAGCTTCCAATTTTTGGGAGAAGAGATGAGGCTGGGCTGCGGGATACACCACTACTAGTGTACTCGAGTAAGGTCAGGTCGGTACAACGAGGCAACTGAACTTTGGCACCGCACAGCGCATCTTTCACTGACAACTGGAGGCTGACAGGCAATTGGATGCCAAAGGCGAGAGCGACCTAGCGGGAAGAGTGTTGCAGTGCTGTTCCTGACCAATGGAACAACAGCAAAAGACAGCCGTGTCCCAGACAAGGACGTGTGTCAGTCGCTCCTCGAGGTACTCGGTACTTAGCCACCAGCGCAAAGTAGTAAGCCAGACAAGGTATTCAGGACTTCCCAGTCATGGCCAGAGCGGATCTCTTTCTGCCAGGGCAGGTCTGTCTTGGCGCGCCTGAACCCGTGTCACTGTCATTGTCTGCGCTTTCCATCAATGGCACCGGCAGACTCGCAATGTCGAGGAAGAGTCCCGGCAGGCTTCTTTTGCCGTGCCGTTGCGCTGCCGCGAGCCTGCCCTCAGAACAGCAGAACTCGACGGACGTCAACGTGGACTTGCGCCAGTGCGAGACCCCCGGAGTGAGGAGCTGGTCAAGACCGATGGAAGGCAGTGAATGCGCAAGAATGCGCTACTTCTGCGGCAACTTGAAAGTCTGCCAAAGTGGCCGTCGCAATCGCAATGGCAAATCGCAAAGAGTCCATCCCGTCGTCATGCAATGGATTTGCCTGGATCCCGTACTGTGATGCAGAGACAGTGGAGCACAGGCTTCAATCCAATGATGGAGCATCAGCAGGCGTGAGCGCTGAGCACTGGGCACTGGCCCCTGCCAGACCCAGACCTAGAGAAAGAACCCCCTCCCCCGCCTTCACAAAATCCAGCAGCAAAGCAAAATCGCACGCATCAAGCCGGCCCACCTCGAAGCTCCCGACTTTGCTGTTTTTCCTTCTTCTTTCCACTCTCCACCATCCACACCCCAAGGTAGCTTCAACACCCGCCCAATCTTTACCTTTACGTCGTACATTCATTCTAAGCTTTAGTTACTAGTAAACAGTCTATCGCTGTACATTTGCCCAAAATGGCGTCCGAAACTAAGCAGGAGATCGGTTAGTTGCAAAGGAAGCTGAGCTACAAGCATGAAGCTTTTCTCTTCCGTTTCCCTCCCTCTAGTCCTCTACTCCTTCCCTCCTCCAGCTGCGCACTTTGAGAGGTTGGCGTCTAGACTCTCCTATCTTGTTCCTCGTCGTCCCTGGGAAAGCCGGCCCTTGCCTGCGACACACAGGCTCGGGAGCTTGCTTGTCGCCGGCTTGCTCTGTCTATGCGCCCATATGCTCTTCAAAGGCTGACCCCTGCTGCTAGACTACTCCCTCAACAACCCCGATACCCTCACCAAGTACAAGACCGCCGCTCAGATCTCTGAGAAGGTCCTTGCTGAGGTCTCCAAGCTCGTTGCCGCCGGCGAGAAGATCGTCGACATCTGCGAGAAGGGCGACAAGCTCATCGAGGAGGAGCTTGCCAAGGTCTACCGCGGCAAGAAGATCACCAAGGGCTTCTCCCACCCCACTACCGTCTCTCCCGCCGGTTTCGTCACCCCCTACACTCCCTTGACCTCCGACGAGAAGGAGGCTGCTGTCGAGATCCAGGCCGGTGAGCCCGTCAAGATCCAGCTCGGTGCTCAGATCGATGGCTTCGGCTCCATAGTTTGCGACACCGTCATTGCCCCTGCCAAGGACCAGACCGACGATGTTATCGAGGGCCGCAATGCTGACTTGATTCTCGCCAACTACTACGCCAACGAGCTCCTCCTCCGCCTTATGGTTCCCCCTGGCCTCCTCGCTACCGGTACCGATGAGGAGAAGGCCAAGGCCGCCTCCCAGAAGCCTCCTTCGCAGGCCAAGATCACCGACCTTCTCCAGAAGGTTGTCCAGGCCTACGACTGCAACCTTGTCGAGAGCACCACCTCGTGGCTCTTCGACCGCAACGAGATTGAGGGCAAGAAGAAGATCGTTATTGCCCCTGGCGATAACACCAAGGGCGAGGGTGTCCCTGAGGTTGGCGAGGTCTGGGGTGTCGAGATGGGCGTCAGCTTGGGATCCGGCAAGGTCAAGCAGTACGAGAACCGCACTACCCTTCACCGCCGCACCACCACCACCTATGCCCTCAAGCGTCCCAGCTCGCGTAAGCTTCTTTCTGAGGTCCAGAAGAAGTTCGGTACCTTCCCCTTCAGCTTGAGGCAGCTTGAGGACGAGCGTGATGCCAAGTCTGGTGTCATTGAGTGCGTCCGTGGAAACGTCTTCCGCGCTTACGAGGTTGTTGGTGACAAGGATAACTCCCCTGTTGCCAGAACCCTTACCACTGTTGGTATGTATCGAATCTTTGACTCGTGTGTGTCAACTAGAATTAAGCAGTCTAACTAACTGGTTCAATAGCCATCACCAAGAACGGCCTCACCAAGCTTGGCGCCGCCCCTGCGCTCGACCTCTCCAAGTTCAAGACCGACAAGAAGATTGAGGATGAGGAGATTCTTGCCATCCTTGCCCAGCCCCTCTCCAGGAACACTGGCAGCAAGAGCAAGAACAAGAAGAAGAAGACCGCTAAGAAGGAGGGCGAGAAGGCCGATGAGGAGTAAATGGGAGTTTGGACATGATTGGCTGTAGTAGTCTGGTGTATGGATTAATGTGGAAAGCTGGGCTGCCTTAGCTCGAAAGTTGCTGCCTTTCTGGCTAATTCCGGTGCATCTTTTGGGTTGTGGTCTTCCGATGGAGCATTCGATCCGGCACGCTTTGCATCCCGTGGCACGGGTACGAGAGGGCAAACCGCAAGCAACAGTCGGTCCCATCAGAGACGACTGGAGGAGACCGAAAGAAGGTGGGAGGATTCATCCCCAGTGACGAGCCTTCATCATTGTGATCTTTTTTTTTTGGCTTATCAGTGCCATAGTTCTGCTTTGGCTCCCCATTAGCATCCATCGCGAGCGTTCAGCCGAGGCACATCTGTACAAGGCAGGATGGCGTCCGCTAAGCGAATTAGCCAACACATAATCCTGAGTTAGTCCTCGAAATATCAAAGGCGATTAAACAAAAAAAGAATGAGAAAAAAACCAGAAACAGAACGGATTGTCAATCTAATGACCACATCATAGACTTTTGTTTTTACGGTATTCTTGCGAAAAGGCAGCGCCAGTTGGTATACGGATGCGAGCGTACACCCATGGTATTTTTCCGTCTGACGCCTGATGCACTTGCCATGTAATACGGCACTTGCGTGGAAATCCGAAGCTCCGTCACAAAAGACAGTGCAAAAGCCTTGGACTCGGCCATTTCTAGTTAATACCCAGATCGGGGGCTGCTGCTTTTCGATGGACAGTTGTGTCCTGTGGCCATACCGGTATTGATCAGGTGCGCTCTGTATCGGAACTCGGTCAGGCCGGACGAAAGCACTTGTGTTCCATCTCTCATCCCACCCTCGCTCACACAATACCAACCCCTGAAAAGGGAAAACAGAATCTACTGCATTCACTTGCAACCAAAGTGCTCCAGCAACCGTTTTTCTTTTCTTTTTCCTCAAGCACAGCAGCGTACGATAACGATAACTTCACTTAGCTACTCCACAGCAGCAGCCCGCCTGAAAAGCAAACTAGAGCCCAGAACGTCAACATCGGGGAACGCGTGGTTTGCGTCTTGCGAAAGCAGCCAGCTGAGGGCATCGCATCCAGCCTGATCATCAATCACCCACCACTCATTACCACGAGAAATCAGGAACACGTGTGTGGTTGGGGTGTTAGCCCAAACTAACCAAACATATGACAAAGGGTTAGATGGTCCAGAGGCGTGCGCAAGGTTCGTGACGTAAACTTCCATCCGGATGTCAGGAGAAGTCAACAACATTCCCAGAGGCATCTCTGATTCGGGGTTACGGTGCCTATGAATCACAGATCACCATCACCTCACTTCACATCCCACGTGAATGACAAAGTAGCTGGGAACCCAAGGTAAAGAGCTTCAACTATTGAGATATCGGGTATCCCTCACTTCGGATTGAGCCCCAGATCCTCCATCTTGTCATCGCTCGGGTGCCAGGGCAGTGAAAGGAAGTGGGAAGGAATCAATAGCCCGTCAGCCGAAAATCGGTTTTAGGGGCTGTTGTACGATAACAGCAGCGTTGAAGACCCCCTGAAGCTGTCATTCCTCTGGCCACTACAACCCGCTGAGGGGTTTGCTGCAAGCACTGCAGCACCTTCGATTGCTCCTCCCTCTACTGCCTCCTTATCCAAGCATCCCTCCTTTTCCTGTTTACGACCGTGAGTCCGGCCCCCTTCCTGCCGTCACCCCCAACAACAGCAGCTATCGCCCTCCATTCCCACCTTCACCTTGTCCTTCCCCATAAATTTCTACCATTTTCAACGCGTGCAATCGCTCCGGACGCGGTCATTTCGCCATATTTCTTATTTTGGGCACAAAGCAGGTAATGCATCCACGGCCTCCTATCTGTTACTTATCGCGGCGATACTAACTGGCTGGTATAGGCGCGAGTGCACACACCGAAAGGGAGTCCCGGGGTGGTGGTTCAATCGAAGCCGTCTAAACACACCTCTCAGCACTTGGGATTTGCAAAGGGGGCGAACCCGCGGTCCGTTCGATAATCTCGTAGCCCACATCTCGATCTGCCTACGACCTCCAGCTTGCGGCCCGCGCATCCCTTCACCAACACAACCATCCGTCGAGGACAAGGAAAGACCTATCTTTCTGGCCATACCACATGGTTTCACCAAGTACGAGAAGCACGCGATCGAGATATTCCAGTCCACGCCAAATACCATCCGGCTCTGTTGATCCGATCAAGGGGCAACGCAGTGCTAGCGCGAGTGGGAGTGGGAGCGGTGGGAGCGGCAACGCCAGCGGCAGCGGCAGCGGCGCAAAGAGCAAAGGGAACGGAGGCGGAGGCGGAGGCTGCAACAGCAAGAGCTCAGGAACAGAGGGCCAAAAGACGTTCATGGATCGCTGGCTGGAACCACCTGTGCAGAACAAGCCCAGCTTTGCCGACGCCGGCTTGGTGCGCCACGGCGTTGTCGAGGGAATGGCGCCCCTGGGGACGATGCCCAAGGCGGGCTTCTTTAAGAAGGCTACACCTGCACCGCCACCACCTGAGTCGAAGCCTTTCAAGACGACGAGAATCGTGATCAAGCGGCCTGTAGCGCCCCCAGCACCACCTGCACCGGCTCCCGCAGCTACTACTCCGGCACCCGAGGAGGACGAAACGGAAGACGAAGAAGAGAGTGGGAACGGCAGCATCATGACGGGCGCCGATGAGACGGGATCGGAGAGGATGACTCCTGCCCCTATTTTCTCGGCTTCGACGCGCCGCCCTCTGCCGGTTTCTCAAACCCTAGCCACCTCACACGGGCTCATGGTGGATCCTCGGACGCAACTCATGGACGCAGTTATAGAAAAGGCGGTGGAAGAGGCCGTAGCGCATCACCGGTATCCCACGGCGTACGCCCTCAAGACGCTCTATGAGGAGGATCGATACAACTCCAGGTTCCGGGTTATTGCGGAGAAGGTTTTCACGCAGACTGCAGATGCCGGGATGCTCGAAGAATTTGCCCGGATGCTCCACCAAAAGAAAAAGGAAGCGAAGAGGAAAAACATGGGCTTGAATTATTTTGCGAGTATGACGGCCATGGGCCAGGCGCCGCCCAAGCCCCAGCGGGCCTCTTACGGCCATCTTGTCACGTTGGACATTTCCGCCGTGCAACGCTATCGTGAAGCGGTTGAGCAGCGAAGAGCTGGGTCCGGTGATGTGAAGCAAGAGGAAGCCAGTCATGAAGGTGTTCCGGAGCGGGTCCGTGAGCTCCAGCAACAGTCTTTTGTTGTCCAGCAACAATCGTTGCACCAGCACAATCAGCAGGATCTCCAATACCGCCAGGGGCTCCAGCTTCAGCAGGAGCAACGGCAGCCTCAGCACTACCAGCCAACATACCCTGAACCCGGTCCGCACCCCAAACCCAACCCTGAACAAGGACCTGAGCCAGAACAGCCAGTGGCAGGACCCGAACCTGAATTGGCACCCACATCTGAGCCTGCTCTTGAACATCTTCCGCTCGACCCTCAACTTCTTAATCCTCCACACCAACAATCACCACCATCCCCACAACCACCATCACCACCACAACAAAAACAAAAACAACAAGCACCTCAGCCGGAGTTGGTCTCTAACCCCGCGCCAAGGATTTCCTTCACTGGAGGCAAACCTGACAAGGAAGAGCAAGAGTACGAAGATCAGCAATCTCATTCTGACCCACCTCTTGATCTTTCCTCATCTCACTTTGAACAGGACCCGGAAGAAGAAGGGGAGAAGGAGCAGGAGCTCTTGCTGGCGTCGAAGACGTCTGCTACGACACCTGCACTTGCACTCGCGCCTGCGCTTGCGCCTGCATCACCGGAACCGGAACGAGAGCAGCGTCCGCCAGACCATGAGCAGGAAGCTGAGGGTGAAATTCGAGAAGTTCATGTCCGCAAGAAGCACAAATCACCAAGAAAATCTGAATCAGCAAAGGCAAAGATGGTCGCCAACGGGGTGAATGGAAAGGCCAAGTCGGTTTCGCCGAAGAAGAGGGGGCGGGCGAGCTCCATCTCAAGCTCGTCGTCGTTGTCGAGCGCACGATCGCTCTCACCGCCAGCAGACGTGTATGATGGAGATGGGCTAGGGAGTAGCTTTGCCATTTCGGTCTCGCCCTCTCGTGCCAGCCCAGCGCCCATCATTTCTCCCGCCGCCGCGGTCGATTCTGCTGCGAGTGGAGCTGGTAATGCTGTCGAGGGCGGCAATCACGATGCTGTTGCGCCACACCCAATCACGGTTCGTCGCCGCATCAACGTGAGGAGGAACAGGAACGTGTCACCTGCCCTCCCATCACCGGCCTCACCCACGGGTAGGCAGAGCGATTCCTTGGATCCCGCTATTGGACGTCCATACGAAATGCCTGCCGTCGTCGACGCGCCTTTGTTCCCAAATCTGAACTCAAAGAAGGGCTCGAAGTCGGGGGTCCAGGGCGTTGTGTTCCCTAGCAAGGTTGGGCGGATTGACGAGAACGACCCGAAGTATCGCCTGCGACAGAGCGCTAAAAAGATTACGGCCAACTACAACAAACCGTTCCCCGAAAGTTTCACCAGAGAGTCGTATCCCAAGGAGGAGCCTTCTGTGGAGGTGGAAGAGATGCTGGTGTCTACGCCTTTCACGCGACCTATGAGCTCAGCAGCACCAGAGACGACAACGCGTGCTACCTCTGCCTCAGCCGAAGGCCGGAGCACGCGTGCATCGAGGAAGAGGTCGCATGTTGAGCTTGAAGAGCAGCAGTCATCGCCTACAGCGGCTACTTTCCCTGCATCGGACGTTGCTTCTACGGCAGCGAACTCGAGAGCAGGGACGCCTGCGCTGCGACCCGCGAAGAAGCCAAGGACGGGACTGAGAGTGAAGAATTCGTAAGTTATTCCTTGCTCCTTCTTTATCTACATTTACCCCCCGAGTTCCCTTGCGGCAGGCGGCTGCTTGCAAGTTACGAGTGGAATTGGCAGGGTGGTTTGATGATCAAATTTTCTTGCTGGCGTCAAGTGTCACCAGAGTCTGCCGGCCTTGGCTTTGGTGTCCTCACCTTCGCGACCACACGATGAAGAGAGATCGAGTGAGAAACGACTGGTGTGTTGCATCATCGAGTTGTCATAGTTAAACACTGCATTTGTCATTGTATCTGTTGTTCACATCGCTAATTGTTCTGGATGCAGGCCGATGAAGAGGAAGACGTCCGCGGCCGGCATCCCGCGGGCGAGCGGAGAGCGAAGTAGTCCGACCGTCACCAATGGCAACTATGCCAAGGAGGTAAGAAGATATTTCTCATCTGTCAGACTTCTCTTCATTCTGTTTCTGCCTTTTTGTATGCTGTTTGTCCTTTCCTGTCCGTCGTTTGTGCGTGGCTGAGCTTTCCTATTGGGAAGCGAAGCCAGAACGCGGATGAGGGGGCGTTTGGCTAGCTCGGAACACAGATTTCGCTCCTTTCCAGAGGCCCTTTTTTTCACTGTCTGATCACCCCTCCCCATCACTCGGCTACCTACCCTACACAGCATCTGCTGCCCTGCCCTGCCTGCCCATCCCCCATAACATACGTACACCCATCATTCGTTCCCTCCCGTCATCCCCCAATCCCCCATCCCCCATCTCCCCCCAAAAACAGCCCCATGCCCCTTGCTCATCACATCACCCCGTCCTGATCCATCCTGCTCGTCCTCTCAATCCTCCCAATCTTATGCCCATGTCTACGCCCATTCCCATCATCGCCATCCCTCGTGCCCATGCCACGCCTCCATCCGCACAACACAACGCGTGCAGGCCGCAGTAGTTGGCAAGGCAGGGACGGGCACCGGGGGGGTCTGTGATATTTTTAGTGGCGAACAACAACACGCTACCAACATCCACACACTACATACTACTTGTCTTTTCTTGTTCCGACTGTTGCCATTCGGTCACTTCATAAAGTCCCGGTCGTGAAATATGCCGCACAAATCATCGCTCTCGTCTACTTTTCCCAAGTCTAGGCTGTCGTCGCTAACCGCTTATCATGAGGTTCTCCAGGACGACAATGATGATTATTGCTCATCATGTGGTGGTAACGGCCAGCTCATCTGCTGCGATGGTTGCACCCGGTCTTTCCACTTCAGTTGCGTGGATCCGCCGCTGATGCAAGGTGCTATGCCCGACGAGTGGTTCTGCAATGTCTGTCGCACCGCTCACAACCCTCCGGTCTTCCCGGTATATAGCGGCCCTTTCGCGTCTTTGATGGAGAAGCTGGATGCCAAGAACTCGAGCGCATTCGCCCTTCCGGTTGATGTGCGCGAGTATTTCGAGGCCGTTCGCACCGGTCAAGATGGGGAGTATGAAGAGATTGTGCCTCTAGTCAAACCGCCGGCTAAGTATGTCCCATTTTCCCGTTCGATGTCTCACTTTGGCCTCAGATACTGACAAACGGCCGCAGGAGGAAAAAGAACGACGAGGAGTCCGGACCCGACTTCTTCAGGTTACGTGATGATAAGGGAGATCCGGCAATATGCCATCTGTGCCAAGGGGGAGCCTCCGCTCGCACCAGAGCCATTATCCCGTGCAGTCTATGTGGCCTCTTCTGGCACTTGGATTGTCTTGATCCGCCTTTGGCCAACCCGCCTGTTCTCCGAACGTGGAAGTGTCCTTGCCACGTTGATGACTTGCTCGCCAAGGTGCCAGGTCAGCTGGCGCCGGCTCATAAGTTCCGCAAGATCAAGGGCGCATCAGTAATCAGGCCGGCTTATGGTCGCGCTTACATCAACAACGGCTACATCGAGGTGGAACCCGAGGCTAGCGACGACGAGAGTGGCTGGAAGGATGTCGAGACCTATGGCAAGGTTGTGAGATTGCCTGCCAAGGGCATCAAACTCGATTTCCTATCACGGTATGTATTCACTCACCTTATGAAATCGCTCAACAACAGCAGGACTAACCTAATGCACAGCGTCCGTGAAAATCGCAAGGGAAAACCTATCCCCCCTCTCAATATTCCTCAGACTACCGGTACTGGGGCTTCGGTTGGGTCATCACTCCTCAACAAGCGGAGCTTAGAAGAGCAGCAAGCAGTCTACAATCTTGCCGCGTTGAGTGGACAAGGCACAAGTGGTGTTAACACCCTAGTTGATGCCTTGTTGGTATGTGTTTTCCGATCCACCGCCTCCGCGATTTCGATGACTAACATTCCGACGCAGGCTCAAGCTGATCCTTCAGTCATCTCGCTGATGGCGAGCGGCAACTCTGATCACTTGGCCACTGGTAACCTGAACCATATGGACCAACAGAGTCTTCGTGCTATGCTTGCCCAGATGGAGAAGATGACAAGCCAAATCAGAAGCATGCTGGAGCCTGTCACTCCCATGGCTGCTTCCCAGGATCAGTTGGTTTCATCTAAAGTCCCAAGCTTGACGAACTCGTCGCAGTCCATCACAGACGGGGAGTCGGAAAAGACGGTCCGTGATCTCGAGAGCACGCCAACGATGAAGAAGGAACTGCCCCCTTCGCCGGCCGCGACCGACGATGTCGCTACCGCCAAGCAAACCAAGGAGCCAGCGCCTCCCAGGAGGAAAAAGCGGAAGAGTAACGGAAGGAAGAGCGCAGACAGTGATGCGGCAGTACTCCAGAACGGTGATATGGATGTAGACGCATGATGATCTCGGGGAGGGAGGGGGGGGAAATCTAGCCAGCAGGTGTTGGGAACTGATATCCTTTGTTGGGTCTAGTGGTTTTTGAACCATTTCCACGTTTTAGGGTTTGCATAGGTTATGGTGCACAGGCTTAGCTATACTATCTATGGGTTGAGAGGGGATTGCGAAAATGAATTTACACAGCAGAGCAGAGACAGCGAGGCTCATTTGCCTACCTACTCGATATTCGTACAAGTCTATTGATATCATCTTAACTTCGACGAACTTATGAAGAAGGCGTGCGTGAAAGCCGTTCAGCCAAATCCCGAGTCCAAGTCTAGCCTGTCCCCCACCCTAGCTTTCCTTGTCCGCTTGTTTGCGGTGCTTTCCAATTGTATCACCCGCCCACGCCGCCGCGCCCTGCCTGCCTGCCTGCCTGCCTGCGACACACCCAGATGATTGCCCGATCAGAAAAGTTCACTCATCCCCCAATGGGACAGACACCCAACCCAACAGCCAACAGTTAACAAGCCAACCGGAAAACCAACCGACCAACCAACCAACCAACCAACCGTCCTCCCTCGAGCTATTAACCAACGAGCCGCAGGTTTTCTGTTTATCTATCTATGTGTACTAAGTACTACACAACATACGTGCCTGGTCGGTCACACGAGTAGCCATTCTCGGCTGGCACGCACGCACGCATGGCGGTCGGAGAGTAGGTATACAAGAAGGAGCGATCGATGGAGGGCGAGTGGGAAAGAGCGAGCGAGCAGTCAAAGGCAGCCAACAAACAGCCCCGATCGGTCGCGCAACAACTTCCATTCCTTTTCTTATCTTCTCTTTCCGTTAAGTAACAGTGACACTGGAGGAAGGTCGGTTGCGGCCGGCATGAAAAGGTCTTAAAAAAAATAATGAAACATGAGCTGTTTCGTTTCGAAGATCGCGTTTCATCATATGGAGAGGATAGGGAGGAGGGGAATGGAAAGGAAACGGAAACGGAAAGGTTACATCGACATCAACGAACTTTATCGATCGTGGTCGCGTAGCTGAGGTCCTCACGAGGTAGTGGTAGTTTTAGGTAGTCAAGTAAGATGGGATATGGATCAAAGAGATCTGAGAAGGAGATCTGAGAAAGAGAGCTTTATAGAGAAGGAAACTTGACACCAGCAGAAAGACCCGACTGAGTTGATGGGGGGAAACATACATACGCCGAGGGAAGGAGACAGAGGAAGATGAACATGAGATACCAATATTGAGCTTGACGCCTAAAATCTAATCCCGTGATACCAGTGATAACTACCACGCTATAACTCGTACAGCTTCAGTTCCAGCTCACACATCGCATCGCCTCGCATGCACGCAAACATGGCTCACAACCATCATTTTAAGTAAGAAGTACGCTACTACCAAGTGGAAATCATTCTGCGTATCAATACTGAATACTCTAAGATTATCGACCATTATTGTCCTTGTCAGCTGGAATTACCCTTCGTTCCTCGAACCTCTCAAATCCCTTTCACCACCTCACCCCTCATTCCTCATCCATAACATCCTCATCCTCCACTTCCTCCTCCGGCTGCTGCTTCCCCCTCGTGCTCCTACTGCTTCTCGTAGCCCGAGCCGGTGCAGCAGCAGCCTTCGCCTTCCCCTTCGGAGCAGCAGCAGCAGCAGCCTTCGCCTTGCTTGGAGCTGGGGCAGAAGTTTTTGCCTTCCGACCATTAGCAGCCGCGCGAGCTGGTGGCGCCGTTTCTTCTTCTTCCTCCTGTTCATCCTCTTCGTCCTCCGCCGCTGGCTCTTCAGCTTCCGCTTCCGCTTCGGCTTCAGGCTCATCAGCCATCTCGACATCGCTGAGCTCGCTTAGATCGCTTTCGTCCTTGTCTTTGGCTAGTGCTGCTGCGGTCTTGCCGCGTCCGCTCTTTCTCGTAGCGTTTCTAACCGGCAGAGAGGCAGCAGCTTTCTTGCCCTTGGCGGCCGCGCTGGCCTTTTTGGTAGCAGCGGCGGGGAGCTCTTCTTCTTCATGTTCGGGCTCTTCCTCCTGTTCCTTTTCGGGCTCCTCCTCGTCATTTTCGTCTTCTTCGCTTTCCTTCTCCTTTCTTTTGCTACTCCTTGCTGACGCGCTCGCCTTGGCAGCAGCCCGCTTGGGTGGCGCCTCCTCCCCACTTCCCTCCTCGTCATCACCTTCCTCCTTGTCATCATCCTCGTCTTCATCGAGGTACTCCCACTCGGCCACGCCCTCCAACATCTCCTCGTCGTCATCCTCCGAGTCGCGCTCGGTGTAGGCGCGAGTGTTCTTGTTGGCGCGACGAGAGCTCTGTCGGCGCTCGGATTCGGGAACGGCCGGGCCAGGGGACCAGTCGTCGCGGTCGGACCTCTTCTTCGCCGGGGTCTTCTTGGACTTGGCTGTGGCGATCTTGCGCGTGGACTTGGCTTCGCGGTCGCCGTCGCGGTCACCGGTGGAAGATGACTTGACTTTCTTGGACTTGTGCCCGTCGCGGTTGTTGGTGCCGGTTGCGGCGGACATGGACTTGCGTTTCTGTGAAGGGGAAGCGGTGTTAGTAGGTTGCATTGGTACGGCGTGGATACGTGTTGTTCTTCGTACGTACCTTCTTGCGGTCCATAGCCCTAAGGAGCTCGTCCAGTTTCTCGTCCAAGCCCTCGGGGAGGTAGGACTTCTCTGCAATCGCCTGCGCTTCGCTATGGGACTGGAGGGCCGTGTACAGACCGAGGGGAAGGCCGACCTTCCCGGGGAACGCATTAAAGGCCCAAACCTTCTTCTCCTGCCACTTCCTGATAACAGCTTGCGCCAAGTCACTCAGGACCCTGTGCGCATCGCTGTTTGGATTAAGTCCATCTTGCGTCTGCTTCACACGCTCCGCGTACTTGTATATCAAGCCCAAATTGGACTCGGTGCCTACCAGCACGATGTAGTTGAGAATGTACCGTGCGTGGTCGACGAGGTAGTCTACCTCGTTGCTGTAGTCGGGGTGGTGGGCCAGAAGCGAGATTAGGCGGGCCATGATCGCCTCGAGGACAGGCTGCTTGAGGTTCTGGAAGTGGCGCGCTCTGGAACGGATCCATGTTTCCGCCCTGTTCTTGAACTCGACGTTGGGTTCGAAGGCAGTGAGGAAGATGATGGTATAGTAGCGCGACCGCAGCTTGCCATCGGCGAGATACTTTTGGAGCTTCCGCACAAACCCGTGACGCACCTCCTCGACCATGTCTTGGGTGGTCAGGGCCAAAAGGTTGAAATCTGAAGGCGTGAGCATGTCGTCGAAATGCTTTTGCGTGCAGAGCTTGAGCATCAACTGGGCAGCCAAGAGCCTTAGCCTTGTCTTGTGATGCTTGGGCGTCTCCTTCTCCTCGACAATCTCGCCCTTCTCCTTGATGATCTTCCTGAGCACCTTCCAGACATTACTGGCCTTCTCCTTTGCGTCTTCGATATCCTCGATACTCCTCACCCTATTGACTAGTGTTTTTAGGGAGAGGCACTTGGCTTGGATCTCCTCATCCATATCGGCGTCATTGACCCAATCGGGATCGCTGTCTTTGGCGTCAGTCCGCACCTGGAGAAGGATCTGCTTGAAGGTCATATTGAGGATCTCATCATTCGCCTCCTCAGTAACCTTGGGTGCAAGAAGTTCCAACTGGCTGACAGCGGTAAGCTTGTTAAGGAAGTTACTCGACCCGTACGACCAATCCTTCAATATTCTCTGGAGAAGATCAGTGGCGGTGACCATGCTCTTGTCATCTTTCTTACAAAGAACAATGTTGACGGCATGCTTCGACGCCTTGACGGGTTGGCCATAAAGAGCGTAGTTAATCATGGTCTGCACAAATTTCCGATCCATGGCGACATCCTTAGGGAACTTCCGGGCATACGTGGAGCAAGCCTTGAGCGTTTCCGCTACTATGGGATCGTTCGGCTTTGTGGCAGTAGGAGCCTGGTCAACTAGATCCTTGCAAAGCTGCCCGATGTGAGTTTTGAAGAGGTCTGGGTTGCGTTGAGAGATCTCGTTCAAGATCTCGTGCGCAATCGCTCCCAAGCCGTCCTTGTCGGATTTGGAGTACTCCATGATCGTAGATAGGTGACTGCGGTTGAACAAAAGGCAACCAGAACGATAGAGGAGAGGAAGCAGAGTGTCAATAACTGAAGGGTCCTTGCTGGCCATACAGCGCTTGATGAGCTCTTTCAAGGCCTTATAAACCGTCTTAAAGTCATTCTCCTGGCCAATGACATATTTGATGAGGTTATAGTTCCGGCGATCGTGGATCTTAGCAAACTTGATCAAGTCGGTCTTGCTCTTAACGTGTTCTGGTAGGAACTGTGCGATGTAATCGGCCGTTTTGTTCAAGTTGCTAGTGATTTTTTCGGCGTTGCTTTCCATAACACCGCCATTGTACCTTTCACACTGGTCGAGGTAGGTTTCCAGAATCTTGGCGAACTGAGGCCGTCTAGACTGCATGGCGAAAAATGCCTTCTTCGCCGGCTCGTCGAGTGAGCGGACAAGGAGGAGGATCCTCTCTGCCCTAATCGCATCATGATCGATGGATGCCGCATTGGCTGATTGCGACTGAGAGTTGCCGTTAGGGTTGGAATTCTTAGTCGCCTTTTTGGCTGGCGGATACCCAAGAGGCACCAGGAACTCATAGATGACGCGATCCATCAGGACATTCAGTTCCAGATCATTGGCGTAAAAGGCGTTGTATATGCGTGACGGGATGCCAGACAACGCTGCTGTTACCGCTTCATTTCCAGCAATCATCTCCCCAGTCCCGACAGCCCAGAGTTTAGCCAACAGTGACATGGCGGCAACTCTAACAGCGGGTTTCCTGTCGCGACAGCGATCAGCCAACGTGTTGAGAACCGATCCATCTTTGCCTACTCCTCCATTAGGTCCTAGTTTGGCAATGATGTCCCGGAACTTGAAGGTCTCGACAGCTTTAACAGCTGCAAGTCTGACCTTTTCATCGCTGTCCGAGAGCTTCTCTCCCAACCCTCGGATCAAAGTAGCCTCGTCCTCGCGACTGAGTCCGATTCCTCCAGCAGAAGTGGAGAGAATGTGGCCTACCGCCGTGGTCCATGCAGCGCGAATTGACGGAGCTTTATCGTTCTTCCTACTCAAAAAGTTGTGGAACGTCGTGCTATGTGTCTGTGAGAAGGAAATAGAGCAAAGCGGCGTGGTGAGGATGTTGGTCACTTGGGGTTCCGCTCTATCTTCCTCTTCCAGACTCAATGGCGGGTATGCAGCTGGATCAAGGACGGGCAGTGGAGGCGGACCTGCCGCGCCAATGCCTGAAATCATGTCTCCGAGCGTCTCCGTTGCCATCTGTCGCAAGTGCACATTGTCTGCTGAGAGCTCTGCATCAACCTGAGGGACAACGTTTTGAAGGATCATGGGGGCGGCCTTCCAGATCTCCCGAATAAGCACATGCGCTTTCCTCAGTTCCTTCAAGTCGGACTCGGACGGCCCTGTTGGGCCATCATCCTCATCGTTTTCGTCATCTTCGTCTCTGTTGCCGTTCGGCTTCCCAGCAAAACCTGTCGCATCGACAATCACATCACTAAAATACTGACTGGCGAAACGAGCCATCTTGTCGTCATAGTTCTGGCATAGAGTCCTGACCATCTGGTAAGCCTCGGGCTCTTCCTTCAGGAGCAGCGTTGCCTGGCTGTCATCGATTGGCACATGATCCTGCCGTTCCTTGCCTAGTCCCGGAGCAGCAGCTCTCAGGAACTGGGCCATGATGACATCCACAACCTTCCCTGGAAGGGTCACGGAGTCGTCAATGAGTACTCCCAGCATCTCTTGCATACTAAACTCGACGTCCTTTCCAACCTGCTCTCCCTTGGAAGATTTGAGACCCGAGACACCGTCGAAAATTGTGGTAAAAAGCTTGAGTAACAAGGCCTCGCTGCCTTCAACATCGAGCAGCAGCACGATACTCTTAATCTCGGCAAAGGATCGTAGCACATACTTGTGCTGGTTGTTGTAAGGATTCGATGGATCGAAGAGGGCGGGAATGATGGAGTTGATGCTGAGGTTAAAGATATCCTGCGGTGCGATCACCAACGTCAGCAGATGGTCCATGAAACAGCGTCTTGTAGCTCTCGAACCTTGAGTTGTGATGGAGTAAAGGGCGCATCGGGGGCGCATAGCCTTAGAATATCGACAATGCAGCATGCTGTGTATGCTCGTACGCCCTTGTCCTTGTGTTGGATGAGCTGATGAGAGGCGACGTCCTTAGCGACCTTGACCAGTGAATCGGTGTCCACCGTCTCCTGATCCATCTCCGACAGCTCCTTGGAGAGGGCGTCGAGTCTCTTAAGCAGTGTATCGATGGAGATGGGCTTGCCGGGGCGCCATGTTAAGGGCTCGTTGAACTCGAGTGCGACCAGTCCCTGTTCCTGCTCCTGCTCCTGCTCGAGCTCCTCCTCCTCCTCGGGAGCGCTCCGACGTGGCGCCATGGCGGCTGATGTGCTGTGGTGAACCGCCCTCTTGCGTTGTAATCTGTGGGCAAGCTAGCTGAGTGACGGATTTGGCCAAGTGACCAAGCGGCGAAGGATGGGAAAATGGATCGAATAAAAAGGCGGAGGCGGAGAGGAGCTGGGAGGCTCTGAAGTCTTGTAGCGACCGCAAGGCGCGCGTGGTGCCGTGGTGCGACGTTAACGAGGAACGTCGAGGCTCAGGTCGTCGACTCGCGATTGGCGATGCGCGGATCCTTGGAGATATATGGGCAGCTTGGTATCGCGGGCCACGAGAGATAATCCGAGATAATGATATGCGCAGGTGGTTTCTAGATGTCGCGCGACAGGCCGGCTGGACTCGGAGGAGGATATGATCAGTTGCGGTGGGTTGATGAGTTGTTGATATGGTTCGGCGACAGCTGTGTTACGCGCTCGCCCGTCCTATTCCTTCGCGTGACAGTACAACAATTCGTGAACTACAATTGGGGGACAATTGGCGGGATGGCAGGCAGAGAGCTGAGAGCCAAGGAGCTGCAGCGTCCGCAAGACAGGGGACCACTGGCAGGGGCCCGGTGAAACTTTGCGAGCATCTTACAGCAAATTACCAGCCTCTGTTTCGGAAAAGCCGCACAGGCATTACGTTTGTGTAAAATATGGTAACAGCGAGTTCAGTATGGTAAGAAACTCTTGTGCATTTGCACTGTCCAAACATCAAAGTCAATGCAACTTGAACTTCAACCGCACGTCAACGAAGGCCCTCAAATCACCCAGAACTCAGCCATGACACTCTTTAATTAAACATCCTAACAATATTGGAAGTCACCCAAAATCATATTCAACTCTCTGTTGGTCGGTACTCATGGCTCTGGAGTTACTTTGTCTACATTCGCACTGGATGAGGCACGCTGACAGCGAACATGTTCACCTTAACTCCCGTTGACAGTCAACCTCGTTTGACGATTTGCGCACGAGGAAATCTTGAAACCTTTCGTTCCGTTCATTCCAGCTCACATTCGACATCTACACGTGTCTTCTCAAGGGTTCCACCACTTCATGCAGTCTCATCATATGTCAACTCATTCTTATCTTCAATGCTTTGCTTGTGAGTCTCATCTTGGAAGCTCCCAGCGTCGTTTGACGTTCACGAAATGAAATCCTCATGCTTCTAAAGTATCATTTGTGCCAAAGTCATGTTCATCTGCTCGACAGAATGGACAACCTTGCCTTTCCAGGAGCCACAAAGCAGACATAGGCTCTGTTCATGCCCAACACTTGCGACACTAGTTTCAATCGACTTATCGTTCGTTTGTAACTTCGTCATAAGGACATGGATGCATTCACGAAGCGACGACCTACGTTGGATCAAACAGGAGCAGAATAACAACCGAATGATGTAGATGGTTACGTCCAGATACTGTGAGACCATATCCTCCCAGTGACTACCTATACTTGGGATCAGACTGGTCGCTACGCTATACAGCATTTGTTTGTTTTTCCTTTTCCGCACAAACCTGCAAATTCCACCCTCGCAGGTTGCAAGAACTGATTCAAGAATACCTACGGTAACAAGTCTCGACGAAGTGGAAGAGGACCGACATTCCTTGATGTCACACGTCTCGAGAGGACCCGATTCGTCACTCGTCTGAGGAAGACTCGACTAGTAGGTGAAGGCAGGGTCACTTCATCGTAACTGCCCGCCGAACCTTTGGGCATGGAAGGTACGCCGCTGATTGTACGGCACGAACAAGCATCGGGTGAATTGTGTTTCCAAGGAAAAGCGCACCTTCCCGTCTGAAGGATTCTTCAGGTTCTCAACTCTTGCCGTCCCGTTTTCATCCCATCCTCCTCAGTCGCCAGCCGATAACAGTCGTCAACAGTGGCAGCTGCTGCAGTGATTTTGCCATTCACCCCTCCTGCCCGTCGTGTATAAGAATTCCAAATCTGGCCCGCAGTTCTTCCTTCCACTTTTCCCCCTCTCACCTTCCACTCTTCTTCAGCAACTGCGGAATCGTCCCTTCATTCTCGATCGTCACTCGTTCAGCGCGCGCGCATCCAGCACTCAAGACTCTGATCACTCGGTATTCCCATCTTTCTTCTTGCCCCTTGTTGTCGACTTGTCGGTATTATCACGACGTTCCGTCGCGTGGTGGGGTGATAACCCTATCGCAAGATGATCGCGCGGTCTGGCACCTCGCGATACCTTCGCGGGGCACCACTTCGCCAGGCGCCGGATCTTGTCACCACATAGCGGCTCTGCGCGCATCGTCGGGGCTTCATTCGAGCTCTCACTCGTACCTCGTCGTCGTTGTCGTAAAGCCCTTGCTGGACCCCCTCGTCCCCTCCCCTGTTCTGTGCCCCGCGCCCATGGGTTACGGTTAATACTCTCTCATCTTGCGCATCGTCTAACCATCCACGCTAGGTTATCTCTTCGACCGCCACAATGTCTGACAACGGTTATGGTATCGGCTGCATTCCCATGCGTAAAGGCCACGAGGAGCCTTGCGTTGTCATGAACGAGGAGCCCTGCGTCGTCATGAACGAGGAGCCTTGCGTTGTTATGCGCACCGAGAAGAAGGGCCGCAAGGTCAATGTGATGCTGATGGCCGCTGCCATCTCTGCCCTCGGCGTTACCGGTGCCAACGCTCAGATGGGTTATGGCAGCGCCGGTGCCGTGACTGGCTCCAGCTCTGGGTAAGTCTTTAATTTCTTGATCCTCAAACAAAGACTAACACTGACAGTGCCTGTGTCTCTAGCGCCTCGGCTTGCGTTCCCACCACTATCACTGTCACGCCTTCGGTCAGCGCCGCTGCCGACCAGACCACCGCCGAGGTCGATGGTGTCCAGGGCAGCGCCTCCTCCACCAGCGGCGATACCATGACTTACATCACCAAGACTTCCACTGCCACTTTGACCCATACCGCTACCTTCGTCAAGGCTAGCCAGCCCGCCGGCAACGCTACTGTCACTGCCACTCAGCATAACGGCACCACCACTGAGACGGCCATCGCTATGACCGGCACTGGTACCGGTGTCTCTTCTTGGGCCACCGGACCCTACCACTCTGCGGCCAACGGCACCTATGCTTCCCCGACCGCCACTCTTGGCCATCCTCAGCACGCCGGTGCTTCAACCTCTTCCAGCGTGAGCTACACTCACCTCGCTGTGGCGCTCTTTGCTTCTGCTGCCCTCGGTGCTGTCCTTGGCGCCTAATCGACCTTTTAGGTTATGGTATCGCCGTCACACCCTAGGATTTTGAGTGTTTCTCTCTTTCGATATGGCATTTCTTCTGTCTCGGTTGGAGTTTGGCTGGTTTGTCTTGGACTTTCTCCTAACTGGATCACTCGGTGTTTGGGAAGGAACATACCGGCAAAAGAAGATAAGCTTTGGTTGGCTGAGATGCTTGGTTTTTTGACTGACATCTCGTTGGCTTTCTGGGAAGTATCTCACAATCTGGTATAGGCTCCCATATCATTGTCTTCGCAGCACATGATAGGGTTGACAGATAGGGTAACATGGACAGATTGATGACACACAGACATAGTATGAAGTTTATCATACATGAAATCTCCCTCTACTACGCGCAACTAAAGCCGAGTGGCGTTGCTTCGTGATCTCTTTCATCTCCCTTGATTACTCGTGATGGCATTGGTGTTACACCAAGCGCCTGTGCCTTTCAACGTAACTCTAACCATCATCCAGCTTCTGAGTGACATTGGCTTGAGTTAGTTTGTGGTCCTTGTTCCCTCGATGCAAACGCTTACATTAATTTACACGATGGTAATGCAGCGTATTTATAAGGACTCGGAGTAAGTACACCTTGAAGTTGAAGGATGGCGGGAACGGCCAGGAAGTTTGTTGGAAACAAATCCTTCGCCATACCCTACCCCCTAAAAGGTAAACAAGAACGAGTGAGCATGAAAGCGTAGATTTGAATGCGGTTCGCCACATTGCCTCGACTGATCGTATCTCACATCCCAACAACGCGGTTGAGAGGCAAAGATCACGACCACAGGACCCAGGTAGGCTCTTGAGACCAAAAGATGGGTCATGGTCTACTTGCCAGCAGAACCTGGATGTGCACACTATAAGCCAATGTCACCTGATGATCCTGTGACAGCAAAGTATTTTTGGGCGGAGGCAGTGATATTAGGTAAAGATGATGGAGGTAGTAATATTAGGTAAGCTATGTGTAATACTGAAAGGTTTGTTCTCTGAAATAACCAAAATACCAAGCCACCTAAGCTGCATTCTGCATGTAGTCTGCTTTTTTTTTTTCCTTTTTATCCCCCCCGAACCCCGGCCTTCTACAAGAGCTGGCGAGAGGTCGTAAGAACAGACCGAACATGAACAGCCCAATACCGCTCGTTTTGGTTGGAAAGGCCGTTATGACACTGTGATATGCCTCGTATTGATTTGAAAGCCCGTCGGCTAGAGTATTTTAGGTATTATTCAATCCAAGAAATGTGTCGAATTTCGCTCAAACGGTGTACGAAAGACACATGGATGCATACAAAAGTATAAACAAGGTGTATTGTATTGACCGTGATGTGTTCGGTTCATTCTTACGACGTTTCGGCTGGATAGAGGATTTCGAGGGGCAACACCGTACTGCAAATATCATACATATGCATCGTCCTGTGGGCATAAGCCCTAACCCCCCCCCCCCTTCTCTTCCAACTATGCGACTTCCTAACACCTATCTCCGTCGTCCTAGGAAGGAACACACAATGAGCTGGCGGGACATGACCCTCCCTTCAATGCCCAGTCTCTCTTGCCAACTAAGAAGACCGCGGACAGCAACACAGTGATCACCAAGGAGAGAGGAGCATCACTGCTGCAGTACATACCTACCGCTAGAGACATGACTGGAGATACCTTCAGCAATGAACACTGGCTCAGGTTTGTTTTTTCGACTGTCGGATGCCGAAAGAGATACAGGTGAGGATTTTGATCAGAAAGCATTGATAGAATCTCCGAGTGATACCTAATCAATGTTCAAGATAATTCCCCAGTTTAGCGTGATATTCGAGGTCGCTCAAGACGGTGTACATTGTTATCGACCGCATCACTTGGACGACGTGGTCAGGTTATGTCACCGAGGTTAAGGGAGCGAAGGGAAATATGCAGGGCATATCAATGACAAAGACTGCGCCCAACGGCCGAGTGACGACGGGACGCCCCAACACACCAGAAGACCCAACCGCGACACATGTCAACCAACATCCCGTCCTTGACCAACTACCTCAAACAGTCCACGGTACGTATGTCTGTTCTCTTAACACGGCTGGCCAACGGACTCTGTCTCCATTCACCATTCAAACGCAGCACAAATCTGTTGACGGTCTACGGCCATCTTCTCGCCAAACTATTCTTTTCCAATGGTGCATTCTACACACCCGAAAACAAGCCCAACGTGTCGTTCAACATGCAACCAGACTCACCCCTCTCGGATGATCCCAACGGTGGGACCCTTAATTCCCGGCTCTCCCAATTCTGGAAGCTGCTTGCCGTCCAAGCTTACTCACTCGGCGACACAAACAGTGCTTTCAACACATGGCATGATGAAGTGTGGAGGTCATTTGATTGTCGAGGAAACAAAGAACATATTGGCATGGAGGACTTGTATACACTCGATCAAAGGTTAAAAGCATGGAAAGACTGGCGCTATTCCGACGCTTCCAGCATGCTCGTCCTAGCGGGGCACAACAACGACGTTTCTTCGAATAATGGCTGGATCTCGCCAGTTGCCGTCAGGGTGGTGAAGACCATCAGAGAGGAAAGGGAAAAGCAGCAAGCATTACCGGATCGTCCCACCTGGGCTTTTTACCAGTGGAAGTACGGTTACATGTCCGGATTGCGACCCAAGCCGCCGTTAACGGTCCCTGATATGCTCAGACATGTTCTTGCCCAGTTGGTGGATCAGAACAAGCATGTCTTGGAAGATGATGGAGCATACGGTCGGATTTGCCAGGCTCTGGAGGGAATTGCGGAGGCTGTACAAGCGTCAAAGCAGGCTACAGAAAGCAAACATACATCAGCCTACGAGAGTTCCAGGAAGGCCATCGAACATGCTGTGTTGGGGGTTGTGGGTGAACTCGGGAAGGACAGAACCACTTGGATTGTTTTGGACCGCCTGGATGAAGGGAAGCCAAACAGGACTCTCGGGTTACAAGTCTTGGCTAACTTGGTCAAGAAAGCCCATGTTACGGTGAAGGTTCTGGTAGTTACAAATTTTCTCGATTGGGGCACCTCCTGTAAAAAGGAAGTCAACGAGTTGGCGAAGGACGCAAAGGGAAACATTGTTTTTTTTGAGTGGTCGGAGGAGAACCGTGATCTTTTCTGAGAACGATGATCAGCTCATGAGGGGAAGATAGACAAAGCTTATTGGGACATCAACAGGAGAAGCAGGGTATTGACGCGGAAGGGAATGGCGAGGAGCAGACATTGAAGGACACCATAGATATTGGAGCTATGATTCGAACCAGTGCGTACCATATTGCAAACATGCCACTGTTAGCGCTCATGCTATGCCAAAGGGGTTGCAACATCGACGGATTGGCCACGTCTTGTTTAGAATACCTGTCAGAGAGAAAAGAACTTCGAGCAAACCTGGTGGGATTCGCTGGAGATTTCCCGAGCTCATCGCGTTGGCCCAGCGGCGTCATATATCAGCGCCTTCGAGGCAACTGGATAAAAAAAAAGAAGACCACAGTGCAGTTGGCAAAATCATCCAGTTGCTCCCTATAGATTGAAGCTCTTGATACTCTGCTGCTTCTCAATATATCGTTCGTACTATTTTGAGACGTCGTTCTTGAACAGATTGGTATTGGTCACCACTGTCTTCAAGTGCTTCAGCTTCAACTTTCCAGGACCCTACTTGTACTTTGTCTCCGCTCTAGCTAGAGCCAATGCGGTGGTGAAAATGCCCAAGAGCGTATTTTGTACGTCGTCAACGGTGTTACGTCCCATCTATATGACTAATTGTAAGGATGTTTACCAGATTTGCCTCCGGAAGGAAATATTTCGTCAGGATAACGGATTCATGGATGTTTTTGGAGTTACCATCATTTACCTTGGTATTTTACGCGTCAAAACCTGCAGTGGCTTCATTCCTTGAATGACTTGGGCAGCTCTTGTAGAGCATTGGGCTTCGGGGGAAGAGACTGCAGGCTTCATGCGTGCCTTACCTAACGCAGCATATGTGGCAGAGTATGCGGGTCATCTTAGAGAATAGAGATTCCAGTCCGCAACATTGATCTTATTGAGCCAGGATTTAATTTAAAAAGCATTGATAGAATGTCCGAAGGATAAACCCGAGTCAGCTCGAGACGGTGTAGATTGCCATCGACAAGATTGTTAGGATGACGCAGTCGGATCTGTCACCAAGGATAACGACTCGAAGTTCACTCCAAAAAAAAAAAAAATCACCGAGGTTAAGGGAGCGAAGAGAGATATGCAGGGTATATTAATGGGCAGTGTCAAGAATCTTGCATCAAGTTTGCGAAGAGGATGTGGATGGTGAGGAAGAGATTACTTGAATTATACTCGATCGACTTGACAAGGAATCGGACGCAGACACTCGACTACGTGCGCTGAAACTTTTTTTGCAAACCTGGTTGAAGAAGTGAAAGCCACAGTCAAGGTTTTGGTGGTTGTCAACGGCGACAATTGGGAGGGCCGTGAAGACGAGGTGATCGGGTTGTCGAAGGGCGGTGGAAAGAACGTGTTTTTTTGCCCATGGAGGGAAAGTCTAGGGCCGGAACAGAAGTTGGAGGTGCATGAGAAAGCGGTTGAGACAGAAGGAAGGAAGAGAAAGAGAGAAGGAAGTGACCAGGGGCAAGTTGCAGGGAAGAAGACGCGAAGAGCAGGTGCTGAGGCCTGAGGGAGAAGTTCCTTCACAAGATCATGATCGAGACGGGCGACCGCTTGCTAGCAACGACACCAGGAGAGTGATGAAAGGTCTCGGGTCAACATCTTTCCATGGGTATATTGTACATGTTTTGACCCCCCCAAAAAACGCCTACCTCCTGGTTTGCTCAACTTCATACACAATTACTCCCTCGTCCCTCTTCTCAGCAAGAGATGCAATATGTGATGGTAATCTTTTCCAATCCCAACCACTGACCACCGCAAGAATCTTGACCTTGACCTTGGCGTTTTCAACCAAGTACTCCAAAACCTCAAGCAGCCTCACTTGTGGCTCTTTAACCCGATCAAGTCGGTCAATGATAATCCATATTGTCTTCTGCTCTTCCGGTCTCTTATGACTGAACATATTCAGCACTTTCAAGGCCGCAGTCTGCACGATTTCCATGTTTTTCGGCGTCCTGAACGTATTTTTCGGGTCCTTCATGGCCGTAGCCACCACAGTGGCGTATTCCTCGGACGCAGCTTGGAGATCGTCCCATTTATCGCCATCTTGCAATGCCCACAGGTGTTGTGACAACAACTGAATCATGATGTGTGCAAGTACCTGTGTGAGGTGCTCGCCGTTGCGTTGTCCTGGCCGAATCCCAAGGACGTAGAACGCATATATGTCGGTATCGCTTGGTGGTTCGTTGTGCATCGTCTTCACGAGGTGTATAGCAGCTGGCGAGAGCCAACATTGGTTAAAGCCTTCATCGTGGTTGTATCCAACCAGGAATAAGAGACTGGATTCTGGAGAGATGTGCCAATCCACCCAGCGCTGGTCTTTCTGGAGTTTTTCTATGCGTGTTTCGTCCATGATCTCGAGCCTTTTGTTCCCGTCGCTAGTAAAATACTCGTGGTCTGCTTCGTATTCAAGCAGTAGTTCGTAATTCTTCTCTTTGGCTTCGTACACTTGCAGGCCGAGGAGCCTCCGGAGAACTGAGAGACGGTCTCTTGCCGACGCATCATGTAGCTCTGAGTGGGAGAAACCTGAGTTAGATCATGTTACAGAACCGTAGAGGTAGGTAGGTAGCGGGAAATACAGGAAGATAGAAAAACTGAACACATACGCTTGATCGTCGCTTCTAGGTCTGTCATGCAGGGTGATCAACAGTTAGCTGGTGTAAAGCGGCCGGAAGCTTGCAAGCCAGTTCATCTTACGCTGTACTTCGTCTAAGATATTCATGTTAGGTGAGTAATTGGCCCTCAGTTGAACAGTGGATGGAATACATACCCTTGATCATAGCAACGTTTTTGTTGAGAGCCTCTTCGCCAGTCTTTCTAACTTTCACAATGGATTTTTGAACCTGCAGCGCATATTCGTCCAGTGTAGCTGATGTGCCCCAGATGGCCCTAAGAAATCGTTCTTCGGGAAGTACATTAGCTCGTTTCTCACAAGAAAAGTAGAGGTAGCTGGCGCAAAGCTCATGACAACATACTAAAACCCCTCTGCGTGTAGTACTCTGTTGCTGTTATACAAACAAAACCTGATGAAACTGTCGTAAGCCGCAACAATCTGAGACTGTATCTGACGATCTAAGATGTGATTGTCGTTGAAGATATGCTGGTAAACGCTGAGCCCAACCACTCTGTCTCTGATTTGCTCCATGGTGGCAGAGATAGCATTCTCTATGTCGACTTTGTTTATCGCAATCTAACACAGCTCTGATTCTTAGTGTGGATTATATCAGGAGAAAAAAGCGTCCTCGCCATAGGGAGAGCTTACCGCGAAGAGAAACGACACAGTACCAATGGCCATACCACCATAAGGAGCTCCGATATCCCTGATGAGGTTGAGAATGGGGCCCATATAGCCCATGATATCTGATGCAGCGACGGCAAAATCCTGGGCAAATTGTCCTACACGTTTACTACCCCGTTTTCGGCATTCTTCCGTTGCGATTTTTGATCTGACGGTGACGCTCCAGACTTCATGGAAAGAAGCGACACTGTCAATGTTAAGAGCTGCCTGTTCATCGGCGGAGAAGTCTCGATGTCTCATAACATAATCACGGAACTTTAGTTGCTCCACGTCCGATCTCTCGATTATGGCTCTGAGATTTGATTGAAGCGCAGCTGTTATGGTCTAGGGAAAGAAGTGTTTTAACACGAAGTGAGCGAGCATAGCGGAGCTTCTCTATAATGGGGTGCGCCCCCCTGTAAGTTCTTCGTCCTGTGATTGGCCGGTTTTGAATATTTTGTAGCGAAATCCGTACCTTGGATTGGTCAGAATTTTGCAGTCCGTGCACACCACGGGGGGTCCAGGGGGGTGTCCCCCTGGTCTTGGCGCCGCAAAGCTTGAGCGCCGCAGGCAAAGGGGGGGTCCCGGGGGGCGCAGCCCTCTGGTAAGCAAGAAGAAAGAACGAAGGATTCTAGAATACTTATAATAATAGGTTAGAGAGTAAAAGGGAGTAATGGGGAGTAATGGGGAGTAATAGGGAGTAATGAAGTAATGAAGCAATGGAGTAATAGAGTAATGGGGAGCAATGGGGAGTAATGAAGCAAGAAGCAATGGAAGCCTTGGAAGTATACACGTTGGGGATTGGGATATAACTTGGCGTTTAAGCAGACCGCCAAAATTTGAGTCGATGATTGAGATTCAACTTGGCGTTGAAAGTAGACCGCCAAATTTTGGCGTTGGTGATTGAGATACTTTCCTAGACCTATATGACAGCTGCGCTTCAGTCCAATTCTGCCGGCGCCCCGGAAGACGATGTTTCAAAGTCAGTTGAATGTGGCTAGCATATTTTTCTTGCTTCACGCGAGCATGGGACTGTCTGGTATACCCAATGACCTTTCCTACATACCGATCATCGTCACTAAGACATTTTTCTTTCTGGGGACTGTCAGCAACAGACGTCTTCTCATCAGTTAGTGGACCCATTTGAATGAGTCTTGTCTCCTCGCTCAGCCGAAGTATGCCACACAAGCACCGAAGAAGGAGGGAATTGCTCTCCGACAAGGAGAACTGGAGAAGGAGCGGGTCAGACTTTGCGGGGGATGGGCTGGCTTCCTTCACGCGTATATCGTCTTCAAGAGCACCTCAAGCCACATTGGGAGCCTTGTCTGCCAGCTCCTGGAGTGTTATTCTTTGGGTATCAGGTTGAAATCTCGGAGACGCCTTGTGTCAGAGAACATGCATAACTGCGAAAAGAGCGGTTGTCTCGAGTATCAATCCCAATGTAGGATTGTGCCGACTTGCATGATATTGAGGCGAAGCCATTCCGTCGTGCATTTGAAGTTGCCTTGCCGCTTGCCAACTTCCAATGGTCAACCAATTCTTAGCCCCCACGGTCCCACGAGCGGCAGGAGCGATAGAACTGGTGCCTGCCACACAGTGTATAACCACAGATTTTTCGAGGAATCTCCTTCAGTCGCTGCTGCTATTTTATTGCCGCGATGGACTATTGACAATTTAACCGCCAGGTGCGTCCAACGTGAAACCACGCAGGGGAACTCACCATGCAGGCATTTACGGAAGGCTGCAATAATGGTTGTTCAGCTGAGGGGTAGCCTTCATAATGAAGGCAAGCAGGCATCTCTCTATCCTAATCGAGGGCTTCGGACCGAGGATCTGAATATATGAGCGACACATGTAGTCGAAATCTGCACAATGTACCCTGGCCTCCTGCCCGATGTCGATAGGTATACTTGAGCAGACCAGGCCTCCTCCTTGCCCCCTCCTTGAAGTAACGCAGCTGGATATTGGATGCGAAAGCACTGTGGTCTGGATACCTCTACCTGCCATGGCTACGCTCGTGGAGCCCTCGGTACCTGTAAGAAACCCGGCTTTCCTACTTCTTGAAGCTCTGATTCGAATCCAGAACAGCTACCTTGAGTACATAGTCACTTGCTAACCAAATTGCAGACTACCTCTTCTGAGGAGAGGATACTGGCGTTGGAGAAACGGCTCCTAGATCTGGACTTGAAGTATCAAACGCTGTTGAAGAGCTTCGAATCCCCTTCACCAAATGCTCCAACCCAGGAGGGGGTGGAGAACACGGAGCCAAGCGCTTCTTCCACAACCTCAGGTGGCGTTATCTCCAGCAGTGACGCTGGAACACTGGAAACAAAGGTGAGGCTATCAATACAACATTTCAGAGTCTCTGCATGTACAACGTCGTCTAACCGTTCAACCCAACAAACTAGGCCGACCATAATGGACATTCACGGATCAAGATTGTCAGGACTTACAAGAATCCTGACACAGGGGAGATGATTGAGAAAGAGGATAATCCAACGCCGAAGGCAGAAGACAGAGATCAGGTTGCGTTTATCTTAAAAAAGGTGCAGGCTGACAAGCTCCCAGGCTCAGATGACAGGTCAGAGATTGATATCATCAGTCTTGATCTGTGGAATCTTCTCAAAAAGCACCTCGCCGCCACGCCTGGTCATGCTTTTCGAGGCCAGCCCATTACGATTTATTCTCCGTTCGAGGCCTTTGTTCATAATTTTGACCGCCTACAGACAGTTGCAGCTGACGTCAATGAGAAAGACAACGAACAACAGAAACAAGCCCGCAAGGATCTGCAGCTTCTCCTTGGTGCCATCTCGGATGGATCCTCCGGTGACGAAAAACTGAACAAGTATTTCAAGATGAGGGACTCATACCTCAGTGACGACACTATTCAGTTTGACGATCTTTGGACGATATTCCGTCCCGGGACCTTGGTTTACGGCAAGCCGTTTCAAGGAGAGGACCAAGTTTTCGTTGTCGCGGACAACTGGTACTGTTGGCCACAGAGAGGAGACCGTCCAACAACATGGCTAGCTTGGCCACTTGCCTGTTGGGTGTACGATTGGACCGGCACAGAGTTCAAGAGAACTCCGTTTATGATGAGGATTGAGAGCTTTGAGGGACGGAAGCCCATCACATCTTTGCCGTTCTAACCCCTGGAATACCTGAGAGATTCAGAACTGAGGACTGTCAAGGCTAGCCTGATAACAAAAGGCAAGAGGTTTCGGAAATATTGTGAGGCCAAGGAAGGTTTACGGATGTTTGACTACAAGGGCGATGCTATTTACGGGATGAAGGGTTTCATCGGGATGAGTCAAGGTGTTACAGTAAGTTGGCCGTTCCACGATATCATATCTGTTTCTCTATCACCGTGGACTTGGGCACAGTAGTCTAACATGTTGACCTACAGGATGACAGTGATGCTCGATCAGTAAGGTCGTACTATGACCAGTTAGAGCGTCTCCGCCGGCGGAGAACAGGGGAAGATGCAGATATTTCTACACCGAGGTCAGAATACGTAAGTCACCCATTTACACTCTTCGAAGTCTACGAACAATTTCTTACATACCTTTGTGCTTAGACAGCCAGTCGGGTCATGGTTGACTACCTGTCATACTTCCAATATGGCTCTTCAACAAAGCGTCTTGGAGGGCTGGAATCAAAGACTCAAACCTGGATGGATTGTGCATGCTCTGACTGTGCGAAGAATCCGGAGCTCAACACCAAGTTCCGTATGCACTTTGACAAGCTGAACATCCAGCTCAAAAAAGATTGGGAGGAAGAGCAGTACCTCATTTGCCCGCCACGTGTCTTGGGATACATACTTAAGGACAAGCAATGGGCGCAGCTACAGGTCACCAATCTCACAGAGATCCCGCCCTCAGACAATGACAACCCCTGGAATACTCGATTGCAGCTTGCCGACGACAAAAAAAAGTGTGGCACGACCAAGAGTTTGCTCTTCGATCTTGTTCGAAGCCATATTTCGTCCTCCACGGGAGATCGCAACGCGGACAGGGGTCTCGAAGTCAACGACATTGTGCCCGGAAAGGGGAAGGGTTTGATCATTCTACTTTACGGTATATCATGGCTCCCCCATCTAATTTGTTAACTTGCTAAACTAATATCTTTTGCACTCACAAGGGCCTCCTGGGGTCGGTAAAACGTCTACAGCAGAAACAATTGCGATTGCTGCCCGGAAACCGTTGTTCAGTATCAGTGTCGCAGATGTCGGCACAGAAGCCAAGCACGTCGAGTCCAACCTAGCGAGGATCTTTGCTTTGGCTACCTCTTGGCAAGCCATCCTACTCCTGTAAGTTCAGCTAATATCTCTAACAACTTCCAGTGGTATAAATTTGCAACTGACTGAACCATCATCCAGCGATGAAGCCGATGTTTTTCTGGAAAGCCGAGGAAAAGGAGACTCCACAGACAAGAATGCCCTCGTCTCAGGTACCTATTATTTCCATTCACTCCACACACTGAAGTGTTTCTTCCTTAACTTCTCGTCGTCAACCCATGTTGCTACCGTGAATCGGACTAAATCTTTCCCCAATGTGAACAGTCTTCCTCCGAGTTCTCGAGTACTATCAGGGCATAATATTCCTCACCACCAACCAGATTGCCCAGTTCGACGTCGCGATTCCCTCTCGCATCCATATCTCCATCGCCTACGGGCATCTTAACGAGGACCAGATGACGAAAATCTTCCAAGGTTTCCTCGACCCACTGGAAGATCGTGACTTGATCGAGGACTACGCAGGCATCCTGAATTACCTCGATGAATATGTGTACTCCATGAGGTTTGACGGCCGGCAGATTCGGAACATTGTTACCACCGCATTGGCTCTAGCTAGAGCGGAGACAAAGTATAAGTAGGGTCCTGGAAAGTTGAAGCTGAAGCACTTGAAGACAGTAGTGACCAACACCAATCAGTTCAAGAACGACTTCTCAAAACAGTACGAACGATACATTGAGAAGCAGCAGAGCATCAAAAGCTTCAATCCATAGGGAGCAACTGGATGATTTTGGGCTGTGCTATGAAGTTACGAATTTTCTTTGTAAATCAACATGTAGTTGCTATGTAGCACTTGCAAATTCTACTCTCAAGATCTCATTCACAAAGTGCTCTACCCCTTGAATCCTCCTCATCTTCAATCCTCATCCCCCACCTCTCCCTCCCCGCCCACATCATCCCCATCCTCCCCCTCCCCATCCACCCAAACCACCACATTCGCCAACCCCTCCGCCCTCTCCTTAAAAAACCTCCTCACCTGTCCCACACTATACCTCAAGCTAAAATGCATCACCACAAACGTCGTCCCGGGATACCTTCTCACCACCTTCTCCAAATCCCCCCAAATCGTATGCTTCGTCTTCTCCGCCTGCGCTCTATGCTCCTCATACAAGAAACTGCACTCAGTAATCACAACCGGCAATTTATCGTTTTCCAACCACCCTTTCATCGGCTCGCTCTCCAGCGTTTTGGTAGTAGTATCCCCCAGAAACGCAAAGATGGGAATCGTCACCGGAGCCGTCAGTTCCTGCCCGCTGGCCCTGATGGCTTTTAACTCCTTGGGCGGTAGTTTCGCAAACTCCGGTCTAAGCTTATGCGTCGTCTGCTGAAACAAATACCCCAGACAAGGGACAGTGTGATCGCACCCAAAAGCCACAGCGCTGATATTCTTCGTCCTCCTTAGGGGTACCACATCCCCCGGCTCAAGACCATACGTCACATGCGTCGGCCTGATCTCACTTTTCACAACCTCGCCCGTTTCCGCGTCCCTCACCTCCAGTGGTACCTCCTTCCCCGGCCTCGGCGCTATCAAACCCCCCAAGTTGAGCATCGTGTTCGCCCTCAAGTAGTCTTCCAACACCTGTTTCATCCCCACCGGACAATGGAAATCAGGCGGGTCCTCGCGCTTGATGAACACCGGAGATAACAAGGCGTGGTCGTTGTGTCCGTGCGTGATGAAGATGTGTTTGGGCCGGTTGTTGTTGACGACCAGTCCCGCGTCGAGAAGCAGGTTGAGTTGCGGGATCACGAAGGAGGTGTGCCAGGCTGCGCGCGATTTGCCGGTTAGGACGTAGTGCGAGAAGGGCTTGGGGAGGGCCCATTCGAGGATGTCGGAGCGGGTGGATTGGGGGAGGGGGGTGGCGAAGGTTAGGGTTTTGGTTGGTTGATGGGACTGGGATCCGGATGGGGGTTGTTGTGGTGGTGGTGGTGGTGCCATGGTGAAGATCTGTGTTTGATCGAGGGTCGAAGGATGCAGTGGTGAGGTGAGGTGATGGTGAATGTAAACAATGGTCGAGTGAGTGAAAGGGGTAAAGTCTTGGCAAGAGTGTTTAGGCTTGCTGGCGTTGAGGATTTTGAAATTCGGTCGCTGGAAGGAGATGTCAGTTATCGATGAGATTGTCGGTCTAACAGGGATAAACTACCTGTTGTTGAGGGCGATAAACGATTTAGCTGCTCCGGTGTCGCTTGGGCGGTGCTCGAGGCAATATAGCGGAGTGTTCTGCTGAGGTTGTTGTGCAAGTTGAGGTTCAAGAGACCAAGTGTTGAAATCATCAACGCTGAAGAGCCCCACAATTCAATGCCAAGGAATGATCGATACTTCAGATGACAACACACAAACTGGGCCTTCAACACTATCATGTCTAAAACAAATGGCAAAGCTTTCTTCCTTCCCATTGCCTGTCGACTCTTTCAAGCCTATCCAAGCAAAAAAGTTGTTGATCATGCAATGACCGCCGTGCTCCCATCGGCGAGCAATATCGACCGGCCGGCCTGTGACGCATGCCAGACTGACTTCTACTACAAGCCTCTTTTGTCTGGCCGGGAGCCCATGCTAGCACATCATCGAATCCCAGTGGGAAGAGATTGCCGGATTGATCAACGCGACGTTTCAAAAATCTTACCTGCATTTCTTTATCTCAAGAAGACCAGTGAAATGACGGGTGTGGGAGATGAAAAGCTGTGCTATGTCCAGGGTTAGGGGCAAGTGTGTAATCACCAAAGGGACCATGAGAGTCGATGTAGAATTCGGATAGTAGGATCGCTTCATAGACCATGGTTGTGCAACACATCAAACTCAATGTGTGATCTGAATGGATCTTGAAAAACTCCATGTTCACTAAATATGTTTTCCGAAGCAAACGACTAAGAACACCAACGCTAAGAAATGAACCGCTTCCGAGTAAAATGCACAAACCGCCCATGTTTTCGCTTCCAAAAACCCAACCGAAAGATGTAGTAATGCATGCATATTCCCTTTTCTCCCCCATCTCAACTGTTTTCCCTTTCCGTTTTCTTCCATCGCGTCTCAGACGTTATGTAAACCGAAAGAATCCCTGACCGTTGAGCGTTCTATCTTCGGATGGACACCACCTCAATGACTCGGCGTAGGCCATCCGACAACCTCTTCCTATTGGGGGATGAGCGAGATGCCTAAACCAACTCGTCTTCTTCCTCCTCCACTAGTCCGCGATACTTCATCTCCACCACCCAACGATCCTCAAAGTCGATGCCCCTACGCATCTTCGTCCCCGCCTTTTTCCACATGGCAGGGCCAAGACCCAGATCCACCAGGTAGAGTTTCCACTCCAGCACGGCATCGTCTGGCAACGAGGTATCCCCGCCAGCCAGCACCGTATCCCCGTCATCGTTCTCCGCCGCCATCAGCGCCTCGAGCAGTCCACGCTTGGGCGCGCCAACGGCCACAACGTAGCGCGGCTTAACATACAACTTGTTGCCGTCAATAACGCTAACCTTGCCTGTCGATGGGTCGATGCCTGTGGGAATGTCGACTGCAAGAGCAAACGCCTCATTACGGTTAGCCCACTCGATCAGCTCATAGACCGTCGCCTGATCACCGTTTCTCAGTTCCTCAAAAGAGATCGCCAGGCCCAGCAACGCGTCGATAATGAGCATGATAGGAGCCGGGTTAGCGAGGCTGCTTAGCGAGGAGCGAGGTGTGTCGATGGTGAGCATAGGAATACTAATCTTGCGGAGGTGCTCAAAAAAGTCGCTCTTGGAGAAGATGCGTCCGCCCATGTTTTTGTAGAGGCGAACTTGTTGGCGCATGTCTTCGAGGAGATCGCGCTCACCACGCTCAAGGCCAACCACGCACACAATCACGTTAATGTTCTTGTTACGAAGATGCCGGGCGGCGGCAACGGCGCGAATGCCAGATTTGTTGTTTCCGGCTAGGACAACAACTGTTGGAGGCGGCGGGTTACCGGAAGTGGGATCGACGATGCTCGAATGGCGCACCTTGATAGCCGGGTCCGAGAGTGCTGTGAGTGTCACCTCTGCAATACCACGCCCGGCATTCTCAGTCATCATCTCCTCTGTTAGGCCAATCTCGTTGTGTGCAATGTTCTCGAGATTGAGCATTTGCAGAGCTGAGACGGGCTCGATCTTGCGATTTGACGGAAGCACGTAGAGACCCTGCGGACTTGCCGCAACCGTTGTCGCCGGTTGCTTCTTCTTGTCAACGATAGCTGCCCTCGCTGAGAGCCGACTACTCGGCCGACTGCCCTTAGCTGATAGGGTGCGGTAGTGGCTTACACCAGATGAATTCACTCTACTCAAAGGGTGCGCAGCCGGGACGCCGCTCGCCTTGCGGGAATTCGACCTCCGGTTGGATGCCGCTTTGCTCTCGCCGCGGCGTGACCCTTGCCTGCTCGCTTGATCTCTCCCACTCAGTCGATCGGCTCCGTTGATCACCGCATCATCTGCTTCACTATTCCAAAAGTCGTTGGAGGTCTCCTTGACGATCGGTTTCGGCTTCAGTGTGGCAGATGGCATGTCGAGGACGTTCTCCGAATGGTGCAGGTTCTTACCCCCGGCGGTACCCGGCTTGTGCTTGGGTACACGGTTGTGCGATACCAGGCGGTCGGCCTCGTCAATTAGATCGTCTTTGCGCATTTGTTCAAACAAATCTTGCTTATTGAACTTGGCAAGGCCAGATTCGAAGTCGAAGTCGCCTGCTTCTTGCACATCAGTGACATCTTCCGAAGCCCAACCGTTGTCATTCGCTCCTCGCATCTTCTTCAAAGAATTGAAGGGCTGAAAGGAGGAGGTACTCTGCAAAATAGGCGTCTGTCTCCAGCCTTTGCCCTTTGCAGTTGCGCGAGGGACCTGCGGAGACGCTTCAGAGTCTTCTTGTAGCCCATTTCTAGAGTTGTTTCCAGCCCTGCGTGGCCGTCTGTTCTTCTTCTTCTGAGCAGCTGCGGATCCTTGCTGCGAACCGGCGTCGGGGGCAAGGTCTTCGTCCGCAGACTCTTGGGTGCTGGTTTGAGCGTCGAGCTCCAGGCGTCTCAGCCTATCTACCACGGGGAGAGTCGGGGTGGCAGTCCCGGAGAGGATGGGTACGGCATTATTCGACGGGATGACAGCCGGGGTCGGGTCTCTCTTCTCACTCGTATTAGGTTGGTGACGGGAGGTGTCCGATGCATGACCTGACAGAGAGCCAGGGCGCTTCCCAACAGACAGAATGGCAGGATCGACAAATGCTGCTGGCTTGGCCGGCGGGGGCGGTTGAACAACAGGCGGGGCGACCTGCGAAATGGCATGGGGGACGACGTGAGAAGGGGGCGCCGGAGCTGGCACGGCGGCTTGGGGAGAAGGTTCTTCGCGCAAATAGACAATGTCGACGATGTTCGAAGAAAGAATGGTGACTCTCGGCTCCCACCGGTTGTTGTCGACATTCCAGACTAAGAGAAGATATTCATGTTAGCAAGGCGAGCCTCGAAAGACAGGAGGAAGGGGAAGAGAAAGAAAAAGGGCATGAACAGACCATTGGTCAGGGTCAAACCGTGCCCAGCCTGCACTTCGCTGACAGTGCCCTTCAATCTCGCCGGCGGATTGCGCATCGTCACCAGCATCGGAAGACCGATGAACGAATCCTCCGCCATGGCTGCGAACTGTTCGGGGATGACAATGTAGACAGAGGGACGGTTCCGCGTAGGTAGATAGCAAGAGGTGTGATAGATTGATGCGATCTCGTTCGGATCCGTCCTCTGCTGTCTGGACTGGGCTCTGACTGCGATGCGACAGCCGACAACGGTGCGGTGTGGGGTGCAGCTCTGGGTGCCTTTTTGACACTGGGGATGGCGAAGGGACGCGGGACGGGGCTGGATCGATGTCGGAGCAGTGCGGGAGGGAAGGAGACGGGTCGTGAAGTCGGATGATGGGATCGTGCCAGAGACTGAGAAGGTGCCAGTCCGTCGCCCGGCGATTTTAGTGCCAAGTGAAGGTCGCGTCCTGGCTTCCCCCTTCCACTTTTTGCTTATCGATAACAGCCGGTCTTGGTGGTGAGCTGCACAGGGCCACAGGTGCGACAAAGCTTGGCAACCGCCATCGGTGTACCGGTACACGCGTCTTGTACGTGAATTACAGTGTGAATTTCTGTCTCGATGTGCGTGCACGTGAATCATGATCAGGAGAAGCCCTGCAATTGTGACGATTATTGTACCGTATGTTGAACGATACAACACTGTAACTTACCACCGACGAACGTCCCGCAGTACTTAACGTAATGCAGCGATCTACCGCAAACCTTCTCGGCGTCGAGTCACTTTTCCGTCAACGTCTGTCCAATCTCGAAAGGGGAAGCGACAGAGTTGGGAGCACAGGCAGAAGTACAAACATGACCCTCCTTTTTAAGGGAGCAAGGGAGGCTGGTCGTTTGCAGCTGACCTTCTGCGTTGTGGCCGCTTTGGGTAATCACATGTAGTTTGCGAAATGTAGAAAGGAGTTGTTGTGAATAATGCCACGCGAGCCTAGATCTACAGGTACCGCTATATGTGCATCTGGATGCTCATCTTTCTTACAGCTTTTTACAACAAGGGATAACCGAGAGGAGATATACCCCGCCATGATCATCGCGATATCTGCCAGCTTACTATCCGCCGCTGACTGCACGCTCCTCTGTTCGAGACCGTCTAGGTCCATAAGTAGGGTATGAGTTGTTGTCCCAGCTCCCAAGTACCAGCTCACCTGGGGCCACCTTTTTCCATAAACATGTCCACCTAACCGATACACTAAACCAAAGCCAACCTTCGGTTCAACGACCTTGATGACGCCCAAAATAACAGTCAAGTCAACCATAACACCGCCTGATGCTGCCATGATGATGTCCCTTCCTTTTTATGATCCTCGCTCGCTAATGTGGACCATCAACCGTATCCTGCCATCCTCTCCTCCTCGTCCTCAATGTCAATCACCTCTCTTCTCTGCTGCTGCCTCGCAATCGTCTGGGCGACAGACGGAGTCTTGTACGCAAATTTGGTGATGGACTGGTCCACCTTCGTTTTTTTCATCACTGCCGACTCGGCGCTGTAAAGCTTGTTGTAGAAGCTGACGACCCGTGGGTGCGCCATGACCTTGTCCTTCTGGAAGCGGAGCACCTGCAGACCCTGCTGCGTGGTGGCTCTACTGAGCGCGACGTATGCCTGTCCTTTTTCAAAGACCCTACCGAGATCGACCTTGACGCGTTCAAGCGTTTGACCCTGCGCTTTATGGATCGACAGAGCCCATGCGAGAATGAGAGGGAGCTGCTTTCGAGAAGCCTGGACCTCGCCAGTAGGAAGTTCCACCTTCCAGTCCTCCGGCTGACACAGAATGTCTCTCCTGGTCCCATCGACGGCGTGGAATCGCACCAATGGGTACTCTGTGTTGTCGCCTTTCTCGATAGCAGCATTGGAAAGCGCGCTGGTGAAGGCCTTGATTCTCCTCTTCTTGTCCAGATCCTCATCGTCGTCAAAGTCACTGTTCGCTTTCAGCTCAAACGTTGCTTCGTTCATGAAACCGACCACAGTTCCGAGAGAGCCGTTCACGAGCGTCTCGTCCATATTCTTGATGAGCATGACCTGGGCATCCTTCTTTAATTCTATTGTGGGAGGAGCCATCATGTTGGCAAGAAGCTTCTCACGGACCGCCGGTTCACCGGTATCGTACGCTTCGTAGCGATAGACTTTGCCCTTCAAGGCAGCAAGTCGTTGCCTGTTCGAGTTCTCGACTTCATTCCTTGTCGGGAACAATTCCGTTACTTCTAGCCCGTCATCAAACGCTAAAGGTCTGCTAAGTTGTTGGAAGTTCTTGACAGTCCTGTCACTGATTCTTCCCAACCGCATTTCGTTAAGCATCTCTGCGAATTCTGGAAATTTGTCAGTCGCATGGTTTACTTCATATCTGGGAATTGGACCACTTACCAGGATCCCTCTGACGGAACACTTCAGTCAACCCAATGGTATGCTCAATGGACATGTTCCACGTTGCTGCATCAAAGGCAAACTTAACATCCCTCTGCTTGTTCAGATCTTTATCCGGCACAGGAGGCAGCTGAAAGAAATCACCAGTGATGACCAGCTGGATACCACCCCAAGGCCTGCCGTTGTTTCGGATAATTCTACCGATCTGGGACAGCTTATCGAAAAGATCGCCGTCAACCATGGAAATCTCATCGATGATGAGAACCTTGGTCTTGAGCCATCGGGTTTTGGCCTTTTGGTTGCGCCTGATTTTTTTGACGAGCGTTTGGACATCCTCCTTGCCGAGACCGATACCAGCAAAGCTGTGCAATGTCATGCCGCCAATATTACACGCTGCAAGGCCGGTCGAAGCTGTAACCGCTACTCTTTCCGGCTCCCGGGCAAACTTCTTTTTGAGTTCTGAGATGATCGCTCTCATCAGCACCGACTTTCCTGTACCGGCCGGACCTGTGAAGAAGACGCTTTGGCCCTTTTCCACCACCAAGCTCTTCACGTGAAGCTGCTCGCCGCTCAATGTAATGGCTGACGCCTTGCTAAGGTGGGACGAAACGACCTTCTTGATCTCGTCCATGGGTATTTCCGTCTTGGGAGCGACCGAAGAAGACTTTTGCCTGTCTTTGAGCTGCTTCTTCTGCTCCTTGACTGCGCTTGCCGTAGTGTTCCATAGCATGGACCCCTTGGGCTTCGATTCCGGCGTGGGAGCATATCCGCTCTTCTCTTGTAGGTATTCTTCGGCATGTTTCCACTCTTCCTCCTTTGGTTCCGGTTCCCTCATCCAAGGTAGCTCGCGCTTTGGTTTCTTCACAGCGGCGGGCGGATCGAAGTCGAAGTCATCGTCTTGTAGGCGGTCGCGTTTCGTGTTGGTATTGGGAGGGGGGTTCAGCTCGCGCTTGGGGGGTTGAAGATGCGATGGCGAAGACTCCGACCAAGAAAGAACACTGGTATAGGTCCCTGGCGGGGGCTCGCGGAATCGAACTTCTTTCGCTTCCTCCTCCTGTTGCCTTTGCACCCTATGCTCTTCAAGGCTTATCCGCCCAGTTGGGAGGTCTGGCAAGGCGGATGGGGCTTCGAAGTCCAAGTCGAGGTTCTCGTCATCGCTGAAATCGTCATCCTCAATGTATACTGAGGAAGTCAAATCGTGCTGGGGTCGCTTTGTTGTTTGCATAGTGAGATCAATCACATCTGGGGTATCATTGAAGGAATCGGAAGCGTTGTAGAGCGACGCGAACGCTTTGCTACTGCCGCCGTAGTTGGGAAGTGGTCGCGGAGGACTATTGGTGGGTCGAGTCGTCAACGGGCCGTTAGTCGCTGAAGGCCTTGAACTGGCGGAAATGGCACCGCTAGAGGTACCACCGAACCCAGGTTTCTTGAACATGTCGGCGACGGATGTCCTAGACTGAGAGGCGGCTGAGGGGGCGCGTGCGGGACTGCTAGAGGGAAAGAGTTGCTGCTTCAGGGAAGCGTTGTTGTTTATTGACGAAGCACCGGGCTTCGGCTTGTTGTTGTTGTTGTTGTTGGCCTCGGCGGCCTTTGCTTGGACTGCCCTGCCAAACATGACGTCTTCGTCGTGGAGTGCTTCGATTGGGAAAGCGGCGCACTTGGGGGCAGAGTTGTGTACATGAGCTCGCGGAGGTGCGCGGTGCACGAGGACGGCTTGGAAGGTTGACCAGTTCGGGGAAAGGTTCAGGTTGATGGTGGCCCGGTGCAAGAGCAGGTGGTGACCGGCAAGCAGCCCAGTCTTCATACAGCTTTCGACCCCTCGGTGGGCGAGAGGGACGGGGCCACCACTTCTGTCGAGTGCTAAGGTATCGTTGTACGCTAGTTGCACTATTAACCCTTTCGATCGAGTTGGGCGAAAAGTCTTGGCTCGGATTGGATCATTGAATTCCAGTTGTCATCTCCTTCCATTTGGCACAAAAAAATGGCACATCATAGCGATCCCAGTTAACGCGTTCGTCTAGGAAAATCGCGTTCGTTTGATTTCAATAAACGCGGAGGACCGTGCACGGAGCGATGGCTCTTGGTGAGGGGCTCCCCTGCAAAATGTTTGCAGTGCCCCTGGCGCTTTTGGGGGCAACCATGGCAACCAACGGTAAAGACCCAGGGGCCAAAACACCCAAGAATTCAAACAACCCTCACCTCGGTGAGAACACAAAAAGGTACTACCCGCGTGAGCCGCGGAACATGGGGTAGCCATGTCTTTGACTGCTAACATCCACATCGCACCGCACCTTTGTGCGATTACGATGACGTATGTCACCAAGCCGAGTTGAACCAGTCTGCAAGAAGAGAATATTAATGGGACTTTTAAAGTTTGATTTCCTCACCTCCGAGACCTGTGATGGTCATTCCTCCCCTCTCCTGTTGTACACCGGCCAGAGAGATCAGAGCAGGGCAACGAGACTGTAGATCATTCTGCCAGTCTATCCTTTTTGCTTGCATTCATGAAGCAAGAGCTAAATGCTGCTCACAATGTCTCGAATAGATCCGGTGATTAACATTGGTGCAGATGCACAAGTGTGATCGTCACCCGTCCGATATACCGGTACGTACATACCTTTTACCAACGACCGGAGAACCTGAGGGGTACAGAACCCAAACTGGCGGGCCATCAAGAAAGAACAATCCACAGTCGGCGTGACGGCCTGTGTTGTCATACCCACCTATTCCAGAACATTTCCTGTGAGCACTTCTTGGTGGGTGTTTCCCATGGGGTTCCCATGGGTTTCCCTTTCGGACAAGTCTCACCACGGAAATGTTCATTGTCGGACATGCCGTAGCACTAAAAAGCGGTGGTCGAGGAGGATTCCAGGGACTATCCGGCCACCGCCAATGCTAGTTCAAGTGCCGTCGATTCGTCAAACCAACTTGATCCAGCCCAGCTTGTTGGATCCCCCCCCCCCCCGTTGTGGAACCGTAACAGAGCACCGGTCTCTACTTGCTCTCGCCTTCCCAAGGTTAGCAGTTGGTCACAGATATAAAGAAGAGAAACAACTCTGCTTCTTCCCACTCATTTCGAGTGGGTGAGTCAAAATGGTGCAAACAGAATCGTCCGCAAATGCAAACCGGGATTCCTTAAGACATCCCACGCCTCCACAGCATCACCCAGCTTCGGTTTTTTCTTGTTGGCCCATTCCATGTGATGCCAATGCTTGGCTCGGTAATCACGGTCGCAGATAGGTTCTTGGATATGAGCTTGAGCAAGAGTCAAGCAAAAGCTTCCGCCGAGAAGCTTTTCAACAGGAGGTTGGATTTGCTGGGCGGTGGCTGATGGTTGCTGGGCGCATGACCTGGCAGCTGGAGCCAGATCTGAGATCTCGCTTGGGATTGAAGTCAACAATGGGACTATACAGTTTGGACGACGGGAATATGAAAGGCCGGCGGCTTCGGTGTGATATAAGATGGAGTTTTGAGTCGGCGGTAAAACACCATAGCAAAACGTCATGCTATAATTGGTAATAAACTTGCCGATTTCCGACTTTGTGTTCGCAGATGAAGGTAGGTCGTCGACGGAATGGAGTCGGACAGCGGTCGGACGGTGTCGTGCCGTTTAACAATACGTAAGCACTATATTCAGCCTCCTTTACCGTACTTCCAGCTACCATGCCACCGGTTCGGCGGTCCTTTTAGCCTTATCTTTAGGCAGCTTCCATGGCGATCGAGGCTGGTCCCGTCGTCGTACGGTACCTGGGATGGGAGGTGAGAGAAAGAGCGCGACATATGGGAATATCAACGTGGATGCCATGACCGGGCAGTGGCAGGCTTCGGTCATCGTCGTCTCATGGAAACACAAGACCGCTATTTCGAGATCCCATCCCTTGAACTTTGTGTTCCTCCAAGTCCAGGCCTCCAGACTTGTTGGGCGCTACAGCGCCTTCCCTATATATAGAAGGTATACGGTACGAGCAGGTACAACCTATACAGGGTGTGCACAGAGTAGAGTAGTATTTAGCCAAACCTCCCAAGCCATAGGCTTGAGGAGGGCATCTTTACCGAATACATCGAACCCAGGTTCTTGCTACATAACTCCACTAGGTAGTTCTCATAAGTAAGTACCTATATTAATGAATCGAACGATGACTACTAAGATTATCGATCTACTAGACCTCTCATTTAAATACGTTCTGCTATCTAAAATTACTAGCTAGAGCCTATCTCTATATACCCAGGCGTTAAACGTAAACTGTACGACCGATAGGCCGTCTACAATTCAACTCCCTCGTCGAATACCTACTTACGCTTAACCAATCTATCGATCGACCGATCTAAAGTACTAGCGGTCGCTCTAATACTTTAAAGATTAATGCTGTACTATCCCGACTATCCTATATATCGAGGAGTAAAGATAATAATTACGATTTGAGAACCAAATAATTATTAAGGTTCAAAAGGTGTGGTTACAAATATTGGGTTAAAATTAATGATAACTACTTCGAATATACGAAATTTCTCTAGCTAGAATTTAATTTAAATAATGATATTTTCGGCGAATTAGTTTATCCTATTAATTAGGTATTAAACGTTCGTTCCTTACCTGCCTTTTTAATTTATTAGAGGAAAGTGTAAATATCGGGCTTTATTTTCTAAATTAAATATATTAGGCCTAAATCCCTTATTAAATACGTTAAAATATCTACTTTAAGCACTTAAACTTCCGATAGGTACATTAGAATTTCGAATTCCCGTACCAAATACGTCGAATATCCCCCTATTTCTTATATTGAGCCTCCCCTATCTTTTATATTAAGCCTCTCCCTATTTTCATTAATTATTTAATATCGGCCGCTAAACTAATTAACGATTTAGTAATCGCCGATATTATTATTACACTAGTAATAAACCCAGCATTATTAGAACTGGAGCCCCTAGCCCCAAATTTCATTTTCGGTAATCGTTTCGCTTTACGCTGGACTCTAGTCCAACCCTAACCGATACTAATTAATCTCTTCAATCTCTAATAATCGCCTTTAGCGTCTAATCTAATAATAAGAGCTAATCTTATGCTAATTAACCTAGGCCGATCAACGTTCGCAATCCCTAACTTATTGCCTACGTCTCCCCACGACCAAACCGGTTAAAATATCAACTTCAACTTTAATTACGAAGCTGTAGATTTCTCTATAGTTAACGCTTAAATTTTATTAAATTCATCCCCAAATAATTAATACTAATCCTTTAGAGTACTTAATACTGTAGACGAATCCATTTTGCCCGACGTTAATCTAATATTTAATATAGTAAACGAATCTGTCTTATTTAGCGTTAAATTTAAAATTAAATTGGATTTGGAAAATACCGAATTTATTAACCGAAACGAATTAAATATAGTAGAATAATAAAAATAGTACTAATATAACGCTCCTCCCGAACCGGAAATTATACCTAAAGTATATATAATAGCTGCAACTTTTACCAAATATCGAATTATAATTAATTAAAACTTTAAAAATATAATTATTTATTTAATTATTAAAGCGAATAATATTCCTACCCTATTTAAAACGTTAAAGGTAAGTTACTTTAACCCTTTAACGAAAGATAATAGTTCCGGAATTATTGCGGACCGAAAGATTAATAAATATATTAACGTCGAAATTTTCTATAATCGTCTTTTAGACTTTAAACGAATTAATAATATAAATATTATAAAGCGAATTTGAACGTAATACTTCCTTAGCCCAACTCTTATATAATATTCGTATATTTTTATACTGAGCGATCGGGAATTCCTATTAATAATAACTTTTACTACTATTTATAATAAATTGAAGACGAAATTTAAAATCGACTTTTCCGTTGTAATAGAGCACTTAAAAACTATATAATTCACCCTATATAACGTATTCCTTAATAAAAATATTATTATTTACATTTAAAATATTATATAAAGTGTTAAAATATATTAGATAATTATATATGGCCAGCTTATCGCCGCTTTCGAATTTCTCTCCGGCGATATTCAATTCGAAATATCTAAACTAAACACAATTACTACAATTAACGACTTTATCTATTAGATAGCCTATCGAGAGAGCATTCTTCACTATAAAACGAACGAAAAATATACCCGCCGAGTAAATCCCCTAAATTAGAGCTGTAGATTAGGAACCAACCGGGGTAGTTTTAATTAATAGCAGTATTAATACCCGAATAATTTTAGAAACCGGAATTAATAGAACTAAGGTTACTAGAATAAGAATTAGAGTTACTAGAATCAAAACTACGGATAATATTAACCAACTTAAAATTAAAGATTAAGACCTGGCTATTAGTAGTAATAATCAGGCTGACTATAAAATTAGTAGCAATACGGTTAACGTTAATTAGTTCCTAAGAATCGTCGCCTACTAGTACTAACCGCCAATAATATATACTATTTTACTAGCATCGACGACGATCTTTAAAGTAAAACCTACAGCCAGCCTATGGATTAAATATAGGCGTTTTTTTTAAGCGTTAACCGAAGAGGTGCCCAACAAGGAATATAATAACGAAGGTTACCGCGCTGGTAACAACAATACCTATATCGACGTTAATTACAATAATATTAACTATATCGATGTCGCCTAGTTTAGAATAGTGGCGCATCGTCCCCTACTAGTAAAACTTCCGTTATAAAGTCTGCGGCTAGTCTTTTTCTAGTAGTAATAAGCTTTATAGCTACGTTCGTAACCGTTATTCTAAAGAATAGAAAAAAGTCGCTTTTACTATATACGCTACCTTATTCCTTAATTTAAAAAGTTA